GAAGACTTTATGTCTGTAGATACTGACCCATAGTTGTGATGACTGAAGACTTTATGTCTGTAGATACCATGACCCAGGCCCCCACTTGTGACTGACTGAAGACTTTATGTCTGTAGATACTGACTGAAGACTTTATGTCTGTAGATACATGACCCAGGCCCCCACTTGTGACTGACTGAAGACTTTATGTCTGTAGGTCTGTATAGTAATATAACCAGACTCTGGATATCATGACCCAGGTCCCCACTTGTGACTGAAGACTTTATGTCTGTAGATACCATGACCCAGGCCCACACTTGTGACTGACTGAAGACTTTATGTCTGTAGATACCATGACCCAGGCCCCCACTTGTGACTGACTGAAGACTTTATGTCTGTAGATACCATGACCCAGGCCCCCACTTGTGACTGACTGAAGACTTTATGTCTGTAGATACCATGACCCAGGCCCAAACTTGTGACTGACTGAAGACTTTCTGTCTGTAGATACCATGACCCAGGCCCCCACTTGTGACTGACTGAAGACTTTATGTCTGTAGATACCATGACCCAGGCCCCCACTTGTGACTGACTGAAGACTTTATGTCTGTAGATACCATGACCCAGGCCCCCACTTGTGACTGACTGAAGACTTTATGTCTGTAGGTATGTTTGGTTATATAACCAGACTCTTGATACCATGACCCAGGCCCCCACTTGTGACTGACTGAAGACTTTATGTCTGTAGATACCATGACCCAGGCCCCCACTTGTGACTGACTGAAGACTTTATGTCTGTAGATACCATGACCCAGGCCCCCACTTGTGACTGACTGAAGACTTTATGTCTGTAGATACCATGACCCAGGCCCCCACTTGTGACTGACTGAAGACTTTATGTCTGTAGATACCATGACCCAGGTCCCCACTTGTGACTGACTGAAGACTTTATGTCTGTAGGTCTGTAGAGTAATATACCCATACCCTGGATACCGTGACCCAGGTCCCGACTTGTGACTGACTGAAGACTTTATGTCTGTAGATACCGTGACCCAGGTCCCGACTTGTGACTGACTGAAGACTTTATGTCAGTAGGTCTGTATAGTTATATAACCAGACACTGGATATCATGACCCAGGTCCCCACTTGTGACTGACTGAAGACTTTATGTCTGTAGATACCATGACCCAGGCCCCCACTTGTGACTGACTGAAGACTTTATGTCTGTAGATACCACGACCCAGGCCCACACTTGTGACTGACTGAAGACTTTATGTCTGTAGATACTATGACCCAGGCCCCCACTTGTGACTGACTGAAGACTTTATGTCTGTAGATACCATGACCCAGGCCCCCACTTGTGACTGACTGAAGACTTTATGTCTGTAGATACCATGACCCAGGCCCCCACTTGTGACTGACTGAAGACTTTATGTCTGTAGGTCTGTATAGTAATATAACCAGACTCTGGATATCATGACCCAGGTCCCCACTTGTGACTGAAGACTTTATGTCTGTAAGACCCAGGCCCCCACTTGTGACTGACTGAAGACTTTATACCATGACCCAGGTCCCCACTTGTGACTGACTGAAGACTTTGTGGATACCATGACCCAGGCCCCCACTTGTGACTGACTGAAGACTTTATGTCTGTCATGACCCAGGCCCACTTGTGACTGACTGAAGACTTTATGTCTGTAGATACCATGACCCAGGCCCCCACTTGTGACTGACTGAAGACTTTATGTCTGTAGATACCATGACCCAGGTCCCCACTTGTGACTGACTGAAGACTTTATGTCTGTAGATACCATGACCCAGGTCCCCACTTGTGACTGACTGAAGACTTTATGTCTGTAGATACCATGACCCAGGTCCCCACTTGTGACTGACTGAAGACTTTATGTCTGTAGGTCTGTATAGTAATATAACCAGACTCTGACCCAGGTCCCCACTTGTGACTGACTGAAGACTTTATGTCTAGGTCTGTAAGATACCATGACCCAGGCCCCCACTTGTGACTGACTGAAGACTTTGTCTGTGTCTGTAGATACCAGGCCCCCACTTGTGACTGACTGAAGACTTTATGTCTGTAGATATCATGACCCAAGTCCCCACTTGTGACTGACTGAAGACTTTATGTCTGTAGGTCTGTATAGTTATATAACCAGACTCTGGAAACCATGATCCAGGTCCCCACTTGTGACTGACTGAAGACTTTATGTCTGTAGATACCGTGACCCAGGTCCCGACTTGTGACTGACTGAAGACTTTGTCAGTCTGTAGTATATAACCAGACTCTGGATATCCCAGGTCCCCACTTGTGACTGACTGAAGACTTTATGTCTGTAGATACCATGACCCAGGTCCCCACTTGTGATTGACTGAAGACTTATGTCTGTAGGTCTGTAGAGTAATATACCCAGACCCTGGATACCATGACCCAGGTCCCCACTTGTGACTGACTGAAGACTTTATGTCTGTAGATACCATGACCCAGGTCCCCACTTGTGACTGACAGAAGACTATGTCTGTAGATACCATGACCCAGGCCCCCACTTGTGACTGACTGAAGACTTTATGTCAGTAGGTCTGTATAGTAATATACCCAGACCCTGGATACCATGACCCACGCCCCCACTTGTGACTGACTGAAGACTTTATGTCTGTAGATACCATGACCCAGGCCCCCACTTGTGACTGACTGAAGACTTTATGTCAGTAGGTCTGTATAGTTATATAACCAGACACTGGATATCATGACCCAAGTCCCCACTTGTGACTGACTGAAGACTTTATGTCTGTAAGACTTGTGACTGACTGAAGACTTTATGTCAGTAGGTCTGTATAGTTATATAACCAGACACTGGATATCATGATCCAGGTCCCCACTTGTGACTGACTGAAGACTTAATGTCAGTAGGTCTGTATAGTTATATAACCAGACACTGGATATCATGATACTTGTGAGAGATAAAACACCACTAAAACCATAATGATTGATGCAAAAATATTTATTTTCTTTAATCTATTTAATTTAATACAAGAATCAAGATAGAAATATTAGATGTGATTGGAATGACCTGTGCCTGTTTATGTGATTTGACATTTACAGAGTAATAATACACACAAGGTGAGAACTTTCAAAAAAGTCATAGAATATAGCAAGCTAAGATTGGAACACTTCACTGAAAGGACCTTTGGAATAACAGAGACTGACATCAAAATACCCCATCATGTGCAAAATTCTACAAAGGACTGTATCAAGACTGCTAACAGATAAGGAGGGGCTGTTATCAACTTGACAACCGGACTACTAGCTGACAAGGAACTGTATGCCTAGGGGAATACACCGTTCTTTGTTACCTTGAGTTTCTAATTCCTACCAGATAGCTACATATAAAAGATGAAATGAAGGATTTTGAAAATTCTGAGTGAGAAAAATACAGCTGTATATTTAGAAAAAAGATCTGGAGGTATTAGAATGAATCTACTGCATTACACCATGTTACATACCTAGAGAATATTTGGCATCTATGTTGAATGACCTTTAAAAACATAGGTATCATCTTAAATTATATATATTGAGAGTAATTGTTTTTTTACATGTATTTAATCTCTGTGACTGTCAAGGAATTAAAAGAATTAACCACTTTACAATATCATCTTTTGAAGTGAAAAATGAGACTGTTGAGATTTCACATGTTCCAAAGCAGTCAGTGCAGTGTTCCCAAATTTTGCACATTTTCTTTATTGCACTGTTAGTGAGATAAAAAGCAGGAGTAAAGTGAATCACAGGTAAAAATAAATAATAACAACCTTACAAGGTATCAGTAAAATGTAATGGCTGTAAACAAAAACACAGTTACAAATGTAAACATATCTACATACCCCAGGCTATCAAGACAAGAGATATTTGTCCCTAATATGTTACTACTGGGATGAAATCAGGATATTCTGGGTATCATTTACCTGTTTTTCGTTGTACATTCAAGTTTCTCAGTATCTTGGTATAAACAATGTAAAACAAACAATGCGGTTTTCTATTTAAAAAATAACCTTCTATTTCAGATACAAAGCATTCAAATATCTCCCTCTATTGTCAAAAGTAATATGTACAATATGGACGGGTTTAATCATGGCCTTTGGGGTTATACCCTGAAGAAACATCACAACCATATCTAACAGCATGAGGATTTTATTAGATCTGGACCGATGTCTAATTTTTAAACATTGTACAAAGATGGCTAAAGATCTATGTAAAATATAGCGACTTTGGGACCTATACAACAAATACACACATCTAAACAGGACAATTTGGACGGAAAATATATCAATTAAATTTAAAAAATGTATGTAATTCAAAAATGACAAAGAAGCATTAAGTTATTTACATGGATACATGATAGAAAAAAAAATATTTGAGTACATCATAGGTATTTACAAATACATCTCACCTTGCATGTAGAGGATGGAAACACAACAGGTATAAAATTGTAGAAAATGTAGAATTTCCAATCAATGGAAATCCTCTTTAAATATCACAGATTGCTTCTCTCCTCATCTCTACTGCTTAAACGGACGGATAATCAAAGCGAAATACCAATCAAATTAAGGATATGAATAATTGTTAATAATTTGTAAATTATCTTCTCATAAAATTAATGAGGTGTCCAAAATTAGGTTTATAAAGAAAAAAAAAGATATATACTATAATTTGGGTTGATCATGATAACTGATAGTATATAGTATGATATAAGTCTAGTATCTACAGCTGTATTTAAGCTCCACCGCTTTTTAAGACAATCATTGGATATATCTTTTGGACATTTCTTTAGTATATCTGATTTTGACTCACACTACAAAGCCAAAATGTAAACAATTTTTACATATTTGTGAAATTCCTACTCTCACAGTAGTTATATACAGCTTTGATTGTTTGATCATCAGGGATGGAACGGAGAAATAAAACATTGTGAATAACAAGTCTATTGATATGTATAAAGTGTCAAACTGTGAAAAATACATGTACAACTGTTAAATAACAATTATAAACAATAACATTTAAATGGTAGACATTCCTGATTTAACAATATGACTCTTGTCAGAGTTCAGTATGATAACAATAACAATATATGTAGAGACAATCCTAAGTTGTCGTCATGTCTGAGGGGAATCACCTATGAGGCGTCATCTGATATTGTCTTTAATGGGTGTTCCTGATGCGTCACATTTTTGCGTCACATTTCTACATTACAGTTCCAAGCATGAACTTAGATATAATCTAAGTCCATTGTCTTTACCGGTAAAGTCACTACTTTTTCTTTTTTGATTTTGTCTGTTGACTGTCAGCAAATTTCACTGCCACAGCCTGGTGTGGAGTGGGGCCACACTTCCTTTGTTCCATGTCTCTCGTACAAGCTTTCATTTGGTCATTGAGCTTGTTTTTCTCCATCTCTAATCTCATCACTTGGGATTTCTTGTCTGACAAACTCTCTCCTGACCTAGCCATAGCAGACTTAGGTTTATTGGATTCTTCCTCCTCCATGACCTTCACTTCCTCCTGAAGGTCGACGAGTTCACGTGAGACTGTTGAGAAGTCTGCACATAAACCATCGTACTTGTCCTGCAGTGACTCCTGCAAGGGATTTAAAAGAATGTTACATGTATTTTCTTCTGTAGACTGCAGTGGCTTAGAAAATTATTGTTTTTTAACCATCAACAGCATGAACTGCTACATACAGATGTGGGTATTTGAAACTGATAAGAGATTTATCCTGTCATGATATGACTTTTCTTAGCTATAGTGTTAAGTACAGGGATAGGTTAAATATATGGCATGTTACACTATTGGTTAATCTGATACTTTAAAAAGAACTTATAGTAATAACCCCTGACAACATATTACACATTTTTCTGCTGTTTTTTTTTTCTATAAAAACAAAGGAATGATATTTCACCTTTTAAAAACATTTATAATAGAATACAACTTTCAACATTCTATTCCAAGCCAGTGGTAAGTGTACTGATGTCTGGATGATTAAGTGTTTCAATACCTACCTGAATGCCCCTTCTAGGCTTAGGTTTACTTACCAAAGAATCCTTTGTGACTGGTTCTGATTCCACAGGGACATCATCTTTATTGTCTTGGCTGTTAACGAAAGTGTCCCACAGGGCCTGTCCAGTCATGTTAGCAGTGACAAATCGGAAGGGAGGTAATCTTGTCAGAACAGTTGTACCTAACAAACCCAAGCAAAATATTACAAGGTGTTTAGAAAAGTTAATAAACACTGATGCTAGAAATACTAATATTGTCTTAGGTCTATTTGCATCAGTTCTTCTGATTAAAGTGATTTAAAGTATCAAGCAATGGTTTGCTGAACCAACTTCACAATTCTGTTCACCCAATAACATTACCAAAATCTTCAACCACATATAATGTTTGAAATAAAATGAAGACCTCATTTGGCCACACTATTTCATGTAATCTTAGTACAAAACTTACCAGCTGTGGAATATCTCTGACTGAGAGAAGCCAGCTGAAGGTCAACACCTCGACTTGACCCTTGACCTTTGGCCTGTTTGATCTTGTCCTCCATGCCTCCAAGCATTGTCTGCAGCTTGGTCATGGATGAGAAACTGGAATACTTGGATAATCTGTCAACAAAGTATAAAAGCTTATTTAAAAGTGTTTTTTGTATGACAATATATAATATATGTTTACAAAAATTGTTTATAGCCAAGGTAATGCACCCTATATATAAAATATCAAGCATGTTTTCAAAAACTCACAAAACCAAATTTTTCTAATGCTTCTAATGAATCTTGACCTAAATGTCCAGCAGAGCCTTATATGCATATATATATATATGATTATTATACATGTGTTGTAAAGCTTGAGGACTGTGTTCCATTATTTCCTACAGGCCATCAACTTCTACAGTTTTCAAAGTAACCATAGTAAATTTTTCATAGTTTTATACATTTTAGTTTACTGAAATAATTTATATATTTAGTAATGATTTACATCACAAAATTTACATTACAGTAATAATTTATGAAAACATTTAATTTGCATGCTCCTTACCTCTCGTGCATTCTGTCTTTGTTGAAGTGCACACCCTCCAAGTTAGTGCCAGGAAGAAGTTTGACATCCAGGAGGTCTTCCACCATGTGTATTTTCTCATCCTCAGTGCGACAGTCACCGAACATTGCCTGGAGCAGTTGTAATGCAGCTTGTTCTACATTCACACCACTGTTGGTGTGGGCCAAGGCCTGAGTGAGAGTAGAAGAACGGCGATATCGGGCGAAGAACAGATCATCACAGACAACTGCTAACGCTCGGTGATATTCGCGTATAAAATCTGGATTATTGTCATCCCTCAAGTCACCTGTAAGAATACAATTACAAGACATTTTTTATTAAGACAAAACTAAATTAGTTATAATCAGTTATACCTTTTCTAAAGCAATAACCTTCAGGCATATCATATATAAAGTATAAGTAACATGGCTGACACTTGTCACTATATATATTGTGTGACTGATCACAAAATGCTGAAAACTCTTTTGGACATTGTCACTTTCTTTTCCAAGTTAAACAACTTCCTTACCTGCTTTGATGTGTGCTAATGTGTGGACTAGTACCACAACAAAGTCACCAACTGTTTCCAGCCTTGCTGTACGCACATATAGAATCCTATTGTTAGCGTCATAATGGAACGAGTTCCTGAAGGGGTTACGTGACAATTGTCCATTGGAAGGAATCTTGTCAGCGAGGAGAATGGTCACTGGAGAGTGACGACAGCGTGATGAAACAAGCTGTGAGATGAAGCAGCCAAACTTGTATACTATGAAGGTACGAGCATTGAGGGTATTGAGGTCAACAGGTTTGAGTTCTCCGTCCTGTCCCCATTGTGCATCCTTAACATCTTGGTAACCTTCACCTGAGTAAAACAGATAATTGTAGAAAGCATGATCACTTATTTCTGTTTTCTACTGTCATATTTCAGACTTGTGCCTCAATTATCAATGGTAACAATCCTAATCTATCTTTTTTCTTTGTTATATTATTCCTTTGCTAAGATTAGAATTGTTTTTTTTGTCCTTTAAAATATTGTACACTTCTTTGATAAGTTTTTTTTGTTTTGTTCTTTGTTTTTTTGTTTGTTAATTTTTGTACTTTCCTTTGTCAAATTTTGTAAAATTTTTTAGTCAAAATTGGTTCTTTCCTTTGATTAGCATTGTATCTATTAAGTATGGCATTATGATACTATTGTTTCAAGCCAGCCAAGTGTTTCCTATCTAATGCTAAACCTCTGTAGCCCAACAGTATAATATTAGGTGAATGATATTCTAGTTCCTGTACAAACCTTCCTCCATTTTGTGTTTTGGAGACTTGTGGGTACCGTCTGATACAGATTTCTTGATCTGTTCCAGTTTCTGGTACATCGGTGATGCCATCAGAAGAGTCATGAGTTCTGCCTCATTCAGAGGTGCTGCCATTTGGTAGGACTGAGGCATTGGTGCTGTGGTAACAGGTGCTTCCCGTTCCACTATGGGTGAGGAAGGCCGGCTAGCTGCTTTACCCACAGTACTGGGGCGGGTCATGGGCATAGCCTGATCAATGTTGATACTCTCCTGTATAGTCAGTGCCTGTAACATGTAAAGTTTGTGAAAAAACAGAAATTAGGTTGCCTTTCAAATCTTGCCAAATGGCCAATTCCCTTTAGTTTAGTGGTAGTGCCTAGAGAGAAAACAGTTGCTAGTTTGGTCATTACTTACTCTCACAATTCTTAAACACAATCCATTTCATGACTGTAAGAATTCAAACAAGCAAACAGACGAAAAAACATGAAAAAAAAATGATTTTTCCATTGTGGAACATTTTACCTCGTCTGCTTTAATCCTGTTGGTCTCACTCCGCTGGCGTTGTTCAAGTTCATGTTTACTTTCATCCATGTTATTACGGATTTCAGCTTCCTTTGCTTTCATCCTCTGTTCTCGCTTCTTTTTGAGGCGTTCCTGAAGATTGCTCTGCTGCCTCATCTTGTCACCTTCCATCTTGTTAAGGATGTTCTGAAGGTCACGTTCATGTTGCTCTATGAGTCGTCGCTGTTCCTCTTCACTACCACCCTCCTGCTTCAGCTTGTCTATCTCTTCCTGTGTAACACACAAAAGTCTGATATCAGCACGAGACATTTCATCCAATCTTACATCATTCTAACCTTTTATACCAAAATGACCAATACAAAACACACCTATGTTTGTGATATTTTCACATCTTATAAAATCAATACCTTGCTTGATCAGTTCAGCAAAATACTGGTAATCCAGAGGTCTCGGCTACATTGGCACCCATTAGATTATAAAGTATGAGTTACTATATTATCAATAAATAACAGAGTTTTTCTAGTATGAACACCTAGATCACCATAAGTATATGATGATTTAACACTAAAGGATATAAAGAAAAAAATTCCTAACCTTCATCTTCTGTTTACGCTCCTTGATCAGATCTTCCTTCCGTTTGCTGAGCGTTTCAATGTTGCGTTCATATTTCTCTTTTTCTTTCTTTGTTTCTTCCTCCAACTGTTTGGCAAAATGTGCCATTTCTGCTTCAATACGGCGTTGCTCACTCTTCTCAAAATCTAGCATAGGATAAATTTGTCAATAAGAAAATGGACAAAATAGTGAAGTCTTTCAATAACAACAAAAAAATACTTTAAACAATCCTTAGTGCATACATTATGAAATTAGGAAAAGAAAGATAAAAAAGAACTGTGACATTGCAACTGTAGTCAATGTTTCATCTGATATTGTTTCTTTTATCATGAGTTACCTACCTTGCTTTTCCTTCTTCAGAAGATCCTGGTGTTCCTTGCGTTTGGAGTTTAGTTCTTCTTTGACTTTCTCTAGATCCTCGATTGAGGCCTCTGCATCCTTTATGGCATCATGGTCGGGCGAAAAATGTTTCAAGGCCTCGGCAAACTCCTGCAACATAGTAATAAATTGAATGTAACAGAACTGTGAGGAACACAAGGAAAAAATCCTTCCTCCAAAAAAATTGGTGAAAGGTCATCATTAAGTACATCAGAGGTAAACGTAGCTTATTTTGAGGATTCAAATTTTTGTGGGTTTGCCAAAACCTGAAAGCAAATAGGATGTATTCATCACAGAAGTCAAAACACTGACTTTTATTTCCACTATCTATATTTTCAAGACACACATTTACCACTTTTCATTTTATCCTCAAAAGGTAAAACACCTAAAAGTAACAGACTTATAATACAATAGTTTTCATCAAAATTGTTCTTACTATTACAAATAATCAGATATTAGAATGCACAACACTTGGTCAAGGATTATGTGAAAACAAAACGGAAGAAGAAAGCTGTAATGACAAAATAAAGTACTTTATTTCACATTTGGATTAAACTGTAGGAGATATTCTGTGGGCAAGATTTTGTCTGGACAGACAGCAGAATGTCTATCAAAAAACCTTGAGAAGTATAATTGATGGATTTTGGTAATCATTATTCTCTACTATATTTAACTGACACAGACTGTCTCCAGGTACTCTATATTGACGTGGATCAGATCAGTGAGGCTTACCTTGTAGTGCTTCTCCTTCAGGTTGAGTTTAGCACGTGCATAGCGAACCTCCCAGTCGCTGAGTGCTCCTTTTTCAATCTCCCTCTCTTCCTCTGCCATCTTCTTATCTAGATCAGACATCTCCATCTGTTGTTTGTTCAGCAGCTGTGTACGTTGGTACTGTAGTTCTTCTGGACTTAGGCCCATTTTCTGTAATACACAGGAAAAAGTTATCCTCAAATTACTTTATTGTAAATTTTAAGTCTGATTTATCATCAACTTGTAATATTTAACCTGGTCTCCTAATGTCATCAAGGGGACTTCAATGATTTTTAACCTTAAAGTTACCTTTGCATAAAAAGTTACCTGAAGCTGAGCTAGTTCATTTTGATGACGTCTAGCCATGTCGTCGCGAGTCTTGTCATATTTATCGTGGAGTTTACTTAGTGCATCATCAATCATCATCTTCTTTTCAGTCTGGTATTGCTTCTCCAAGTCTTTCATTTCCTGCGCAGAAAAAAAATAAGTGAAATACTGTTACCTATCTATAAGTTCAGTATTTGATCAATTAACAGTACCTGAATTTCCCAACTTTCTTCTTTTGGGTTGTTAACTGAGCCACTACTAATTTCACGATGGTTTGTCTCTTTGCCAGCCTACAAAACCTTGTTATTGTCCTGTTTAGTGTCCTTCCTCACTCCTTAGTGACACTATTACATAGATATCTGAGCACGTCTCTATGCCAGAACAGCCCAGGCAACCTCGTCACTGTTCTATTCATTGCCCTCCCTCCCTCATTAATTACACTTTTACATAGTTACCTGAGCATGTTTCTGTGCCAGAACAGCCCAGACAACCTTGTCACTATTCTGTTTACCTCCCTCCCTCACTCCTTAGTTACGTTATTACATAGTTACCTGAGCATGTCTCTGTGCCAGAACAGCCCGGACAACCTTGTCACTGTCCTCCTCTCCATTCTGTTTGATGCCCTCCTCTATAGCCTTGCGTTCTACACCTTTAGCTTGTTTGAGATGGATATCGTCAAGGTCTTTCTTCTGTTCAATCATCTCCTTCGTTAATTCCACTTCCTGTTTCCTTCTGAGTTCATCCATCTTTCGACGGCGACGGTTATTAAGTCTCTCACGCATGGTAAGAAGTTGTCTATTCCGGTCATTTTCAAGTTTTTCTTGAAGGTCCTCTAATTCCTGTTCATGGGCGGCCATCATCTGTTTGACAATAACAATAAATCAAATGTAGCTTGTATTAGGTGTAAATTGAAGATAACACTAAGTAGCACAAGAATCACAGAAAACATGCTTTATCTTAACTTTGTAGACACTAACCGCCTTAACTTGGTCATCAGACAGGTCAGTGCGTGCTGCCAATTCAGCAGCCTGCCTATTCCGTTTCTCTCGCAGAATCTTCTCTGTTTCGGAGTCCAGCTCCTTTCTTGCATCTTTTTCCTGATTACCATCTTCACCTGCAAGCTTCTCTGCTAACTTTTCCCTATCCTGTTTATGACGCTTCTTCATCTCTTCTTTTGCTCTCTCCTAATAACCAGATAAGAATCAGTTCATGACAAAATGAAATCTTTTGTGTTGGACCCAAAAATACTACCAGGTTATACAGTCAATCTTCTATGAATTGAACTTCCAATAATTCAAATTTCTTGATGTATCAAAGTTTTTGTCCAGTCCCAAATTTTATTCCTATATGCTACTAACTTATCCCCTTATGAACTGAAGTTTTATAAATCAAACTTATCAATGTATCTTAGCTTTTTTCACGGACTGTAAGCTATGATAACACAGTCATTGACACCTCAGAATTCAAACAAAACATTTACCTGCACTGTACAGGTATTTTTGCACTGCAGCAAAATTTCACGCATTTCAACAAAGAGTGTTTCCTGACAATGGGATTATGATAGCCCACTATCGTTAGCTGTGCGGTATGAGGTTAATTAATGATTGGACTAGCTGTTGTCAGAACGTCGGCAAACAATGATAATAAAATAATTTATATGACTGAAGATGTGTGATGTTAGTGCTGTCATTTCTGGACAGAATACATTATGATATTAATTTGCTTTCTTTTAAATTCATTAGTGCCTATAACATTTATGTATCAGTCTTAAAATTATTTCTATAACACGTGAAGGTCACTTTGTCTTTGACTCATTGACGTTGACCTGTAGACTGGTGACATCTCCTTTGATTTCTACTAATTATGCTACCATAAGTTATAATAACCAGTAAATGTCTAATATGACCTGGACCATTAACCTGAAATAATCTAAATCCTTTGAACTCTGACCGTGTGACCTTGACCTGTTGTTGAGTAACTTCTCATTTGATTTCAGTCAATTATACTTCATCATGTCAAACAGTAACATTTGGATATATCTGGATCTGGATTTGAAAAAGCAGATGCAGTGGAAAAATTTTGAGTGGAAATGGCCCAACAGAATTTCAGATATTTTGCTGAAATGAAAACTGGACTGTAAACTTGATTACTATATTTTCTTACCTCCCCCTATCAAGAAGAAAAAACCACAATTTTTCATTTACTTGGTCAGAAGATATCTTTTCATTGACCTTTACAAAAGTGGCAGTGACCACATATAATTTTGTAATTTTACCTGTTCCTTTTTCAGAGCATTCTCCTCCACTGAGTCCCCATAGCTGACTGTAGGTACATGGGCGAGGTCAGGCACACCAACAGCACCAACCCTACCATCACCTTGCATCATTTGTCGATTTTGCTCCAAGATGATTCGTTGAGCCTCTTCCTCTTCCATGCGACGCTGAGCCTCAGCCAATCGACGGGCTCGTCTGGCTTCTAACTTAGCCTTGAATAGGGAATGTTTTGTTTAAAGTTTGGGAATAACTTTACACTTAATATTTAAACATCAATTCATTGGATTCTAACGAGACAAAATGGGGATAAAAGACAAGTCTCTGGTGGAAGTATATAAAGAATTAATATACACTGTTTTATATATCTTTTTTTACATCCACACATACTAGGTACAATAACCGCATACTTTTAAAGAGACTGACCTGTGTGTCACCGAGATGTCTCTGTCGTTCTAAAGACAGTTCCTGGTCAAGAGATTCCATGTTTTGTCGGTAGTCCTCCATCACATGTTGTAAAGCCATCTGTTTGGCCTCGGGGCACATTTGGTTCACCTGTGTATCAGAGCAATGGGAATCATGTTCATCACAACCAATCTGTCAAAGCTCGGTTTGTTTGATACATTTAATAATTATTGTTATTATTATCAGAAATAAGAATAAATGCTGTATGAATGTCCTGTAATAAGCCCATCTCCCAAGCTCTTTTACGGAAAGATTTTGTATAGAATAGTTTATTCCCCATACTGTAACACATCTACTGCTTTAACATTCCTAAAATGTTTTTCATGAAATGAATTAAAATTTACCTGTCCAGTTTTGTAATTACTGATTTTTCTTTGTGTTACTATTAAAATTTACCTGTCCAGTTTTGTAATTACTGATTTTTCTTTGTGTTACTATTAAAATTTACCTGTCCAGTTTTGTAATTACTGATTTTTCATTGTTTTACTATTAAAATTTACCTGTCCAGTTTTGTCATTACTGATGTTTTCTGTGTTTTACAATTAAAATTTACCTGTTTGAGAATGTCCCTGTGTTTCTGCTTGGTGCCCTGAGTATGTTCTTCTTCCAGATTTTTGTTGATACGATGGATATGCTCTTTCTCCTCAGCATCTATTTCTGCCTCTGCAGACTCCATTTCCTGCAGATGTAGCTGTTTAAGGTATTCCAGCTCCCTCTCCAGGTCACCAGTCTCACCTTGTTCAATAAGCTTGGCAGATAGCTATAAGCACAGAAACCAGTGTCAATAAATCACGACAAAGTGTCTCCCTCTCTGGCTGGTATATTTTTAAATGGCCACTTGAACATGTTAATTGAAAAATTTTGATATCAAAGATTGTCTGAAAACTCTCTTCATTAAAATACAATGAGGACTGATAGTATCTACTGCAAAGCAATTCATCTTCTTCCAGAACAAAGATAATTTTTTTTTATAACTGACGGTACTTACCTCACTAAGCTCGGCTTCATGCTGATCCTGCAGCTTGCCAAGCCTCTTCTTGCGTCGTTCAGCAATCCTGTCCTGCAGGGCTGAAATTTGTTGTTTACGTTGGTTGTCATGGTGACGAGCCAGTTTCTTCTCGTTTTCAATATGGCTCCTGAGAAGCTCTTCCTGTTGCTTTGCTGACAAGATTCCGTCCTGCGTCATCCTGGTCTATAAACACAATCCACCAAAGTCATTAACAACCTTCTCTTAAAGCAACATTTGTCTACATAAAAGTTGCTTCCAGATAAGTAAAAGATATGACACAGGATTAAGAATTTATTTCTAGAAAAAATCATAACCATTTAGTAAGGTGACAAAAAAACAAATCTTTACATTAAAACAGGAGAAGTGCGACACCCACCAGTTCATCTTGGAGCTTGTTGTCCATCTGTTTGCGTTCCTCCTCGTTCACACTGATATCAAGGTCAGTTTCTGCTTTTGCTGAACCAGCAGCCTTCTCTGCCTGCAGAGTGTTGAGTAGCGCCTCCCAGCGGCGCAATTTTTTCCCGGCGTGACCAGCATCGCCTTCAACAGGTGACGGAAGTCCATTTTCTTCCGCCTCCTTAGAGTGTTTATCTCTCAGTTGGGCTTCTTTTCTCCTTCTCTTCTCCTCAAGTCGTCGTCGCAGGTCGTAGGCCTGTCGCTCTTTGTCGGTCATGTGTTTATTCATAGTGCTCTCATAATCTTTCTCGTAGTTAGAAAGAATGTCTTTCACCTGCTTCTCATTCATGTCACCTGTGGACAGAAAACACTTTAAATGTTTAGTATGTGTATAAAGATAATACTAGTTAAACCAGAATTCTAAAGAATTATATATCTAGTTGTACCAGCTTTGCTCTGTCAAGGAAAAAGTGAAAATTTAATGCATGGCAAGAAAAAAAACCCTGTCATGCGTTATGTGCGTTTTAAGTATTTGTTAAGGTACAAATTACAGATTTGAAATATACATTACCATGGAGGCGATTGACTAGTCCTCCTAACTGATGATCAACTGTGTCTTTACGTTTATCTTCTTCAGTTGTCAAAAGTTTGCTGATTGCATCTCTCTCCTCCTGGTCCAGTTCACGTTCCAACTGTAAACGTTCTCCATTCTGTCTCCTTAGCAACTCCGACTGTAACAGTAAACGTAGACATATATTTACAAAACCTTTTTCCTCTCTAAGGCAAAGTGCACCAAATCAAACCTTTGAGTGGGATTTATAAACAAGTATTATGCTCCTTCCAGTGTTTTGTATTTCTTAACCTGAGAAGTATCCTGTCTATATGACTGTAAAGTCCCATGTGTCTATATGACTGGTGTGTACCAGTTCCCTTGTAAAGTCCCATGTGTCTATATGACTGGTGTGTACCAGTTCCCTTGTAAAGTCCCATGTGTCTATATGACTGGTGTGTACCAGTTCCCTTGTAAAGTTCCATGTGTCTATATGACTGGTGTGTACCAGTTCCCTTGTAAAGTCCCATGTGTCTATATGACTGGTGTGTACCAGTTCCCCTTGTAAAGTCCCATGTGTCTATATGACTGGTGTGTATCAGTCCCCCCTGTAAAGTCCCATGTGTCTAAATGACTGGTGTGTACCAGTTCCTTGTAAAATCCCATGTGTCTATATGATTGGTGTGTACCAGTTCCCTTGTAAAGTCCCATGTGTCTATATGACTGGTGTGTACCAGTTCCCCTTGTAAAGTCCCATGTGTCTATATGACTGGTGTGTACCAGTTCCTCTTGTAAAGTTCCATGTGTCTATATGACTGGTGTGTATCAGTCCCCCCTGTAAAGTCACATTTGTCTATATGACTGGTGTGTACCAGTTCCCCTTGTAAAGTCCCATGTGTCTATATGACTGGTGTGTACCAGTTCCCTTGTAAAGTCCCATGTGTCTATATGACTGGTGTGTACCAGTTCCCTTGTAAAGTTCCATGTGTCTATATGACTGGTGTGTACCAGTTCCCCTTGTAAAGTCCCATGTGTCTATATGACTGGTGTGTATCAGTCTCCCATGTAAAGTCCTATCTGTCTATATGACTGGTGTGTACCAGTTCCCCTTGTAAAGTCCCATGTGTCTATATGACTGGTGTGTACCAGTTCCCTTGTAAAGTCCCATGTGTCTTTATGACTAGTGTGTACCAGTTCCCCTTGTAAAGTCCCATGTGTCTATATGACTGGTGTGTACCAGTTCCCCTTGTAAAGTCCCATGTGTCTATATGACTGGTGTGTATCAGTTCCCCCCCTGTAAAGTCCCATGTGTCTATATGACATGTACCTGTTTTCCTGTCCCGCCTGTGAAGCCTCCTACATCTATGTTGGTTGTATACATGGTGCCCCCTGTGCCAGCAGTTCCTCCTTTCTGCAGCTGATCCCAGCTCTGCTGATTGATAGGAAGATTGCCGGTGTTCAACTTGTCCAGCAAGAGTTGTAAGGCAGCCATGAGTTCAGCTTCACGATTTCCACCTGTCATCAGAATGTTTTACAATAATTCATTCATTTTACAGTCAAATGACCTCATTTCACTTTATTTGTATATTTTAACTAAACTAATAAATAAGTATATACAGAAAATGAGAACTTTAAAATAAATTTTGTCTATGTTACCTGCAAATTTGTACTTGTTTTGACCTCCAGCTGAGATGGCAGCTATGTTGTCCCCAGCACCCGTCAGACCAGCCTGCTGGCTGCGGGCTGCCATTCTCGCCTCCAAAGCTTCCAGCTGTGCTGGATCCATGTTTTGTAAAAGGTTTTTGAGTTCCTCATTCTGAGCACAGATTCTCTCATAGAAACTACGGAGATCTTCTTGTTGTCGAGCTAATTGTGATGCCAGATGAAGGTTTTGATCTTCCAGTTTGTCGTAGAAAACTCTGACATTGAAATTCTCCAAATCCTCTTCTCCCTTGACACCTGTAGATGTTTTAGGAACCATAATGTCATAATACATATCACAAACCAAATTCTTTGCTACAGGTATTTTCTAGCAAATAAAGAGGGTGTGTTGGAAGAATATTTTTCTAGGAAACAGTTTTATGATAATTTGAGAAAAAAAAATTGTCACAAGTAGCAGTAATACATACCCATAGAAACGAGAACATCAGTTTCTGCACCATCACCAGAGCTTCTCATCTCTAAAGCACCATTCTCCCTGTAGAGAAATAATTAGACTGGTTTGATCAAGTAATATTTTTTTAACTCCTCCAATCTTCTTTAAATCTACAACAAGTTATACTTATAGACATAACCTAATGAACATTTAAGCAAAATTGCTTCAAAGAATTTTAAACATATAGGTCATATATACTCCATAAAGGAGTGTATAAAGTAAACACACTGAGATTTGGCGCTATTAGAATAATGCATTATCACTTTTGACAAATAAACACAAAGCTGAATCCATAATGACTGACACATGAAAACAGGAACTGCAATAATCTCTATCATATTTCAGTGGAATATTTTATGTGCAAAAATGAAAGTATTGATAAAAAATTATCATTAAAATCTGTGTGTAAGTAGTCATTCTCAACGATAAACATTTCAGTGCTTACATTCCCTCCTTGTGTGGCCAATGGTCGGAGTCGTATCTCATAAACAGTGGTACAGGTGGTGGCTCGCCTAGACTGCGATAAGCAGGCTTCCAGTGTTTCATGGGATAGATGCCTGCCTCCCTTGGGCGCCATACGATGACAGCCACCACCAGCAGCAGTACCAGGATGGCGAAAAACACAATCATACCTGGATAAGATTCAAGATACAAGAGCATATCAATGGTATGTTGTGATAGTTTACAGCAACAGAAGTACGGGCAGGAGTAAGAACAATCTCACACTGTTTTACTGGTCTGCTTAATGTCTTCTGTGAATGATTTTGTTTACAGTCAGTGACATCACAGCTCGGTAACATTAGAACTTAGAAGATTAATAGCCATTTACAGCAGATTTTGTTGTTTTAAACACATAGTATTTCCTTAAACCTATAGAAACATATATTTGCAAAAGTGACACCAACACCCTAGAAAGTCAAAATGTCGAACAATGATATATTTTATAAAACTGGTGTTAATAGTTTGAAATGAAAATATTTGCACAAGTATTCTTTCATTGTGATGTAATGCTGAGGTGTGAATTGCCATAATAAAAAAATGACAAAGAGACCAATGATCAAGAGAAATGGAAATAATAAGAAATATAGATGTATGTTAATTATAGATATTTATCTGAATATAGTATTCTTGGATTGAATATTCCATACCTGATAAACATTTACTTCTCTATCACACAAGTTTCACAGTAGTTAAGCTACTACATTGGTGTTATTGCTGGATTTCTTCAATTTTATTGGAAATTAATATTTGTGAGACCAACCAATCAGGAGATACGATGTTTGAATTGAAAGTGAAATGTGTGAAGCTTCTTGTTAGAGGTTATCATTTCATCAGGGACACTGACCTTTGATGAGTCCCCAGTCTGGAGCTAAGTTCTCTGGGTCAGCTTTGTAGAAGCCAAGAGCAGCCAAATTGGCTGTTGTGGCACTGACTATGCGAGAGGTGGAAGGATCACAGGTGGTCCCCGCAGGCATGACACTGATGTAAACCAAACTGGAAATAAAAACACTCTATATAAAACCAACAACATTAAGTTTCAGCAACAACAAGCTCTCTTATAAACAACAGCAAGTTCTCTTTTTATCAACAACAAACTCTGCCATCAGCAACAATAATCTCTATCTGCAACATTAATCTCTAAGTCATTAACAAGCTCTGTTATCAACAATAGCAAACTCTGTTTCATCAACAACAGGCTCTTCATCATCAAAAACAGCAAGTTCTTTGTTATCGACAACAACAAGCTGTCCGTCATTAACAACAACAAGCTTTCTGTTATTAACAACAACAAGCTCACTGTCATCAACAACAAGCTCACTGTCATCAATAATAATCTTTGTCATTAACAACAAACTCTCTGTCATTAACAACAACAAGCTTTCTGTTCTTAACAACAGTAAGCTCTCTGTCATCAATAATAGCCAGCTCCCTGACAATAATAAGGTCATCAAAAGTATTTCATATTCCACAAGCAGACTGAGACTGCTGTGTACAATCAACCAATATGACCTGTATAGCTCACATGGCTTTGCTTGGCTGAAATTGCTACATCAGAACTATAGAAAAAGTAATTTCAAGCACATAACACACAACATATCTATTTCTCCCACTGGGCCCAAACCTCTGTCCCTAGGGGACCAGCTCAATCATTACTGCTTCAGACCAAATTGAGATAGAATCCTGCCATTTCTACATATTCTGAAGAAGAAGAAGGATTTTTAAGGATTTGTTTCATTTTCCATACAATAGGTTCTATTTCTCCAGTCCCACGGAGGGGTCAAGACCAACCGCTTATACAAGATCCTTTCCTATGGAATGTTTCTGACCAAATTTGGTCAAAAAAGATCTGCTCAGTGTTTCATGACAAGTGATGATTTGTAGAAAAATTGGTGGTCAGATGGACAACAGTCGTCTGTTGTATGGCATAAGCTCTGATCCTTCAGACCAGGAGAGTTAAAAACTTTAAATTTTTTTCCATCCAGACATAAAATTGTTCCAACTCTGCAGTGTTATATTGCCTCAAAAACACATAAGAGATATTTTTCAGCTGCATCATTCCTAAGTCATCCCCTCTTTTATTTTCAACCTACATGCAAATGGTTGACACCAGTGAAAACCAAACTGCTGAAAAAGGTTCTCCTCCTAAGTATCAGGTATAAAATGCAAATGGTACCTGTTGATGTCTTGTGCATCCTGGAACACATATGTGCCCGCTTCAATGAACACATGAAGGAAGGAGTTGATCACCAGAGTAGTAGTTTCAATCTTAGTCTTGAGTTCTGTAAATGCCCCATAATCGAAGTTGCTGTTGGAGGAGAAAAGACTATTTGGCAGGTAGACTGGATAGTGACTCTTCGTACGATCTGTGGAGTTCAACCATATATTGAACACAACCATTTCATTCAGTTCAATACATAAAGCAGGGTTGAAGATCTGGTTTGAAGGAACAGTAGTTGATAAAAGACGTCTTCTACGTCCAGAAACTCCAAGCGTTGGAAGTGGAACTGAAAAATAAAAGAAAATCAGTAAAATTGATGGACTATGCTTTTTAGAAAGTCATTGCAACTAAAATGGCCAGGCATGAATTTTACATACACATCCATTAAATCATACTTTATTTTCTTTAATCAATACAGAAGCAAAGCCAATCACATTTGAATTAGGTGACTTCAGTACAGATATAAGGGCTGTACATTTGTACATGTTCTTACCTCCTAAAGCAGAAGATGACTCAGCAGCAGTAGAATACAGGGAGCCAGTAACACCGACATTCCAGAAGTTTACAACAACACTCTGTTTTGCTCCAGCAGTACCAGAGACTGGACCTAAGACATCGGTCAACAGCTACACAAAAATCAGAGAAAAAACAAAGATACTAAAATATGTAATTTCATATATAATTTGTTGTATACTGAATCAGTAAGACATACATGTAACTCTCCATAGATAAGAAATAACATCCCATCAGTTTAATTTATCCTTACAAGTTGGATAAAATTGGATTAAAGCAAAGACATGTGTCAGAATTTAAGATATAAATGAAAACATACTAGATTTGTAGGAGTGGATGTTTTGGATTGCCATTAGAAGACCACGAGAGATTATATAGATACAAACCAACTTTCCAATTTAATAAATATTGCTTTGTGACAGAAGTATCCTACAAATCAAGTATTCCATAAAGAACTATGTAAAACTTCAGGTGATAAATCTCATGTTTATAGTAACAAAGACATGACCTTTGAATTTAAGACAGTGAAGAAGAATTACACATCATTTGGTCTAAGGGATTGTCATTCCATTACTAGCATAGAAATTAATTTTATAGAAAAACATTGATATTTACTTTAAATCTTTGCAATCACAAGTGACCGTTGAACACATAAGGATTTATAAGTTAGATGGGTCTAAAGAAACATTATTTATTGCATGTAAACCAAGATTTTGATTATAGTGACTATTGATTGTGATCATCAGCTACCCCTGTAGGACTTTTAACTGAGGAAGAAGCGTGATACAGTTAACTAGAAAATGTCTGTAAGACATGAATGCCCCCGCCCCCCCATGTCATGAGGTCTTTCCATACTTGATATTTGTATGAAGTTTCATGAAAATTGCCTTCCGAATGAAGTTGTTAGGTGGTATATACTGATTTGGGACGGAACGGGACGGGACGGACGGACATGGGCAACGCTATATGCCCCCGGCCATAAATGGCGGGGGCATAAAAAAACTTTTTTGTCTGGATGGCTGAATTGCCTTATGCATTTGATCAGTTCTCCTGATATTACAGTTGGCGTTATATGTTATGGTGACTGCACTTGTTTGGTTTATGACTGACCTGTGTACTGCTGGTGCCAGTGACTGGATCTATGGTCACTGCACTGACCTCCCCAGTGGTCGAGGAAAGCTCTATAGTAACTGTTGGCATGGTGGTACTTCGACACACATAATTACAGATGGTATCCGGATCTTGATAAGTTGCACATTGACATCTACAAAACAATGATATTATGTCAATGCAATCTGCAAATTACAATGAAATAAAGAAAAACTTTGAATTTTGACTGTCTTAAGATCTTTGTGATATCCATTTTCATCAATTTAAAATGATCTGATCTACTTCAGATGTACATATGAGCATACATCTTTACAATATAAAAAAAGAAGAATAGAAATTTGAACCATCTCTGATTAACATGATGAAGGTCTCATATTACTTTTTACCTTATGAGGAACATCATAATTTACTTCTTTAATGAGAGAACAAGACTGTAAACTTACACGCCAAATTCAGTATCAAAGAATGCTGGTCCTGTTCCGGACGGATCACATGTGGAATCACAATTTACATTTGAGGAAGTCACACACCCGCGAGTTAATGCATTTCTGGCTTCACTTAATGCACAATTGTCATCCACAATTCTCTGACAGTCTGTATCACTGTCTCCCTCTTGCTGTGCTACATTTAATTCATCATAGTACATAAAACCAGCATTACAAACGCAAAAACCTGTTGATGGTTGGAACTGACGGTACAGACCGCGACAGGCACAGGATGATCGATCGTCAAGGGAGTAAGCGTTACTTCCACATAGTTTACATTGTATAGAGGCTGCTACATTGCTGAAGGAGCCAGAGGGACATGAAGTACAGCTAGCAGAACTGCTTGCCTTTAATGTGGTACCGTAAGTTCCTACTGGGCAAGGAGTTTCTGCAGACGATCCCTCCGGACAGTAGTAACCTGCTGTACAAGGATTGCTGTCCCCATGACCTGTTCCTTCAGGACACCAGTATCCAGGTGGACATAGAAGACACTGAGCCCTGTCTGTTTGGTTACTGTAGGTTCCGGCAGGGCAGATGTCACAGGATTGAGCTTCATCATATCTAATGCCAGAGTGGGGTATGGCACGGTATCCAAGATTGCAGTTCATGGTCATGTTACTACCTTCAGGACAAAAATCAGGAAAGTTACATTCTACTGGTACATCTGTACCATAGAAACAGTAGTAGCCAGCAGGGCAGATTGGTGGTGTTCCAGTAGTGGCATTACAGTAGTGTCCTGGTCGACATAGCTCCTCCAAGGATGAACCTGCTGGGCATTCATATTTGGCATTACAAGGGATCCCCTGGGTGTTAATTGTATCATTAGGACAGTAGTAGCCTGGTCGACAAAGTTCGCAGTCAGTGTAGGCTGCAGCACCAGTGCCATTCCGCATTCTACCAGCTGGACAAAGAGAAGGCTCCTGGCCTTCAAGGCAATAGTAGCCTTCCTGACAGGGGTAGTCTATATAATCAGCCATACCTATAACATAGAATACAGGGTTAGTCTATACAGTCAGTCATACCTATAACATAGAATACAGGGCTAGTCTATACAGTCAGCCATACCTATAACATAGAATACAGGGCTAGTCTATATAGTCAGCCATACCTATAACATAGAATACAGGGTTAGTCTATACAGTCAGTCATACCTATAACATAGAATACAGGGTTAGTCTATACAGTCAGCCATACCTATAACATAGAATACAGGGCTAGTCTATACAGTCAGCCATACCTATAACATAGAATACAGGGTTAGTCTATACAGTCAGCCATACCTATAACATAGAATACAGGGCTAGTCTATACAGTCAGCCATACCTATAACATAGAATACAGGGCTAGTCTATACAGTCAGTCATACCTATAACATAGAATACAGGGCTAGTCTATACAGTCAGCCATACCTATAACATAGAATACAGGGTTAGTCTATACAGTCATACCTATAACATAGAATACAGGGCTAGTCTATACAGTCAGCCATACCTATAACATAGAATACAGGGTTAGTCTATACAGTCAGCCATACCTATAACATAGAATACAGGGCTAGTCTATACAGTCAGCCATACCTATAACATAGAATACAGGGTTAGTCTATACAGTCATACCTATAACATAGAATACAGGGCTAGTCTATACAGTCAGCCATACCTATAACATAGAATACAGGGTTAGTCTATACAGTCATACCTATAACATAGAATACAGGGCTAGTCTATACAGTCATACCTATAACATAGAATACAGGGCTAGTCTATACAGTCAGCCATACCTATAACATAGAATACAGGGTTAGTCTATACAGTTAGTCATACCTATAACATAGAATACAGGGTTAGTCTATACAGTCATACCTATAACATAGAATACAGGGTTAGTCTATACAGTTAGTCATACCTATAACATAGAATACAGGGTTAGTCTATACAGTTAGTCATACCTATAACATAGAATACAGGGTTAGTCTATACAGTCATACCTATAACATAGAATACAGGGTTAGTCTATACAGTTAGTCATACCTATAACATAGAATACAGGGTTAGTCTATACAGTCAGCCATACCTATAACATAGAATACAGGGCTAGTCTATACAGTCAGCCATACCTATAACATAGAATACAGGGTTAGTCTATACAGTCAGCCATACCTATAACATAGAATACAGGGCTAGTCTATACAGTCAGCCATACCTATAACATAGAATACAGGGTTAGTCTATATAGTCATACCTATAACATAGAATACAGGGTTAGTCTATACAGTCAGCCATACCTATAACATAGAATACAGGGCTAGTCTATACAGTCAGCCATACCTATAACATAGATTCGTGTGAAAGTTCAAAGGTGAAGATGATCATGTAGAAAAGGTATTACATCCTGTATAGTAATGTTTGATGTACATGTGCTTTACCTGTTTGGTTACAATAGTATCCAGCAGGACATGGGGGACAGTCAGTGATGACAGCGGCTCCAGTGTCATTACCGTAGCTCAGGAGTGGACAGGGTTCTTTCTCACTGCCTGCAGGGCAGTAGTACCCTCTAGTACACGGTTCTGGGACAGATGTTCCTAAACAAAAATTAAGGTATCATATGAAGATGTAGACCAACACAAGTTTACATCAACATTTGTCTAGTTCCATTACAACAGTACTAAATAGTTAATGTAATGATGAGACTATAATTACAACTGGTCCAACTTTATTGTGATGTCACAATGCTTCTGTGAGTAATTCCATGTACAGGATGTTTCCATGTTACTCTACTGAATAAGAAGAGGTTTATTGCTCAGTATCACTAATATGAAGTACATCATCTTTCTTGAACCCAAAGTGAGTTCCATGGGATTTATCAGTAGCTGGCCTACAATTATAGTGAGTTCCATGGGATTTATCAGTAGTTGGCCTACAATTACAGCGAGTTCCATGGGATTTATCAGTAGCTGACCTACAATTACAGCGAGTTCCATGGGATTTAGCAGTAGCTGACCTACAATTACAGCGAGTTCCATGGGATTTAGCAGTAGCTGACCTACAATTACAGCGAGTTCCATGGGATTCATCAGTAGCTGACCTACAATTACAGCAAGTTCCATGGGATTCATCAGTAGCTGGCCTACAATTACAGCGAGTTCCATGGGATTTATCAGTAGCTGACCTACAATTACAGCGAGTTCCATGGGAGTTATCAGTAGCTGGCCTACAATTACAGCGAGTTCCATGGGATTTATCAGTAGCTGACCTACAATTAGCGAGTTCCATGGGATTTATCAGTAGTTGGCCTACAATTACAGTGAGTTCCATGGGATTTATCAGTAGCTGGCCTACAATTAGCGAGTTCCATGGGATTTATCAGTAGCTGACCTACAATTACAGCGAGTTCCATGGGATTTAGCAGTAGCTGACCTACAATTACAGCGAGTTCCATGGGATTTAGCAGTAGCTGACCTACAATTACAGTGAGTTCCATGGGATTTATCAGTAGCTGGCCTACAATTACAGCGAGTTCCATGGGATTTATCAGTAGCTGACCTACAATTAGCGAGTTCCATGGGATTTATCAGTAGCTGACCTACAATTACAGCGAGTTCCATGGGATTCATCAGTAGCTGACCTACAATTACAGCGAGTTCCATGGGATTTATCAGTAGCTGGCCTACAATTACAGTGAGTTCCATGGGATTTACCAGTAGCTGTTATGTTATCAAACACTCATTCCTTATCTCTTTAGTCCTTAGCTGTTTATACAAGACCCTTATATAAGGAAATGGTATCAAACACTCATTCCTTATCTCTTCTGCAGAACACTGCTTTGGCACCCAACTATGCACCAGATCAAGTTTAGTCCAAATTATTCAGACAAGAAGTATTTTGATATAACTGACTGTTGAATGGTCAATGTGTAAGCACTTCAGCTCAAATATATGTAGCTGTAGTTAGGACCTGGTTATCTAGACACATGTTAATCATCATTCAGTAAAATCAATAAAACACGTAATTTGGAGTGTACTCACGTAAGGGCCATAATGAGTGTGCAACAAGTTGATGAAACATTACTTATATCTACCTTCATTACAGATGAATCCTGCCGGACATATGATGCAATCAGACACAGTGGCAGCACCTGGATGGCCACGATAAGTGGCATTAGGACATGCAATTGGATCGAGGATTCCAAGTGGACAGTAGTGGCCACTGGGACAAAGACCAGCACACTCATCATTAGCAGAACAGGTGAAGTTGGTGACAACAGTTGGCATGTCATCCTTGGATCCAGATTTACAGTAATAACCTGAGGCACAGGCTTCATACAGCTGGCCATTTCTATAAAAAGGATACAAAACACAATTATTTCAGGTCAGTCATATGGTACCAGAGTCTTTACTTCAGATAAAGTTTTTTGCATAAAAAACAGCTAAATGTACTTTGTATCCTTGTAAGGAACAGATACAATGATCCATTTCAGATATCTGAATCTTGAATAATCAGATGCCATGAGAAGTAATTTTCATCATACTTACCAAAACTGAGTGATTTTACTGTACAAAGAAATCCAACACAAGTAAATGCATTCCGTTAGATTTTCTTTCTGAATATCATTGACATACCTGCAGTAGTTGCCAGCTAGACAAGGCAGACAGTCAGCCTGTGATCTTAGACCAGTCATATTGGCATAGGTGAATGTTCCATTGGCACAAGGTGTGGGGTACTGACTTCCTGATAAATGAAATGTTTATCAACTTTAATATCACATTCATTATAAACAACAGGAATTCAAGGAGTGGAGTACTGACTTCCTGGTAAGTGAAATGTTTGTCAACTTTAATATCACATTCATTATAAACAACAGGAAATCATTTTATCGCAGATAGGTAATCTTGTGTGGTAATTGTGAAGTTCTCATGGCTGTTCTACTGAATGATATGCATAGAATGGCAATTTATGTCAAAGACACACATCCAGTCCAACAGTTCAGAATTAGGAGAATTTGGAGAAAATTGGTTAAGATGAGTTTGTGAAATAAAGATGGGAATGATAAAAGGAACTAAGTAAATACATGTCCTGACAAACATTTACTACCGAGGTAGAATAGGTTTAAAGCTAAGAATTTAATATCTACTGTTGATTTTGAAGATCTGGTAATAGTTTGATATAAATTTCAGCACTAGCTACAATAAAGATATTCTGCATGTGCAATGATTTTCACAGCATACACTTACCAGCTGGACAGAAACTGTATGGCTCGCAGACCTTCTTCTCTGGGTTGAGTGATCCTACACAATAGTAACCCTCAGGACAGTCAACACAGGAAGACTGACCAACATTGTCCTGGTACTGACCACCAGGACAGGGAATAGGGGCAACAGATCCTTCCAGGCAGTAGTAGCCAGCAGGGCAGGTAAACTCTGTGGGAGAGGCCTGAACTGTTGAATGGTTAGCCGGGCAGTAAAAACCTGCAGAACACTTTGTTGTGGCCTCTGTCTGACCTGGATTGGCACAGTAGTAACCGCCAGTGCAAGGTAGACAATCATCTGCACTTGCAGCACCTAAAAACAGGGGAGAAATTGATGTTATAAAAATGTGTCTGTTGAATACTGACTCATTAGGAAGTTACTTCCATATACCATGTCATAAACTGGCACCAACTGTATAATACTCCCTGACATCAACAATGCTAGACTTGAAATAAACTTTCCATGGTAGAATGTAATCCTTTGATGGACATAAAACTTACACATAAAGTCAAAGCAGACTGTGACAGGTAAATAGACAGGAGTAGATACTTTTACTGTTAGATATCCTAGACCTGATCAAAGGAATGACATACCTGTGAAGTTGCGGATCGTTCCTGCTGGACATGGTACCCGTAAAGCTGTGCCAGCTGGACAGTAGTGACCCACTGGGCACAGTCCACTGTCTGGGTAAGCTGCAGAGGCATTGGCATATCGGTCAAAGGCACCACCCTGGCAGAAGTAGCCCGCATCACAGTCACCTAAATAGACCACAGAAAATTCTCTTTTGGACTATAAACCTCAAACATTGACCAATGCTAGTAAAGTTTTTAACAAACTAGCTAACCAGTAAGTGAAGACAGCAGCTAAAGTAACAATGTGTAACTAAACAGTCAGTATAGACAACAGCTGTAGTAACATTATGTAACTAAACATTTAGTAACAACAGTTGTAAACATTATAACTAAAGTATAGACAACAGCTTGTAACAAAACAGTAACAATGTGTAATAATAATGTGTAAATAAGTCTAAAGTCATTTAGTATAGACAACAGCTGTAGTAACAAAACAGTCAGTGAAGACAACAGCTGTAGTAACAATGTGTAACTTAACAGTCAGTATAGAAAACAGCTGTAATAATAATGTGTAAATAAGTCAGTATAGACAACAGCTGTAGTAACATTATGTAACTAAACATTTAGTATAGACAACAGTTGTAGTAACAATGTGTAACTAAAGTCAGTATAGACAACAGCTGTAGTAACAAAACAGTCAGTGAAGACAACTGCTGTAGTAACAATGTGTAACTAAACAGTCAGTATAGACAACAGCTGTAGTAACAATGTGTAACTAACATTCAGTATAGACAACAGCTGTAGTAACAATGTGTAACTAACATTCAGTATAGACAACAGCTGTAATAACAATATGTAACTAAACAGTCAGTATAGGCAACAGCTGAAGTAACATTGTGTAACTGAACATTCAGTATAGACAATAGCTGTAGTAACAATGTGTAACTTAACACTCAGTATAGACAACAGCTGTAGTAACGATATGTAACTAAACAGTCAGTAGTGACAACAGCTGAAGTAACAATGTGAAACTAAATAGTCAGTATAGACAACAGCTGTAGTAACAATGTGTAACTAAACAGTCAGTAGTGACAACAGCTGAAGTAACAATGTGTAACTAAATAGTCAGTATAGACAACAGCTGTAGTAACAATGTGTAACTAAACAGTCAGTATAGACAACAGCTGTAGTAACAATGTGTAACTAAATAGTCAGTATAGACAACAGCTGTAATAACAATATGTAACTAAACAGTCAGTATAGGCAACAGCTGAAGTAACATTGTGTAACTGAACATTCAGTATAGACAATAGCTGTAGTAACAATGTGTAACTTAACACTCAGTATAGACAACAGCTGTAGTAACGATATGTAACTAAACAGTCAGTAGTGACAACAGCTGAAGTAACAATGTGTAACTAAATAGTCAGTATACTGTAGTAACAATGTGTAACTAAACAGTCAGTATAGACAACAGCTGTAGTAACAATGTGTAACTAAATAGTCAGTATAGACAACAGCTGTAGTAACAATGTGTAACTAAACAGTCAGTATAGACAACAGCTGAAGTAACAATGTGTAACTAAATAGTCAGTATAGACAACAGCTGTAGTAACAATGTGTAACTAAACAGTCAGTATAGACAACAGCTGTAGTAACGATATGTAACTAAACAGTCAGCATTGACAACAGCTGTAGTAACAATGTGTAACTAAACATTCAGTATAGACAACAGCTGTAGTAACAATGTGTAACTAACCAGTTAGTGTATGCTGTACTGACCTGTGGGAACACTGTTTCCAAGACCAAGACAATATTGTCCAACAGGACAATCAGTACATTGAGATAACTGTCCCATTCCAGTCAGGTTGTTGTATGTTCCAGCTGGACATGGGATTGGAGGTGTAGCAGCCTCACAGTAGTAACCTTGCAATCAAACATTTGTATATTAACTTATGGATGGGGGGGAAAATGACAAAATTAAGTAGGATTTCATATAGATAACCCCCCCTCCTCCAAACAGGAAATGGTTTAGCAGTTTATTTAAAATAACACCTTAAACACTGTAAAAATAACAAAGTTTGACTTTTGACCTTCACTAATGACCTATCAAAATTTGAACTTAGTAAGGAGATGCTATACAGTAAATTTGTTAATGGTTGATAAGACATCAATTCTTGTTTTAGATGTTCTCTTTTAATTGTTTATGTTACCTAAGACGTAACTGGCCTGGAATTCTTGAAAAATTAAACATTGTGGAAAAATCATTCTTTTTTAACATAAAAAATTGGAGTAAAATCAGACTTTTCAGAGTTTCAAAAAATTAGGATTTTATATACTCTATCCTTAATTGCAAAGACATCTGGCTGAATTGTTACTCTCAACTTTCCAGTTAATTCCCATTCAGTGATGTCCTAATGATTATAATCCCAAATAAGCAACAAAAAACTACATACACTTAAGTATTTTCACATGGTTTCACAGATAGGTCGAACAAGTCATAATGCAAGGGAGATAACCTACCTGTTTTGCAATCCTCAGGGGTGGACATGTTAGAATTGAGGCACATCTTATTGACAGGGCATGAAAGACAGGAACTTTGTCCTAAATTGGGTTGGTAAGTCCCTATGGCGCATCCTTCTTCCACCAAAGCTCCTGAGATACAGAAGTGTCCTACTGGACAGATATAGCCTTCTGTGGCATTGGGAACTGCTTGTGACGCACCACCAGTACAGATATATCTAAAATTAAAGACAATTCAAAGGTTAAACCAAGGTTATCCTTGTCAAAGAGATAACATATTGTAGAAAGATAGCTGAGTGTTCTATTTACCTTGTACTATGTTGAGATTTACACAGACTTGCCATGGATGCAAGATCTTCTAAGGCAAATTTTGAGAGTCAGACCTACCCTAGGCTTCAAATTGAGTGCTAGACCCTGCACTTCAGCTGAGTGCCACACTTACTCTGCACTTCAGTTGAGTGCCACACTTACTCTGCACTTCAGCTGAGTGCCACACATACCATGCACTTCAGCTGAGTGCTACACCTACCCTGCATTTCAGCTGAGTGCCACACATACCTTGCACTTCAGTTGAGAGCAACACTTACCCTGCACTGCAGTTGAGTGCTTCAGTGACCTTGGTGAAGGCAGCCTGGTTGCAGTAGCGACCTGCTGGACATGGTTCACACTCGCTTTCAGAACTCATCTGTATCCTTGTGGAGAAGGTTCCAAGAGGACAAGGTATTGGGTATGTGGTTCCATTAGGACAGAAATAGCCAGTTGGACACTGGTCATTTCCTGTGAAGGTCACATTATGTGTTTGGTTCACCTTGAAGTATCAAATTAGAGCAAGAGTTAAGATTTTTCCAAATGAAATAAAGTGATAATGTTCCAGATAAATTTTACACTAAAAAAATTAACAAAATTGTCAATACAATTTTTTTTATTAATTGCCTATCATGACTTTCATCATTTTCCCTTACCAAATGATCAACAGGTGATCTAGAATCGGAGCCACCTGTACAATAGAATCCTCCCCAGCACTCAGCAACAGGTGAAGATAAACCAGCCTGATCACAGTACCAACCAGCAGTACAGGAAGTACAGTTTTCAATAGCACTGAGGTACTGATTAGGTCCATAGGCTCCAGCTGGACAGGGGAAAGTCTGAGCTGCTATTGTTCCTTCCGGGCAGTAGTATCCCACTGGACATGGTGACGGAGTGACCACAGGTACTCCTGGTAATAAATGAAGTATTGCCATCAAACTCTGACCATAACAGGACATTAGCAGAACAATATGTAGTACAAATACAACATCATCATACCCTTGAATGATTTTCTAAAGAATTATGTTTCAACCAGTCCCCTGCTGATATCATTAAAATTATTTCTATGAAAATTTTACAAAGAAAATCTGTGAAGCAAAATGAATTATTAAAAATGTTTGGTTTTTAAGTCACTTCCTTTCCTGTCCTAAAATATCCTCACAGTCAACTCCATTGTAGCTTTTCAGACTTAATTCAATCTTTGAAAAACAGGATTAAATAAGAATATTTCCATCAATATATAAATTCTCTCCATGCTTATCAGTATTATCAAACAATGAAAACTCACTATGATATATATACCATGTAAAATATAGTATGTTGATAAAGGAAAAGCAGGTGCCATATTGGTTTCATTCAGAGAAAAAAGTTGATTTTGCTTTCTCGAGAAGGACACATATTTTATTTTTCTCAACTACTTTGAGCCAGAGGTAATATATTTGTCCTGTGGATCCTGTAATGTGTCCTCCCCTACTTTGAGCCAGAGGTAATGTTTTGGCCCTGTGGATCCTGTAATGTGCCCTCCCCTACTTTGAGCCAGAGGTAATGTATTTGCCCTGTGGATCCTGAAATGTGCCCTCCCCTACTTTGAGCCAGAGGTAATGTATTTGCCCTGTGGATCCTGTAATGTGCCCTCCCCTACTTTGAGCCAGAGGTAATGTATTTGTCCTGTGGATCCTGTAATGTGCCCTCCCCTACTTTGAGCCAGAGGTAATGTATTTGTCCTGTGGATCCTGTAATGTGCCCTCCCCTACTTTGAGCCAGAGGTAATGTATTGGCCCTGTGGATCCTGTGATGTGCCCTCCCCTACTTTGAGCCAGAGGTAATGTATTGGCCCTGTGGATCCTGTGATGTGCCCTCCCCTACTTTGAGCCAGAGGTAATGTATTTGCCCTGTGGATCCTGTAATGTGCCCTCCTCTACTTTGAACAAGAGGTAATGTATTTACCCTGTGGATTCTTTAATGTGCCCTCCCCTACTTTGAGCCAGAGGTAATGTATTTGCCATGTGTATCCTGTATTGTGCCCTCCCCTACTTTGAACAAGAGGTAATGTATTTACCCTGTGGATCCTGTAATGTGCCCTTCCCTACTTTGAAGGAGAGGTAATGTATTGGCCCTGTGGATCCTGTATTGTGCCCTCCCCTACTTTAAACATGAGGTAATGTATCGCCCTGTGGATCCTGTAATGTGCCCTCCCCTACTTTGAGCCAGAGGTTATGTATTGGCTCTGTGGATCCTGTATTGTGCCCTCCCCTACTTTGAACAAAAGATAATGTATCGCCCTGTGGATCCTCATTGCAGCTATTAAGTTAAGAAACTTTTGGGAAATTTTAAGAAGCTCTGTGTTTTGACCTGGATAAATCAAGACTTAGGAACAATAGGCGAAATCATCTGTGCCTTCACAAATGTCACGTCCAGTTTCAGAAAGAGGCAGTAATGGATTCATGAAAGTAATAAAGCAGACCCTACAGAGAAGCAGGTTCACAGTATTGCAACAGTCAGCACATAAGCTAGTAATACATAGATATCATTTCCTGTAAATAAACTCATTCATGTAAAAAATGTATACATATGTGTCAAAATGTCCCCAATCCCTAAACCACACTCTCTTGTGGGATGTTCATTTTCATCAGCTGTTTACTTAATACAAAGAAAAATAATAAAATTGGGACACTTCTGATACGTAAAGCATAAGGTTTGTCATATCAAATATTCAGACTCTTTACAAGAAGTTTTGCAACCTCAGCTGGCCTAGGAAAACTGATGAAAAAAAGGCCCTAGTACCTTGAGATGCATGGGAGCATTGTACATCCTTTCCACAAATAAAACCTCTCCATCATCAAAACATTTCACTCACCTTTTGTTAGTAATTAATTCAAACAAAGCATTTCCTACCTGCTTTTAATATTTTTTTGTTACTTTATTGAGTCCTCAACATTAGATTAAAACAGAACCCCTAAAAGATAACAATCTTGAGAGTAGACCTGTAGATGGTAACTTCAATACACAAAGTTATGTCAATAAAATTAAGACGTTTTCCGACATGCAAACTTATCACTGCTAAGTGGTATCTAGGGAACATACAGTTATTATAAAGATGAGGTATTATACAGATCAAGTCTTAACTACCTGGCCGTACGAGTGGAAAATATCACTAACACCATTCAACATCACATACAACAATCATGCAACAAGGCTAAATATGTGTACAACACAACAACAATGTTGTAGGCAGGAAATGATATATTTGTATATAGAAAGGCTTTATTTTTATAACAGTTGGGATAACGGCATAAAACAGTTTGCATTGATAAGGTTGAGTGTGGTCACAAATAACATCACCTATATCATGCTAGGGGTGGGAGAAATAGGTTTGGGACTAAAGGTTATGATACAGTACAGGACATATTATAGACACTAAGGGGTTGATGTTTGGGGTACAGGACAGGACATATTATAGACACTAAGGAGTTGATGTTTGGGGTACAGGACAGGACATATTATAGACACTAAGGGGTTGATGTTTGGGGTACAGGACAGGACATATTATAGACACTAAGGGGTTGATGTTTGGGGTACAGGACAGGACACAATGACAATATTGTGTATATGTTTGGGGTACAGGACAGGACACAATGACAATATGGGGTATATGTTTGGGGTACAGGACAGGACATAACACAATGACAATATTGGGTATATGTTTGGGGTACAGGACAGGACATAACACAATGACAATATGGGGTATATGTTTGGGGTACAGGACACAATGACAATATTTGGTATATGTTTGGGGTACAGGACACAATGACAATATTTGGGTATACGTTTGGGGTACAGGACACAATGACAATATTGGGTATATGTTTGGGGTACAGGACACAATGACAATATTTGGGTATACGTTTGGGGTACAGGACACAATGACAATATTGGGTATATGTTTGGGGTACAGGACACAATGACAATATTTGGGTATATTTTTTGGTAACCAAGGTGATCTCATGCAATAAACATCAACAAGTGTGGCAGAATAAAAGAAAATTCAAGCAAGCACAAAAAAGTGTAAGAATTACCACTGGAACATGAATAATTTCCTGTAAAATTGAACAAAACAATAATAAAGTAATAGTCGTTAGAGAGTTACCAGAGTTAGTAAAATCAATCACCTCTGTTTAATGTGGACAGAGATGTCTCAACTAATATGTAATATCTTTAAGATATTATCCAGAGTGTTGAGATAATGTTTGTCCACATAGCACTCTGATGAATATTTTTCTCCACACTTTTGTGTTAAAACATAAGTAAACATAAGTTGCTGCCATGAAGTGTTAAACATCAACCTGTCAATGACCTATGCAATGTGTGTAATAAATTGATTATAACATAATTAATAAATTGATTATAACATAATTAATAAATTGATTATAACATAATTAATAAATTGATTATAACATAATTATGTTACATGAAGTGATGACCATGACAATTCTCCTCAATCTTGGTGTTTTAGATGTAAAATGATATATATTATTATCTATACACCTAATGTTAAAATTATTAGATATTCTAAAGCTTTGGAGGCAGCTCTTGATGGCAGGACTCTGAGCAGTATTTTCTGTCTAAAACCTTAATCATCCTAGAAAACAACCTTCAAAAGGAAACATGATGTTAACAGAATCAATGTTGTAAAAATATTTAATAATTAGTTGTTTTATCCATTACTAAATAAAAAAAGCAATATTAAAGAACCATGTATAATTGATCTCTGAGATAACCTACCTCCAAGAGGATCGCAGTAAAAGCCAGCTGGACAGATGTCACAGGTTGACTCGCCAGTGTTAATCTGGTAGGTGCCATTAGGACAGATGTCTGGGTTTGCTGAAGCCTCTATACAGAAGTGGCCCTGGGGACACACATAGCTCGATGGGGTATTACTACTCTGACCCCCTGGGCAGTAATAACCAGGGGAACAGTTCCCATCAGGCACAACATTACCCGAACCTAAAAAAACAGACAAAAGATTTTGATGAGAATGTCACATTTACCAAAAGAGAAAAAAAACTTATTCAAATTTATACAAAACTGATTAAGAATTAATTTAACAACAAACATTTTACATCATGCATACACTTCAAGAAAATATTTATACATGTATAGAGAACCATTCTAAGAAGGGATGGATGCTTCAATCTTACCTGCGCAGTACATGCCAGCTGTACAGTTGTCACATTCATTGAGGGCGGCCCGGTTGGTTGAGTTGGCGAATGTACCTGTGGGACAAGGTGTGGGTGTCTCGGTACCTTCTACACAGTAGTGGCCTGCAGGACAGATCCACTGTGTTGGAATAGTGCTACGGTCATCACAGTACCAGCCAGCAGTACAGTTACCTGATGATAGAGATACATGTTTTATATACAGAATGAACAAGTTAGAGTTTGGGTCTTTGTTATATAACTATATTGATGTATGTAATTTCACACAGTTACTACATTGCAAAGATAAAGCAGAGTGGTAATTGCTGTAGAATGGAAGGGATAACACTAGTACAAGAAGTATTTGTCTACAGCTGACTATACTGCTTTATTCATATCAATCACAGGCTCAGATCTAATATTACTGAAACTTTGACAATGACCTGCTTCAACCATGAGGTAAGGAATAATACTTTTTTTTGGTGATAAAGAATGAAGACAAGTTTCCCATCTGATCTGCTTAACAATCCAAAGCATACATTTTCAACATAAAATATATAGTGTATATAATTAAATATATATATCTGCCAAAGGACTGGAACATAAGCAGCTGTCACTTTGAACTTTGACCTTAGGATCTGTAAACCATTCAGAGATTTTTTCACTAAGAAATAAGCAGTTTGAAATTTCATTATTATAGAAATGTATTTCTAATAGTGAAGTATAATTCCAAATAGCGTGTGGAAAAACAGTTGTGACAGACAAGATGAAGGTTAAATTTGATTAAAATGCAGTCCAATGTTGATTGAGGGATTTTTTCTTCAGACTTTGATTGAGATTCAGGTGTATAAAAACAATTATATTGACATTAATTCTCACCTGTAGGTACAGTCAGTCCAGGTGTTTCGCAGTATTGACCACCATCACAAGGTACAGGTTTCGCTGAGCCCACTGGACAGTAGTAGCCGGAAGGACAGATTCCACCAGTTGACATTGTGAAGTTTGAACAGGTGCAATCCCATAGTGGAGCACATGTGTCATTAGAATACAGGTCACTGAAATATACAGGTGTCTCTAGAGTACAGGTCACTGAAATATACAGGTGTCACTAGAGGACAGGTCACTGAAATATACAGGTGTCACTTAAGTACAGGTCACTTAAATATACAGGTGTCACTTAAGTACAGGTCACTGAAATATACAGGTGTCTCTAGAGTACAGGTCACTGAAATATACAGGTGTCACTAGAATACAGGTCACTGAATAATACAGGTGTCACTTAAGTACAGGTCACTGAAATATACAGGTGTCACTTAAGTACAGGTCACTTAAATATACAGGTGTCACTAAAGTACAGGTCACTGAAATATACAGGTGTCACTAGAGAACAGGTCACTGAAATATACAGGTGTCACTAGAGTACAGGTCACTGAAATATACAGGTGTCACTTAAGTACAGGTCACTGAAATATACAGGTGTCACTAGAGTACAGGTCACTGAAATATACAAGTGTCTCTAGAGTACAGGTCACTGAAATATACAGGTGTCACTAGAGTACAGGTCACTGAAATATACAGATGTCACTAGAGTACAGGTCACTGAAATATACAGGTGTCACTAGAGTACAGTCCAAGAAAACCTATCTGTTGTCTTACTTGAGGGTTCCAGTGCTGGTGTTGAGGGCTCCGGAGTCGTACGGACGACTGGATGGGGATCGACCCCCACAGTAAAATCCTGACTCACACCATCCATCTGGGTATACATTGGCCACACCCTCACAATACTGTCCGGGTGGACAGTCAAGACAGTCTGATTCTGATGTTGCTCCTAAACAGAGTTCAAAGTTCAGTACAAAATGCTGCTTGAGAGATTACATTGGATATTAGATATTGACAAGATCTTGAGGACACAGTCAATCTATCAATACTAATTTCGACAGTTCGTGGACATCTGAATTTGTGAATTTACAGTACTCATGAAATGAACAAAACTCAATCCCCCATAAGAATGAATGATTTTACAATATTGAACACCTTTCATCACTGTGGTAGCTGTTTTAGAATTCATATTGTAAGGCTGACTTATCAGTAATGTCGACCATTTGAGGTAGTTGACTCCAGATTTACATGTATCTATAAGAATGATGATTACTCATCAGTGAAGCTGTTGACCTTTTGATTCTACGTGTGAGGTCATTAACCTGTTACCTCTAAAGTCGATCATAGCATTACCTGTGAGGTTGTTGTAGGTGCCAGGAGGACAAGGATACTGCATGTCAAACTCTGTAGCGACAGGGCAGTAATAGCCAACAGGACAAATAGTTGGAGAAATGGTGGCGTTCACGCAGAAATACCCTGAAAATAATAATCCAGCCACGTGTTATCGTTCTATTGTTTCACAGCCAACTGTCCAGCTATTATTTCTGTTATCAAAACATATGTGTATTTCTATGCTGGAGCGAGTGAAAATTGTGAAATTTCAGTGCATTGCTATAAGGTATTTTGTTGTTCAACATGGTTATGGTGGTGTAGCTGAAAAGTCGGATACAACAAAAATAAATTATAAAAATGACATAATAATGACTCATTCATTCAAATGTAAGAAATTGACCTTAAATTAGAAATAATTTGATATAAAAAATAGACTGGTAAATTATGTAATATACATCTATAATAAAGTAGTGTAATAATAGATCATTGTAAACTGCATGGTTTTGTAAATTAATAAAATACTTAAAAATGACATAATAATGGCTCAGTGACATTGATATATTTTTAACATAAACCCAACTACAGAAACAGACAACTTTGACCAACGTCTTTCCAACAAAATGAAAAAAATCTAAATCAAGCTTTGTGTGAATTTTCTTCAATAAACAGTTAATTTAAATGCAGATATATTGTTTTTTGTTTGTTGTATATACATGCATTTTACCTGTACTAGACACTACCATACATGTCAATGAGATGTTCATAGAATGGGGAATAAAGTCTAGCAAGCTTGTCCCTGGTTACATTAAAACCCAGATAATTTAAAGTATTTTGTCATTCCCCAAGGATTTCAATATAACCAAGTTCGACTATATATACCACAATCACCATACTTGCCTTGGGTACAGTCCAAACAGCTGCTTAAGCCAGCTGTAGGTGCATACTTCCCTGGCCCGCAGGGAGCAGCATAGGTAGAGTTCTGAGGACACTCAAAGCCAGCTGGACATTGGCCGCCTGTTCCAGTAAACGACACGCCAACATTGGGAGTAGGTATACTCACTCCTGTAAGTTAAATAAACAGCGTTATCATGCAAACAATCTAATATCAATACAGACCTTCCCAAGAATCATTAAATTGTAGACTATAGTTAACTTCAATTTTGGACAATTTAAATTACCTTTATGATAAGTTTTAACAAGTGAAAACTCCCCTGCTTGACTTAGATATTTCACTCAACGATAAAAAATTGAAAATGTTAGAATTCTTTTTCTTTTCACAGTTGATTTCTTTGATGAAATTTGATCTTATTCTATATGTATCCTTTATAACAGTTACTGCGAGTGATAAAAAGATTACCTGATACACAGAAATAGCCAGCTGAACACCCGCCTGCAGGTGCAGTTAGTCCGGTTATATCACAGTAGGTCCCGCCCACACACTGTGTACATTCTGTTTCATTGGCAAGTCCAATCATAGATCCATATGTACCTTAGTAAAAAAAACTTAAATTGTCACATACAACCTTAACACTGACATATCTGATGTGTTTAGGATTGGCTGCTGAAATGTGTAACCTTTACCTGTACAGCTAGCTGCTTCTAAGACCGATGGTGAAAAGATCAAATGACATTACAAAATTATTTTGATACAGGTGCCTTTCACAGCCCCCTGCCTTAATTCTATGCATGCAAATGGCAAATACTATCCCATTACCAGCAATAAGCCCATGCCTGGTAATAAGCCCACCCCGATCTATTTAGACATCAGTAAAAATGCCAACATATGCTATATCATTGCTTTGTAATAACACTCTCACCTTGATTTGAAAAGAGGTTATGTGTCGACACCCTGGACTAAAGTGAATTAGTACAAAAAGAAACCCACTGAAGCTGCATTAAATGTTACTTTAATAAAAAAAACTAACAAGTTTAGATATCACAGTCATAACATTCTGGCACCAGCAGGACAGTAGGACCCTTGAGGACAGGGACCAGAGAGGAAAACATTTTACCTATAGGACAAGGAATGGTGTTACTGCCTGTACCAGCAGGACAGTAGGACCCTTGAGGACAGTGACCAGAGAGGAAAACATTTTACCTATAGGACAAGGGATGGTGATACTGCCTGTACCAGCAGGACAGTAGGACCCTTGAGGACAGGAATCAGCGCGGTCTCCTGATGTACAGTAAAAGCCCGCTGGACAAGGATAGCAGGCTCCAGCACCTGTATGGTTCATGTAGGTTGCTGTGGCACATGGTGTTGGTGATACTGAACCGACTGGACAATAATTCCCAATAGGACAAATGTTACCAGTTGTACCATCTGAAATTTGTAATAGGAAAAATTATTCTCACTTTCATGAAACATAATATCAAAATTAGTACACACACTCTATATACAGTAAATAAATTATATTTGTGACAAATCCATGGAATTAGATCAAGATGAAGTCTTTTGCAGCTTATAGGAAGTCAGGATTGAGAAAACACATTACCTGTGGGATTAGGGTCCTTGGCTGCCAGTGTACAATAGTATCCTGCCCAACAGTCCCCTGTGACAGTGTCATTACCAGACTCTAGACAATATTTACCACCGGTACAGTCCACACAGTCTGACAGTGCTATACGACCTAACAAGACAAAATGAAAATATGTCAAAATGGCTAGGACAATAACATGAATACAATAGTTTAATATTTAATTGTTTTAGGTTGATTGAGAGAATCTGTAACATCCTTTGGGAGTGAGAGAGTCTCTTCACCCAACTTGAGTGATTATTAAGAGGATACTTTGATTCATTGTACAAACGTTTGCTGGGCATGTAATTTTACACTACATTTATTGACCACAAATACAGCAAAATGAAATACAATGAGAATTTTACCAGCTATGGAGTAAGTGCATGAATGTTTTTTACTTTGTTTCAACTGTATCAGAGTATATGTACATAATCTGTCTATTCCTTCATCAACACAGTTGTTGCAGCACCTTTACCTGTTGATGGTTGGTATGTTCCTCTGGGACACTCGACAGGATAGGCAGTGCCACGTGGACAGTAATGTCCAGATGGGCATGTATAACCATAGGAAGCACTGACAGGTGCTGGTTCTAAAGAGCCACTCACACAGTAGTGACCCTCCGTACACTGGTCCCATGGGTTCTCCAGGCCCATTTGGTGACAATAGTAACCAGGGCTGCATGGAATGCACTCGTTGGCATATCTCAGACCTGTACCATTGTTAAATGTTCCTAGTGGACACAATTCTCCTAGAGAAATAGAATATTCAAACGATTTTACATACAATTGTCATCATGAAAAATTATGGACATGGAACCAAGATTTGGAGGTAGTGTACTTTTAATCCACAAATACATATATAAAACAATACCTTTTTGTGAGAAATTTAAAACTTGGGAGAGGAGTTTTGCGAAAATAAACAATTAACAGTTACAAATGAACAATGTAATGCAAAATATTGTTTTAGTGGCTTGTCTTGTATTGGTCAAGATTTATTGCATTAACAATGATATTAGTTTCAATTAATTAATGTTTTAATAATGTCTATATCAGATAATAATTTGTGCATCAGTGATATAATTAGCACCATCAACGTGGCTGTAACTGGTATACCCATGGTAGTGATCCTAGTTAGACATGCCAATTATTATGGTTTCTTATACACAGGGATTTAGTGGGAGAAGGCAAAGGTGCAGTTGTGAAACTTGAAGTTATTCGCATCCTAGGGATATATGATATTGATGATATAGAATTCTCATTCTCAGAATGTACCAAAGACTGTGTGAAATCAGATATTACATATTAGTAAATATGTAAGCCCTTGACTCTCGCATTGTCTCAGGCCAAACACATATATAAGTGGTTCAATTGGAACCTAGAAAGAGTAGATTTAAAAAATATGTCGTATGATCGTCTGTTTAATTTTTGTTGGAGCTTGTATAGATATGTATATCAACTCCAATATCATATAAGAAGGGCATGATGGATCTGAGGTAATCTTTGTATGCAGTTGTCGTATAAGCTTCACAACTAATACCTTATGATATCAAATCATCATGATTTTCTGATGTGACACAACCTATTTGTGTTTGGCCTATTGTTTTCAGTGTGATGGAGATGTCACTGTGAGGTTTAGAACTTTTCTAAGGTATGGTTTTGATTGTTTTAATTAATTTTTTGTGACAAGAAGAGGTTTCTAAAAAAAAAATCAATGGAGGCCATATGGTAAGTTGGTGTAAACAGTGTTAATTTTTTGTGATGACACACTGCCTTATCTATGTGTAAAGTAACTGCAAACTCACTATCATCTTTGTGTTAGTTGTAAACTGCATTTACTTTGTTAAAAAGTCATGAATTGTTCTATTGACCAGATATAGGTGCCCGGGTATATGTAATTTTATGATAATACTTAAAAAAAAAAAAAAAAAAGAAAATTTACAATGACATCTCCAAGTTTATTAAAATGCAAAAAAGTACCTGTACTGGATCCTTCGGGGCAGTACTGGCCTTGTGGACAAGGCTGACCAGTTGTACCATCAGTTGGTGTAGAGCTATTGGCACCTACGCTACATACATAGCCAGCACTACAGAGTCCCTCATAGGCAGTCAGGCCGGGCGTCTGGCAGTACTTACCAGGATCACAAGGGGAACACTCCGCTGTAAACAAAGGTCAATGGCATTCATTACAGCAATTAGACAGACCAGGGTCAAACAAAGGTCAAATGGATTTATTACAACAATTAGACCAGGGTCAAGCAAAGGTCAGTGGGATTCATTACAGCAATTAGACAGACCAGGGTCAAACAAAGGTTAATGGGATTCATTACAGCAATTAGACAGGCCAGGTTCAAACCATTGGGATTCATACATTCATTTTGAATGATGGATAAAACTTTACTATTAAAGATAAATGTATATTCTGTAACTAAGGTCAATAGAATTCATCTTATTTGATCTTGGTCCAAATCTGTGAGACAAAATAAGAAGTATTCTTACAAGATGATGCCAGTAATTCAAAGTTGCTGTAGGTTCCTGATGGACATGGATTCTGATAGTTGTATTCTGTACTGGTAGGACAGTAGTAGCCTCTAGGACAATTAACAGGGTTGATAATTCCTGTCACATTACCAAGCTCGATGGGATCACAGTAGAACCTCTGTGGACAAGGCTGACATGTAGCTTGACCAGCCAAGTAATTATAGGAACCTGAGATCAAAATAGTAATGAAACCATGTAAGTCACAGGAATCTTAAAACATGAGCATATTGTAATATAGAACTATAAACATGTGCCACAAAAGAAAAAAAGTCTAAACAACATTGAATTACAGGAATCTCAGCTAGCTTCCACACATCTTTTCTATATATAACTATGATGCTACCATCTTTATACAATATGTGAGTAGTCTTCAGCGTATAATAGAACTAACCTCTTTCACAGACTGTTGGAGTAGCGCTGCCCTGAGGACAGTAGTCTCCCATTGGACAAGCATAGGCAGAGGGTGTTGCTGTTGTCTGTCCCTCGGGACAGTAGAAGCCTCCATCGCACAAGCCATTCTCTTCAATCAACCCAGGGCTGTCACAGTAGGACCCTTCAATAAAGGTAACCATAATGAAGGCATGTAAATACATCATCACTTTATGTGATACTGACATATATCATACTAAGGGCAAAGATTTTTAACTGATTTAAGATATTTATCTAAATCACACATAGATAATTAATGATTTTTCTCCCATAATTTCTAAGAGTTTTTTTTATTAAATGTTGATGTGATGAAATGAAGGGTTCCACCAACAGGGTTGGTCGATGAAGTGTGTTTCAAAAGAGATAGTATTATCCATTTGTGATGTAATTAAAGCTACCCAAAGTGAATGACAATATTTTAAGAACAAGAGACCTAGCAGCCTTGACAGTCACCTGAGATCAGCAATATTGATTATAAAGGTTAAATAGAAAGTAGCTTCCAAGTGCCATGAAAAGAAATTGTGACATTGATGATAGTAAGCCAGTGACAATACATGCATAGTATCAAAATTGTCATTCAACACAAAGAACTCTTTCAAAAATTATTTTCAGTGGGAAATAAACAATATTTTGCTCAAAAATGCAATTTTCTATAAAAACTACAGTAAAGTTAAATTAAACAATTTATGCTAAAATATCTATTTTTCCTTTATAAACTATTGTAAACTTTACTCCCTCTCCACGAGGAAATGCGAGACCTTTGGGCCATGAAATTTACAATTTTGGTATAGCTCCTTTACATGTTTCCATCCACAAAGAGCATGAATTCTGCCATATCTGGGTGTTGAGGAAAAGACTTTTGAAATCTGAATCAATCTGACCCGTTTTGGCCCTGCTCATCAGCCCCTTGGGGTCAGGCATGATCAATATGGGCATAACCACATAGCTGTCATCCTTCGCAATTCTGACCAAGTTCGAAATATTTATGATGGAAATTAAACAAATTTTGCTCAAAAATCTATTTTTATACCAAAAGTGTGTATGAGTTGTATTTCCCTATTGTCTGAATTCCTGAAAACCTAAACTTTCCAATTTTTCTATGACAATCAATATTTCCTACAACAAGAAGACATTGATAGCAGCTTGTATACCTACCCGGTGTACAAGGTTTACAGTCTGTCACATTGGTGTTACCACTTGAGTTTGAGAAAGTTCCTGTTGGACAAGCTGTAGAGGTGGCTGATCCCTGCTCACAATAGTGACCTGCCAGGCACACAAATGCTGATGGATTCGCTACTGTCTGGCCCATAGGACAGAAGAACCCAGGGTTACATTGTCCTGAAATGCATACATTCAAATGAAGAATTTTCTTTCAATGTTTATTCACACAATTACAGTCATGGTCATGTTCAGACATTTAGGAAAATTTAATTGCCTTGCCCAAAGACACAACAGCATAGGCAGCTTATAATCTGAGCTTCATGAGAAACACAAATCTGAATCTGATCATAACACCTTGGATCTTCACTTAAGTTTGTAAGTTTTTCTTACAACTCAGCTACAAATCAGTCATTTATTCTAATATTTTTGAAAATGTTTATTCTAATCTTTTAAGACAATAAAGCAATGAAACTTAAGAAATATCAATTAAATACTATGAAAGTCTAAAATCTTTCTCCCTTTTAAAAACACTGACTAGTTTTCACTGGAAATATCCAACCATGATGACAGATTGTCTTAAGATTCCAAAGTATCTTCATTTAGAAAATATATGTCAAAATATCAAACTACTTGCATTTTGTTCATGAACAACAAAAATTTCCTTAATCATCTATTAACTAAAAGAATGCCAAGTTATAACAATCGTACCTTTCGGTGTAGCAAGTTCATAGTCATCACAGTACCAGCCTGCAGTACAGGATATTGGTGCAGAGGAGCCTTCTGGGCAGTACGTTCCTGGCTGACACTTCCCTCCAGTGTAGTTAAATTCCGGACACATACACATATCAACTGAGCTGAAGTTGCCTATTTAAAACATACAATGCGTGCTTCAACAAAGTTCTTCATATTAAATTTCTTGTTTTATTGGTCTCAGAGATATTTCATTACTAAAATATTTGAAATGATTATAAACATATGACCAGATTGAAACGAGAAAGCTTACCAAGTACAACAGGTTTAGACTCGGTGGATCCTCCAGAACAGAACCAGCCTGCACTGCAGTTTCCAGATGGTGCACTGAGTCCAGCTCCACTGCAGAACTGGCCAGGAGGACAGGTGAGACAGGATGATGGGTCATACTGTGCTGTGAGTGAATTGTAAGAGCCGGCTGAACATGGATACTGAGTACTGTACTGTGTACCTGCTGGACAATAGTGACCAACTGGACAGGCAAAATCTGTTGGGATGGTGGTGTTTTCCATACAGTAGTAGCCCTGTGTGCACTGATCACATGATCCCTTCGCTGTAACACTGGTGTATGTTCCAGCAGGACATGGGATGGGACGAGGCGATCCTTTCGGACAGTAAGAACCAGCGGGACACTCCTGCCCTACTCCCTTGTGGGATACTGATGATGATGGATTGGATGTGTCCACTCCGTACTCACAGTAGTAGCCAGCCATACAGCCTCCATCTGGATCAGGTGAGCCTGGGGTACCACAGTAGTAACCACCTGTAATAAAAGGTCAAAGGTGAAACATGAATATATTAAGATGAGCAATCAAACACGTATGCCACATAAAACTTACAGGTTACAGCTTTCCTGTTACAAAAGATCAAGATTGCATTGTCAAAAAAGGTCAGAGTTCAAACTTGTATTGTTACAGAAAGGTTAGACATTTAACATGCAATCTCATTAATCACAAGTTAGATAAATTTACACGGAAAAGAAGTTCAGAGGTCATACAATCACATAAAACATATCAAAGGTCAAACACAGTTGATTTAAATGTGATTTAGTAAAAGCATTCACTAATGCGTCCACTCCATGTAACATAAAAATTCACCATGATTTACAACAGTAACATACCTGTGCACTGTGTGCACTCCGATTCTTGTGTCAGTCCAGATGTGTTTCCAAAGGTTCCTGTAGGACAAGGTTGTAGGTCTGCTCCAGTGCCCTGTGGGCAATAGTAACCTTGGGTACAAGTGTCGGCACGGTCCCTGTTCACACAGTAATAGCCTGCTGGGCAGACATAACAGGCTGAAGCTCCTGTGTGGTTCATGTAAGTACCATTGCCACACGGCTCTGCTTTTGTGGACCCAATTTCACAGTAATGACCAACTGGACAAATGTCACCTGTAAAAGAAGAACGAGATAGGTTTGATAACATCTCATCTAGAAATATTGCATATAGACAGATGGCTGGGACTTATAGATTTAATTGTTGTCTCCTATCACCATCATTGGCTGACATATTTATTTTCATGTTTTTTTCTCTTAGCGTTTCTTTCTAGATGAAATAAAGCCATTTATTACATCAAGCTGGACAATGTGGACGACATATTTTATATCAAGATTTCATTCAATCAAGTATTAAAACCTAGGCAAAGAATGACCTCAGAGTACATCAATCACTTACCAGTGGTGCCATCTATTGGAGAACTGGTGTTTGCTCCCAAAGTACAGAAGTATCCAGACATACACTGATCAGTTACATTTGTCTTCCCTATGCTCTCACAGTAAAACCCTGAAAACACATTGGAATATCAAAGTTTAAATTTTTAAAAGACATCATTCAAAATACATTACAACTGCTAACCAATACCCCCCACCCTCCCCCCACCTTCAAAATGTTTCTCATTTACTTGACAGGTTCTTCCCCTTTACAGTAGGCTTACTAAAGGAGGGGCTTTAACATGGTCTACAAAGTATAGACAGTACAAACTGATGATTACTGAATACAGAGGAAAAAAATTTACCAGGACTACAGCTAATACAGTCGCCGACATCTCCCATTCCCGTCACGTCCAGATATGTCCCTGATGGACACTTGAGTGGGTCGTATGTACCATTGGGGCAATAGTTTCCGGCAGGACATAAATCTCCATAACTCTGAGCAACAGGGGCAGCTTCAGGTGATGCAAGAGAACAGAAATGGCCTACAAACAGAAACATTTAGAATCAGGAAATGTTTCATGCATCCAGGTTTCATCACATCATTTAAGCTGTCGTAGAAATCTGAGGTACTGTTATACAAGCAAAGTCTTGTTTACATTTCAATCAAACTGAGAATTGATATGATCATGTATCCCGATTAGAACACTTACCTGCCCAGCAGGTGCCTGATACAGCGGTCAGTCCCGTTTGACCACAGTAGTGGCCTGGGGTACAAGCCTGACATTCACTACTATTGACCAGTCCCTGGACATTACTGAAGGTTCCGACAGGACAGCCATTGCCTACGACACTGCCAGCCAGACAGAAACGACCAGCAGGACAGATGTCTCCTGTAGTACCATCCGTGGGGGTGGCGTTGTAGGCAGCTAGTGTACAGAAATGACCTGCAGCACACAATGCTGTTGGCTCCGTGTTACCTGTTACACAAAAGTACCATCATCTATTATCTCATTTGCTAAAACTTCAATACTGGTGAACATGTTTAATCAATGGCAGTCCTTCTACCATATAGTAACTAGAATTATAATCTTTCTTTAATTACTTCTAATATTTCCTGCAGTGTCCGTAGTTATCCCAATCTCCCAATATTCCCTGTGTGAAACACATACAGTATTATACATCATAGTACAATTAAACAGGATCAGTCTGGAATACCTTCGCCAGCACAGTAGCTACCAGCAGTGCATGGTGTACACTGTGTCTGGTTGGTGAGACTAGTCATGTTGCTGAAGGTGCCAGCAGGACAAAGGAACTCGTTTGCATCCTTGGTACCCTGTGGACAGTATGACCCTACTGGACAAGCTATTGGCACAGATACTCCACGATAACTCCTGTACCGGTCTGTGTAGTTCCCAGTTCCAGTAGTATTGGCATCCAAGACCTCATAATCACCTGGTAAACAAAGAGAATCAACAGTTGAATATACTTAGTTCTAAACTTAAAGAATATCTACCTCTGCTAATGACCACTAAGAAAGGTCAGAAAAATAAAAGTCTCACCAAAAGCTTTGCAGTATGATCCAGCTGGACAATTATCACAGGTGCTCTGTTTCCAGTGGGGCTGGTAATAGCCTGATGGACAACCAGTTTCGTTCCAACTCCCCTGAGGACAGAAGTGTCCAGGGCTACAGGCCAGGGTTGTAGGACGTGCTGAGTCCTGTCCTTCGGGACAGAAGTAGCCAGCGTCACAGTCTCCAGTAGGTGCTGCTAGGCCATATTGCTGACAGTACTGACCAGCAGTACAAGGCAAGCAGTCAGTCACATTAACATTCTGTTGACGATCTGCAAAAATATAATTTAGTCAAATTAGTATTGAGAAAAGTTTCAAATCAATCCATTTTTCAGTAGTCTATTCAAATAGTTTTGAACACATCTTTGCATCAACAGATGAAGAAAGCATGAAGTTTAAGATTTTTATTATACAGCAGTTTCTACAAATAATTGTAAGTTAAAATGTGACAAGGAATACACAGAATGTTAAGTATGTTATTTAATGCTTTTATTCTTCAAGAACATTTTAACAATGATGATTTCAAGTAATTATTTTCAAAATCAATTTCCTTTTACAAAAGATTCCCATGTAGGACCAGAAACCTAATTCAACAGATATCAGTAAAGTATAAATGAAAACACACCTGAATAGGTTCCTGGGGCACAGGCTACTTGTACAGTTGTTCCATTCGGACAGTAGTGTCCCATATCACATGGGGTGGGGTTCGGTATACTGGCACTTTTATTGCAGAAAAACCCAGCATAGCATTCTCCAGTGGGTGATGCCAATCCGTAAGTCTCACAGTACATTCCGAGGGAACATTCTTGTTTCTGGGAGGATCCAGTGGGGCAGTAGGTGCCTGAAATTTAATTAAACAGAATTAACTATTTACTTATACACATTCATCCATGTATTATCAATATCCATCAGTGTACTGGAAAGTGCATAATTCATCCACATCAGAACAAAGTTTGTTTACAGTGGTGATAATATTACCTGGAGTACAGATACCGCCTGTGTCGTTGAGAGCATACACGGGACAAGTGGAATTAAAGTTGTAAATGTCTGAGGAATTCACCCACATCGATGGCTGGGATGACCACGCCCCTCCAGAGCAGAACCAACCTGCTGAACAGTCTCCAGTGGGCTCAGATAGACCTGTGCCATCACAGTACTTTCCACCTGTTAATAATAACTTCATACATTCAGTAAGATAAAAAAATTAGGATTAGTCTGTAATATGTATCAAATGATAAATCATTAAGAGACAGATAAACGCATCTAAGTCCTTCCTTCTTAAAAGTGTTTAAAATATATTCTAAAAAGTCAAACAAGATGCCCAATTGGTCTGCATCGTTCACATCATATTCCATGTTCATTAGAACAGAATCAGTGTTTATCACAAACATAATAACACACATCCACTGGCATTCAAAGTAGGCAATCTAATCAAACTACCTGTCAGACAAATACCATGTTTCTGTGTCATTTGGTAAGACAGCAGAAATCGTTTAAATGTTTTAACAAATTTAACCCCTGTGACATTGAATATGGGTAAAGGTCATTTTCGTTTTGCTAACTTTTTAAGGAACCTAGGAACCTATCGGCCAAACTTGCCTCTGAACTCTTTGGCTGGTCAGAAGAATTTGTTTTAAATTTTTAAACAAATTCAACCCCTTATGACCATGAACTAGGATAATTTCCTTTCAAAAATTTTTCAGACTTCATCCTAGCAGCCCAACGGCCAAATACTACAACATTTGGTTAGTTGGTTATTATGAAAAAAGTCATTTAAATGGAAAAGTTGTTGCCAGACACCGCACCACGGCATAAAACCAGAAATAAAATCAGACTTTAAATTCAGTTACTTAATGGAAGTAAATGGTATCCTTGTGAAGAATAATTCAGCCCAGTTTATGGAGCTGTAGTACATTTTCAAAAGTATTTATAGTTTTTAATCATATAATGGAAAGGAAACATTTGTCCTTGAATTATGTCCAAGAGCAACTCAACATTTGAACTTACCAGTACAAGAAATGCAGTCAAATTGGCTTTGCCCCAGGGTCCTGTTGTTGTAGGTACCAGCAGGACACGGAAACTGAGTGGAAAACTGTGTTCCTGCTGGGCAGTATGAGCCTGAAAGAGCAAGACGGTAGAACAATTGATCTTTTTTTTACGTTCTACAGTTTTTCAGATAGTAAAACACTGAAGATTGTGGGAACCACAGGTCAAATAGTAAAATGTTAAAGTTTAATCATTTAAAGCTGAAAACAGAATCTAACATTCCCTAGCATAACACAACAGTACACTGGATATTAAACCATCACTGACCCGTAGGACAAGGTGTGCTGAGGTACGTGGTCGAGTTAGCAGGACAGTAGTAGCCAGCCTCGCAGGATGTACAAGTAGCCTGGTGGGTGAGGTCAGCATATGTTCCAGCAGCACAGCCTATAGGTTCAACGGTACCAACTGGACAATAATGACCAATTGGACAGCCACCTAAACATTAAATAAAGATTGAATAGGACGATGAAGTGGACAGCCACTTAATAACAACAGAGAATGAATCAGGTGACAAAGATGATAGTCAATTAACAACAAAAAGACTAAGATGATGAAGATAATAGCCACTTAACATCAAAGACATTCTGTCTGTAAAAAATCATATTTCTTTTTACCGTTAATCAGCATATTTTTTCAACACATATTTTTAAACCAGTTATTCCATGAAAATTTTTAACCAAAGTGACTATAACATCAACCTAAATCTTTACGTATTTTGATCCTTACCTCCAAACCCGGTGTTGTTGTTACTGGGGTAGGCTGTGTTAACACCACTCTGACAGTAGTAGCCAGCAGCACACAGTCCAGTTTTATTGTACTGTCCTGGGGTGTCACAATACCATCCCCCATCACACTGAGTACATTCGCTCTCCTGCATCAGCATCTCCACTGCACTGTAGGTGCCTGCTGGGCAAAGTTCCATGTTGAAGCCAGTGTTGGCCGGGCAGTAGCGTCCCACAGGACAAGGGTCAGCTTGGATCTTATTTACACAGTAGTAACGGGCAGGGCAGGAATCACAAGAACTAGCCAAAGTGTGGTTCATGTAGGTGCCATCTGCACAGGGAATAGGGCTGGCTGTTCCCAGGGGACAGTAGAAACCTGCAGGGCATACATCACCAGTGGTGCCATCTGTGGGAGAACTACTGTTTGCAGCTCGGTCACAATAGTAGCCCGGGTCACATTCACCTTAGATAAAGACATACAAAGAATAACATTTGTGTCCCAATCTTACCTACAGCCCTATAATATCAACAGAACTGACCACTTACCAAAACTTCATCATTAAGTGATGAATGTATGAAATTGAAAACTATACAAAAGAAATATTTCTAATACACTTCCAATACCTTATAGTCTATATTGTATATCAGATTAGGGAAAGAGACTACAGATCATGGTCAAATACAACACAATGAGAAGAGAGTGCACAAATTACATCATACACCTCTTTGTGTTAAGATGCTCCATATAAACCAAAAGTTTTTGTGTTCACATGATTAATATCATGGAAACTTCAAATCTATCTAAAATTGCATGGAATCAATTGTTCCAAAAAGAAAATATATTTCTATAACTTAAGTTTATTGAAAACAGAAGAGCATATTACAAACTGAAACAGAGTTTCCACAATCATGAGTAATTGAAGTACCTGTATAGTTCATAAGTCCTTCTGTATCACAGTATTTGCCCGGCGCACAATCCAGACAATCTGCCAGGGAGGTCCTGCCAGTGTCTGGTAGATAGGTTCCTGATGGACAAGGAATGGCTGTCCCTGTTCCCTGGGGACAATAGTGACCAGCAGTACAGGTATCACCATAAGACTGTCCTACTGGACTCTGGGATATTGCTCCCAAAGAACAATAAAACCCTGCTGTACATGGTCCTGTAGGAGCTGTCAATCCTACAAATGGACATAATCATGAAAATGAAAGATAGTTTACTTTTCTGATGTAATTTTTTTTTGTGCATTTGCATATTGCAAAAAAATCACATGGAATCTGTTATTTTAGTAATATTTCCTAGAAAATACAGCTGATTAACAAGAACCTATGCAAAGATATATAAAATAGTTTATGATAAAAGATTGCTATGAATTCTGACTGATTATTGACCACTAACATGAGGTAAATGTATAACACCAGTACATGATTAAGAGGCTCACCTTCTGAAGCGCAGTACATCCCAGGGCTACACGGTGTACAGGAAGAGATGTTCTGGAGGCCGGTAGTGTTGCTGTAAGTTCCTTGAGGACACTGGGTACCCTGACCTGATCCAGCAGGACAGTAGTCTCCCACTTGACACTCGTACCCTGTCACACCATCAGTAGGGTTGGCGACAGTGGATCCAGACACACACACAAATCCAGCGTTACATGGTCCAGTGGGCTCAAACAAACCTACATTGAACAAATCAACAAACTTGAACATTCCTTCTGTATTTTATACCATAGATTCAAAAGCAATATTTCTTTGATAACTTTCGTTTACATGTTGACAAAGCACTTAAATATAATCATTGTCTTGATATACTGTCAAATGTAAATTTCCGTTCAACCAAATGATCAACTAGCATTTGAAACAATACACAATCACAAACTGTTCACATTTCATTGACAATATATAATCACATACTGTTCACATTTCATTGACAATACATAATCACAAACTGTTCACATTTCATTGACAATAAATAATCACAAACTGGTCACATTTCATTGACAATAAATAATCACAAACTGTTCACATTTCATTGACAATATATAATCACATACTGTTCACATTTCATTGACAATAAATAATCACAAACTGTTCATTTGAAACAAACTGGTCACACAATCACAAACTGTTCACATTTCATTGACAATAAATAATCACAAACTGTTCACATTTCATATATAATCACAAACTGGTCACATTTCATTGACAATAAATAATCACAAACTGTTCACATTTCATTGACAATAAATAATCACAAACTGGTCACATTTCATTGACAATAAATAATCACAAACTGTTCACATTTCATTGACAATAAATAATCACAAACTGGTCACATTTCATATATAATCACAAACTGTTCACATTTCATTGACAATATATAATCACATACTGTTCACATTTCATTGACAATATATAATCACAAACTGTTCACATTTCATTGACAATATATAATCACAAACTGGTCACATTTCATTGACATACACAAACTGGTCACATTTCATTGACAATAAATAATCACAAACTGTTCACATTTCATTGACAATAAATAATCACAAACTGGTCACATTTCATTGACAATAAATAATCACATATTACTCCCGAACCATTAACAATACACAATCATATATTGTTCCCAATCCAAAAGTATACAAATATGTAACCTAAACCAAGATAACAAGGAACCTACCTTGAGCATCACAGAAGAAACCTGGACTACAAGGCAGACACTGGGAAGCATTCTCTAAACCAGTCGTGTTGCTGAATGTACCAACAGGACAAGGATAGCTCTGGGCACTGACAGTGTTGTTGAGACAGAAGTGGCCACTTGGGCATTCAGCTGGAGTGACCACACCTGTACTATTCATACCACAACAGGACGCAGCTTCCAGTGGGTCACAGTATCTGAAATTGTAAAACAAGATATGACAAGGCTTAGAAAATACATTAAAAAGACAGAAAAACCAAAAAGTAAATGTGACAGCAAAAATATTTGATTTTTTTTTAATCAATGAATCAATGTGACAGTAATTCTGTAGGGTGTTGCTTTTACCTAAATGTGTATCCTACATTGGTACTAGTGAGGACAGATTACATCAAAATTACTTTAAAGACGAAATCAACTTCAGTTTGTGACAACTTACTTTCCCTGTGGACAGTCTTTACAGCTGGCCATGTTGGTTTCATCCTGGTAAAATCCAGCTGGACATGCCAATGGCAGACCAGTTCCTCCTGGACAATAGTGACCAATGGTACAGTTGAAGTCTGGTGGTGTAGCTGATTGTTGACCAGCTGGGCAGTAATACATGGGAGCACACTGACCTGTGTAGTTTGTGTTTCCTGTGCCAGCACAGTAAAATCCATCAGGACAGAGATCACAATTTGTCAGGTTGGTATTACCCTCGGTGTTGGACATTGTGCCCGCTGGACATGGCCATGGGGTATTGGTTCCTGAGGGACAGTAGTGACCCTTTGGACACACCTTGTTTGGAGGGTCAGGCTGTATGTCACTCCCATTACAGTAGAACCCTGCACTGCAGGGTCCGTTGGGTAGGGAAAGACCGTCATGCATGCAGTAAGACCCACCATCACAGGCTATCGGACCAGCCGAACCTGCGGTACAGTAGGTTCCTGCCAAACACTGCATGCCAATAAGAGTGTCGTTAGGTTGTGACTTATCTGAAGCACCAAGGCAGTACCAGCCTGCCGAACAGTTCCCAGTCGGTTGTGAGAGACCATCAGCTGCAACATAATGACAGAATTGTACAGAAATGTATCAATTATCTATGGAGAATAGAAGGTATTATCAATGTGGCAGTGTTAATACAAAACTAAAACATTAAATCTTCAAGTTTTGAAAAGGTAATGACATGTTGTTGTGTAATAGGCCTAGATATCCATCTCTTTTGCAATATTATCTTTGAAATTTAGAGTAAAATTGAATTTTAAAATAAAATTAGAATAAAACACCTAAAAACAAGGATAAAATATACATCATACTTGTTTGCTGTCTATATTTTACTAATATACCCCAGTTGAGGTCACAATTTCTGTGCTGCTAGTGACAGGTAATGCTGGTGTACCTACTTTGACAATATTCCCCTGGCGGACAGTTGAGGCAGTCCTCTGGACCATCACTGCCGTTCACTGGGTTGTAGGTCCCTTTGAGGCAGGGATTCTGGTAGGGATCTGTGGTATTGGCGGGGCAGTAGTAGCCACTTGGACATGGCTGGGCAGAGTAGGAGGTGGAGTTCTCTACACAATAGTAGCCAGCAGGACAAGAGGAGCACACATCCTGACCTAGACTGTCACTGATGACAAAAAAGACATAAAAGCATATTTATTTCTTTTCGTGGCATTTTAATGAAGTACAGAAAAATCGTTGAGTAATATGGAAAGCAAAAAAATGAATTAGAAAGTTTTAAAATTAAACTGATTTAACTGACTATGAACACACTAACAGTTTCCTTTTGTTTTCTAGATCCTCAATTGGGCCAGGTAACACTTTTAAAAGGGTTAAAGACATTTAAGGTTCTAATCACTGGCTCATTACCTGTATTGACCAGCAATACATGGGAGTGGTCGTTCTGTGCCAGCTGGACAATAGTATCCCAAGGGGCACAGCCCCCCAGTTCCAGTGTTTGCACCCGAGGGTGTTGCCGAGTCCACACCTGAAATGATGCAAAATTCATGTTTCAACATTTTTTTCCTCAAATTTAAAAAGTACAGTTCCTTATTTTGTACATGGTCAGTTTATGATACAGGTTTTCTTTTTTTTATTATTTATTTTTTAATAACAATAATTCAATATTTCTAGATACAGGCAGATGTCTAAAAAATCTGAAAATACAAAAAAACAATATAATTTTTTTTCTAGTTATATTAGAACCACTGACTTAAATCTATATCTTTAGTAAGCAAGATTGAAGGTATGCCTGTAGAAATAAATAACTGCCAACCAAAAACATTCTGAACACTAAAAATTTAGTAATGGTTGAAAGGTGTAAACTTACCAATTTCACAATAGTATGATGCAGAACATGGGCCACTAACAGCAGCCAAGCCAGGAACCAGACAGAAGTTGCCTCCTGTACATGAAGTACACTGTGTCACATTAGAGATGCCATACACAGGGTTAAAGGTTCCAGCCGGGCACTTCTGAAGGTCAGCTCCGGTCCTTGCTGGACAGTAGGACCCGGGTGGACACAAGTCAGCTCGATCACGGTTTACACAGTAATATCCCTCTGGACAGTCATAACAGATGGATGCTCCAGTGTGATTGGTGTAGGTGCCATTAGGACAGAAATTATGAGTGGGAGAGCCACCAGGGCAAGCTGAGCCGGCAGGACAAATGTCTCCAGTGATTCCATCAGTTGGTTCTGCCTGAATGGCTCCACCAATACAGTAGTATCCTGCAGTACAGTCGCCAGCAACTGCAGAGGCACCTGTGGAGTTGCAGAATTTTCCAGGCTCACAGCTAAGACAAGCAGAATCATTTGTCATACGAACATTAGGTTGGTAGGTACCTGAGGGACAAGCCACAGGTTCATGACTGTTGGAAGGGCAGTAGAACCCAGCAGGACATTCATCGCCATATGTCTGTCCAACTGGGTTAGGCGATTCAGAAGCATTGGAGCAGAAAAATCCAGCTAAACAAGGTCCATCAGGTGCACTGAGGCCAGGAGAGGCACAGTATTGACCCGGTGTACAAGCTGTACAATCAGTCAAAGCTGGTAGCATATTCCTGTGGCCAAACGTTCCCTTAGGACAGGGTGTGGGGCTGGACCAACCTTCCTCACAGTACGTACCTTGTGGACACACATTGCCAGTGATGTTGTCAGAAGGACTTGGAGCACTTGACTTCAGCACACAATAATACCCAGCATGGCACTTCCCTGATGGTTCTGTCATGTTCTGATTCTCACAGTAATATCCAGGTGGACAGTCATTACACTCAGCGATACTTTCGAGGCCAGTGGTGTTGCTAAATGTCCCAATTGGACATGGATTTTCTCGGTCAGTCATTGTACCATTTGGACAATAGAAGCCAGCAGGACAGTCTTTGGGAGTCACCACACCATGGGATGGAGCTGAAACCCCACTTTGCTGTTCACTGATAGCTTCAGTCATGTCACAGTACATACCTGCAGGGCAGTCGATACATTCACCACGCTCTTCCAGAGGCTGATACGAACCTGAAGGACAAGGCATCTGAGTCGCACTACCTTTTGGACAACTGTGTCCAGCCAAGCATTTGTTGCCTGCAGGCTGTGGTACAATCATTCCCTCTGGGCAAAACCAGCCAATGTCACAGTCACCATTTGGTAGATCCCTTCCATTTCCTGAGCAGTACATTCCAGCCGTGCAGGGGAGACAACTTGAGATATTGTGAGCTCCAAACATATCGTTGAATGTTCCTTCATCACATGCAATAGCATAAGGACTGGCTGTTGGACAGTAATGGCCTTTTGGACAAATGTCACCAAATGTCTCATTGACTGGATTGGACAAGGTTGAGCTACCATTACAAAAATGCCCTGCAGTACACTCCCCAGTATAATTAGCCAGCCCGTCAGTACCACAGAAATAGCCTCCAGTACATGAGATAGGAGCATCTGATCCCTCTGGGCAGAAACTCCCTGCATAACACTTCCCACCAATGTTTGGGTCTGTAGGTGAGGCATCCCAGGACCCAGGTAAACAATAGTAACCTCCTGTACAAAGTCCTGCAGGGGCAGGAAGACCTATGTTAGGGCAGTAAGATCCTGCTGGACACACATAGCAGGATGTGATGTTGTGGGAGCCTGTAAAACTGTTATAGGTACCATTGGAGCAAGGGTACTGTGATGAGAACTGGGTCCCTTGTGGGCAATAGTGACCTAAAGAGTTACAAAAACAAGATAAAGTTATGGCATGATCACTTGAAAGTTTTTAAATTAATCAATCTACTTGTTAAGAACTGGCATACTTATTTTATTCTTATTAATTGCTAAAGAATAATATGTTACATATGTAGCATTACCCCATTGATTAAAGTTTTATTTTTAAGGCAAAGTTTCTCATGATCCAAAGTACTAAGCTATGTTATAGAAGACCGTACATACCTGCAGGACATTCTGTTGTGTTTGAGCTTCCTGTGGTGCAGTAGGAGCCAGCAGGGCAAATGGTACAGTTGGACTGTTGATCCTGGTCAGTGAAGGTGCCAGCATCACATTGTAAAGGTAAACTGGATCCCTCTGGGCAATAAGAACCCTTGGGGCAAGGTCCTCCAGTGGCTGATACAGAGGAGGGGCTTGATGCATTGGAGCCTAACACACAGTAGAAACCAGCATTACATAGTCCTGAGGGGTAGAACAAACCTGGAATGTCACAGTAGGACCCAGGGCTACATTGCTGACATTCCGACTCAGCAGTCAATAGGGTGTTGTTGTTGAATGTTCCAGCAGGACACTGAACTGGCTCTTGTGTCTGAGCAACACAAAAGTGACCAAATGGACATGGGCCAGCATCTCCTGTAGACAAGGCGCTTGGTGTCATAGAGTTAGAACCACTACGGCAGTAATAACCAGCAGCACATTGTCCTGTCGGTGCAGTCAGGTTGGTTGTATCACAGTAGAATCCTCCTGTACATTGTGTACACTCGGTGAGATTGGACAGCATGGTGGCCCCACCAAATGTTCCTGCAGGGCATGTTTCCCAAACCAATCCTGTCCCAGCAGGACAGTAGAATCCCTGGGGGCATGGTTGTGGGTCAAATCCTGGTTCACAGTAGTACCCTGCAGTACAGGTCGAGCAAGCAACTGTTTGTGAAACGAGGGTAAATGTCCCCGCTACACACTGCTGGGGTACAGCAGTTCCCTCTGGGCAGTAATGGCGCACAGGGCAAACATTTCCAGTGGAGTCTACAGGTGTGGAAACCGATGCATTCATTGTACAGTAATATCCAGCTGTACAGTTACCAGTGGGAGCAGTTAATCCGTCTATTGCACAATACTTTCCAGGGTCACAGCCTGTACAGTCAGATTCGTACGTTAAACCTGAAAGAGGAAAAGGAAGCAACAGTTTTCAAACTGTACAGACACAGTAATGTGAATGTGTAAAACGGAAGTATATTGAGCACACATTATATGCCATGTAATAAAAGTGGAGAGATACTCTCATTAAATATTACGCCAATCTTATTATCATGTATATGCTTATCATGCTTTACTGAAATCAAGTAATATTACCTTGAGTGGGACCATAGGTACCAGCTGGACAATCAGTTCCCACAGCAACACCTGGCAAGCAATACTGTCCTGCATTACATATGTTACCAGTAACACCATCAACAGGTGTAGGTGTGTCTGCCCCTCCTGTACAGAAGTAGCCTCCCTGGCAGTCACCAGATGGAGCAGCAAGGCCCTCAATCCCACAGTATTTACCACCTGGACATGCTGTACACTCTGAAGATGACTTAAGACCTGTGCTATTGGAGTAAGTTCCATTTGGACATTTGTACTCAGTGGAGTATTTTGTACCATTGGGACAGTAGTTGCCTGGTTCACAAATCGCAGGATTCTGGACACCAGTGGAGCAGAATGTATTGTTCTGAGTGGTACCATCACAGAAGTATCCCTCGGGACACTCCTTACACACACTCTGCAGTTGAGATAATATTGATGACTGATTACACACCTGCACAATACTACAGAATATCACAATTAAAACTCAAATCCAAAACTTAACTAATTTTCAAGTAATGATATAATCCATTTTGTGTATAACAAACTCCAACATTAAAGCCATAGAATGCTGACAAGATCTCTTTCTAATGACAATATTTGCCACTCTTTTCGAGTTTTGACCTTGAAACATTTGATATGTTGAATACCTGTCAAAAGTCATTCTGAAGTTCCTGACCTTTAGATATCTTACATTTTTCAAACCTGTCAAAAGTCATTCTGATAAGTCCCTGAAATATCTTAAACATATCTTACCTGTCCAAATTCATTTTGGTAAGTTCCTGAACTACATGAGGTAAGCACGGGACTTCCAGCCTCACAGTAATGGCCTGGTGTACAGATGTATTCCACTGGATTGCTCACATTTTGACCAGCTGGACAGTAATATCCAGCAGAGCACTGTGCTGTTGGTGCTGACAACCCAGAATTCTCACAGTACCATCCTGAAAGTAAGTTTTATATGTAATTTTCTTGATACTTTTTGAGATCACGAAGACATTTATAACCAAAGCATTCAAGAAAACAATTCCCTCCTTGTTCTTTGCCTAACTTTAAATATTAAGGAAAAGTTACAAAAGAGTTTGAATAATAACCTGGATTAGAAGCTTACATGCACACAGACTTACCAGGTGTACACTCCTGACAGTCAGAGAAAGCGACGTTCCCAACAGCATTAGAAAAGTACCCTGGAGGACATTCCTCTGGTGTGCCTGTACCTTGGGGACAGTAGTGTCCAGTTGGACATATACCACCAGTGGTGTCATTCTGGGGATCTGCACGGCTTGCTCCCAGAGTACAGAAGTATCCCGCCATACAAGGCCCTGCCTCACTCGTCAATCCCACAACATCACAGTATTTACCTGTTGTCATAATTAACATCACAATTTTCATCTGTTTTAGTTCAACATCACAGTTACTTGGAAGTTTTATTACAGTGTCACATATTGATACAATGCAAAATAATTAAAAGGAATTAATAGGCTTCCTAATGGTGACCTATGAGACACTACAAATATTTGAATAATCAATAAATATCACTTTATGATAACACAACATAACCTGCAATAAAACTCAAGAATATCTCGGGATTGTGCAATATGTGAATGAACATTTTCCTAATAATACTTCTCATTTCAAAAACTAACCTGTAGTACATGGCGTGGGCTGGCTTGAGCCAACTGGACAGAACTCTCCAGGCTGACACTGACCGCCAGTAGTATTTGATGGACAGAAGCAATCAGAGTAGGAGGAGTTGTAAGTAGCAATATCTGTTGGCTGATCTGACCATGCTCCTCTTACACAATACCAGCCACCAGCACAGTCTCCTGTTGTTGAGGATAGACCACTACTGCCGCAGTATTTACCTGGGTCACAGGGCAAGCAATCTGCAACACTCTGTTTCCCTGTAACACCATTGAAGTAGCCCTTGTCACAAGGATACTGATACATACTGCCTGTTCCTACAGGACAATAGTGTCCCAATGGACAAACATTCCCAGAGTAGTCCGTGGAATTTTCTGGACAGTAAAAGCCTGCAGGGCAGTCTGTACACGAAGCTTCTCCAGTACTTGGGTTGTAAGATCCTGCAGGGCAGCCAAGAGGGTATGATGTTCCATTAGGGCAGAAGTGACCAGCTGGGCATGGTCCACTTGTGGCATCAGTGGTTGGATTATTTGGTGAAGAAGCCCCCAGTAGGCAGAAGAATCCACCCCAGCAGTCACCAGTTGGCTCTGTAAGTCCTACAGATCCACAGAACTTGCCATATGAACATTGGCTACAGTCACTGGCCTGCACCAACTTGGTCTGGTTGCTGTATGTTCCTACTGGACATCCTGTCGGCGTCACCGTGGCTTGTAAGCAGTAGTGACCAGCTGTACATGGCCCTGCTGTACCAGTGTTGTTGATATCAGGCGTGGCAGAGTCTGATCCCAGAGTACAGTAGTAACCAGGGTCACAGGGCCCAGTGACAGATGTGGCATTGGCTGTGTGACAATACATTCCCGCAGTACACTGAGTGCAGTTATCCACATGCCACAGTCCAGTATCCATGCTGAAGGTTCCAGGAGGACAAGACTGCCACAATACTCCTGTACCCTCAGGACAATAATATCCTGGTGGACAGGGGTCTGGGGTGAGGCCTGTTATACAGTAGTGTCCAGGTGTACAATTCCAGCATACATCTGCCCCAGTGTTGGTCATGTACGTTCCATCAGGGCAGGGAATGGGTGAGGCTGTGGTGCCAGGACAGTAGTGTCCAATTGTACAAGGATCTCCAGTTGTTCCATTATCAGTTGGTGTCGGGGTTACTGCCTTACGCGAGCAGTAGAAGCCAGGATCACAGGAGCCTGATGGAGTAGTCAGGCCTGTTCCATTACAGTAGTATCCTCCACTGCAATCCTGACATTCCCCTGAGGTAGATAGACCTGGACTATTAGACCACGTTCCCAAGGGGCAGGGCTCTGGTACAGGGGTCCCTTGGGGACAATAATTGCCTATGGGACAAGCCTGGCCTGTCACTCCATCAGTAGGTGTTGCTGTTGCTGATCCGTTCATACACCAGGATCCAGCCAGACAGTCACCTGCAAAAAATGTAACCTTTTTTTAGATCACTTTGGTTTATTCAATACCATTATCTAGCCACCACTAACCGAGTGTTCCACTATACGTTCTACTATACATTCACAATCTAGAGCCTCAATATTCATCCAGCATATGATCTAGTGCCCAAATAATTGTCCAGGATTTATCTGGCACCCAAATATATATCCAGGATTTATCTAGCACCCAAATAATTGTCCAGGATTTATCTGGCACCCAAATAATTGTCCAGGATTTATCTGACACCCAAATAATTGTCCAGGATTTATCTGGCACCCAAATAATTGTCCAGGATTTATCAAGCACCCAAATAATTGTCCAGGATTTATCTAGCACCCAAATATTTGTTCAGGATTTATCTGGCACCCAAATATTTGTTCAGGATTTATCTGGCACCCAAATATTTGTTCAGGATTTATCTGGCACCCAAATATTCCTCTACCATTATCCTGTGTTTCCACTATTCATCAACTATCAATCTGATGTCCAAATTTTCATTTGCTTTTAACCTACATTACCATTATCCAGTCATAGTTTACAGAACTGCCTAAAGTCTAACACCTTTAGAGAAATAAATTTAACTGGTGACAGTTAATGAATTAAACAACCTTTCTGATTCATATAACTTAATACGGTGATGATTTCCAACCTTGTTAATGATGAATAGTTTTCATCTGTACCTAAAATCGCATTGTAAGTCTATACTATATACATCATCATACAGACATATCATACCTGTGTAATTGGTGAGTCCATCCGAGCCACAGTATTTGCCGGAGTCACAGGGAGTACACTGGCTGATGTCAGACAGCATGGTGTAAGGGCTATAAGTACCAGCAAGACAGGGATACTGGGTTGAGAATTCTGTAGCATTGGGACAATAGTAGCCCATAGGACAGGGGTATGGTGTATAGGTGGTCACAGGTGTGTTTGCCACATCGCAGTAGTAACCTGGGCAAAGAAGGAATATGTAGTAAGCTCAGACAGATCTATTTACATAAGAACCAGTGGAAAAATTCAAAATATCCTAAGAGAAGTATCTAATATCCCTCCTCAAACTATACGTAAAGATGTCCTGATCCACAAACTTTACCTGGTTCACAAAATTTGCATGAGCCTTGACCATTCTGATCCTGATAGGTTCCTGATGGACAGTCGATCTCTTCAAATACCCCAACTGGACAATAGTGGCCCGTGGAACAGGTGAAGCTGACTGGGTTTCCTTGACTCTGACCAGTTGGACAGTAGTGCCCTGTTAAACATACATAGGAATGTCATCCATGTTCTGTATATCTGATGTAGTTTAAAATCTTATCAACAGCTATGGTCATTTGATGATATCTGGTGTAAGTATTTATAACTAATTTGTGACAATCTTTAAACAATCTTACAGATTCCAACCAATAAACCAGACAGGGACTAGCACAGTGATCCAACCTTTAATGTATATACTATACTATGCTAGGCTATATGTCAAATCTTTCAATTGTTGTGTTTACTTACATTAGAACCAATATGCAAAGTTTCACATTTGAACTAGTATCATAATTCCTATCTGTGAGACACTGTGCTGAGTCTTACAGTTGGATCACTGTGCTAGTCCCTGACTGTGAGTCACTGTGCTGAGTCTTACAGTTGGATCACTGTGCTAGTCCCTGACTGTGAGTCACTGTGCTGAGTCTTACAGTTGACTGTGCTGATCACTGTTGGATCACTGTGCTAGTCCCTGTGCTGTGAGTCACTGTGCTGAGTCTTACAGTTAAATCACTGTGATAGTCCCTGTCTGTGAGTCACTGTGCTGAGTCTTACAGTTGGATCACTGTGCTAGTCCCTGACTGTGAGTCACTGTGCTGAGTCTTACAGTTGGATTACTGTGCTAGTCCCTGACTGTGAGTCACTGTGCTGAGTCTTACAGTTAAATCACTGTGATAGTCCCTGTCTGTGAGTCACTGTGCTGAGTCTTACAGTTGGATTACTGTGCTAGTCCCTGACTGTGAGTCACTATGCTGAGTCTTACAGTTGGATCACTGTGCTAGTCCCTGACTGTGAGTCACTGTGCTGATTTCTATATCATTGTATTTAAATCTACCTCCAAATTAATGTGTCACGTCATAACCTCTGAATCACATTTTTATCTGTAGATATTTACCTTCAAAGCATAGTCCTGTGGGTTCAGTGAGACCGGTAGAGCCGCAATAGTAGGCCTGTGTACATTGGGTACATTCTGAGGACTGTGTAAGACCAGTCATGTTGTTGAATGTTCCTGTGGGACAGTGTGCTTGGTTGGTCGTACTTCCAGCCTCTATAACACAAAATTAAGACATAACCAAGATGTCACAATATTCTAAATGGAAATGTATGACAACACCTTCATTAATTTCCTAATAAATGATCTTTGTTGTCATTAAAAGCCATTACCTAGTCTTTACTGAATACTTACCACAATATCTCCCCATAGGACAAATGTTTCCTGTGATACCATCTGTAGGATCTTCTCTTGTAGCACTGAGACCACAGTAATAGCCAGCCTTACACGATCCGGTCACTACAGCTAACCCTGAAACACATTTATCACTTGGAATTACTATTAATGATCCACACTAAAAAAAAAATCACAGGTGTCTGGAGAATTTTTGTCTTGAATTTTGACAGGTCAGCATGGGCTCCAATGTGTGCTTGACTGTATATCTATTCTATAAGCAAAAGCAAACACAACCATCTTGGATCCAGAGATATAAGTAATATATGTCCTTATTCATGTATGTTACCCTGGAAACAATTGTTTCATAATGTGAAAGTTTGGCAATTCATTATGGCCTAAATGATGCATTTTTTGACCGTATAATTCCAGTTCTATATAGATACCTTGACCTTGACCTTGAACTTTTTAAATTTCACATGTGCTGTATATCATAGTGCATCATTGTGTGATATTATGAAAGTTTGCCTTTCTGTAAGGGCCTTGTATGATAAAGTTTTGAAAGTAAATTCCTGATTCTATTTTCAGCAACCATAACCATGACATTATGAATGTTTTAAATCTTTTTGCATATCATAGTTTATCAACGTTTCAGAGACAAAGTAAAAGTGTTGACATACAGATTGATAGAAACTGCATTAATAATGGATATTTGGAGGACATAATATTCTAAATCAAGGTCTATAAAGAACGTAAATATCATTGTACAAAAATCCTGCTAAAAAAGTTACAATCAGCCTTACCTGGTGTAGCACAGTAAGAGCCCTCTGTACAAGGAGTTGGTTCTGATGAGCCTTGAGGACAGAAGAATCCTGGCTGACACTCCCCACCAGTTGAGTTACTGGGACACAGACAGTCGTCACTTGTAAAGTTGTTATAATTAGTTGGCGTGCTCGTCTTTGCTCCTTGGACACAGAAATACCCTGTACAAACATAAACAAAGTGAATAACATAAATGATTCCCGACAAGGGTGATAACATCAAACAGTTCATTCATTGAAAGAAAAATAAAAATAAAAATAAAAACAAAAATAATGGAATTCAGAAACTAGTTTTACATATTGCTCCACAAAGACTGCATTTTAAAATCTTTTATTGAATCCATTTAAATAAATTGATATTTCTAGTGGCAGCTATTTTACATTATCATGAGACTATTAATTAAACATACCAGCATCACACAATCCACTTGGTGCACTTAGACCCTGTGCTCCACAGTAGGAACCAGCAGTACATGGGTAACAGTCAGATAAGCTCTGACCCATTGACACATTGCGGAAAGTTCCCTCTGGACATGGATATTGTGTGGCAAGCTCAGTGCCATTCATGCAGTAGTATCCTTGTGGACAGGGGTAATCCTCATAGGTAGTGGTGTTATCTGGACAGTAATAGCCGGCTGGACAAGAGAAACACTCTGCTTGTCCTGTAAGGTTGTTATATGTGCCCCTGTTACAGGCCAAAGGACTGGAAGTTCCTTCTGGACAGTAGTGGCTAACTGGACATGGACCACCAATGGCTGGTTGATCACCTTTAATCACAACATTGATGCAAGTTTTAGACACAATAGAAAAAAAATAGATATCTGTGTAACGGCCCGGACAATTCAAATTCATATTCACTAAAACCATAAAAAAACACCTATCTACAAGGGTTTTTATCTACGCTGAAACCTGATATTAAAGTCCCCATGCCTGTACGTAATTCACATTATAAATAAATCTCTTTAAAACAATCTCACATTACATGTAGCATTAACTCCTACTCTGAGTAAAGGTTTTATTAAAGTGTAATCATTAAAAAAGCTACAATCTCTCTGAACTAAATATTTTTTTTTACTAACCAATCAGAAGAATTCAACTCACCTATGGGCATTGGGTCATTGTTACCACGGAGACAGTAGAAACCTGCCGCACATGGTGCCGTCACATTGCTGAGTCCTTCAGTACCACAATAGTGTCCCAGACTACAGTCTTGACAGTCTGCTACCTTTTCGGCCATAATTGTGTCCCTGAAAGTGCCGTTTGGACAGGGTGTGGGGTCTTCAGTCTGCTGTAGACAGTAATGTCCAACAGGACATGGACCACCAATTCCACTTGTTGTTTCTGGTGTTGGGGTACTCACATTACAACCTGAAAACATGGTAAAATCTTACTGATTGACAAAACAAGCATGTTTAGCAATGTGAATCACTATTCAAAACATAGACCGTCATGTTAACTTAATTCTAATTGATAAAATAAACAATTGCATACTGAAAAAATCATACTTTTCACTGGGCTTCAATTTCGATGTTTTTCAAAAAATATCTGCTTTTTTGCTCTTGACTGCAAGTTTCCGTACTCAAAAAAATTCAATAATAAAAAGAGTTTATATAAAAATTGATTTGTGGACCTATCAAAAAGAGGTCCAGAGAAATAAACAGAAAGCAAAACATGCAAAACTAAAAGCTATTTATAATTTTGGTGTTTATAAATGAACGAACATGCTGTATAATGCATTTTTGGAGGTAATTTTCATAAGAATGAAATGTTGAAGGTAAAGCAAAAGTATTTCTATGGTTTTGATTTTTAAGTTTTTTTTAACTATGGAAGCAAATAGGACATATTCTAAAGAAAGTCTAAATATTTTCAAAGGAAGTAATGAAACACTGTAGATGTATCTTTAATGAAAGACGTGAAACACTGTGGATGTATTGTGGATGTATCTTTAATGAAAGACGTGAAACACTGTGGATGTATCTTTAATGAAAGACGTGAAACACTGTAGATGTATCTTTAATGAAAGACTTGAAACACTGTGGATGTATCTTTAATGAAAGACGTGAAACACTGTGGATGTATCTTTAATGAAAAACGTGAAACACTGTGGATGTATTGTGGATGTATCTTTAATGAAAGACGTGAAACACTGTGGATGTATCTTTAATGAAAGACGTGAAACACTGTGGATGTATCTTTAATGAAAAACGTGAAACACTGTGGATGTATTGTGGATGTATCTTTAATGAAAGACGTGAAACACTGTGGATGTATCTTTAATGAAAGACATGAAACATTTTGTATTCATTTTTAAAGGAAGTCATGAAACACTTTGGATATGTCTTTAACAAAAGTATTATTGTATTAATCTAATTTTCAACAAATCTGTCTTCTTTTCATTATTCCAACCTCGAGAAAAAAATAATAAGAAAAAAAAAGCTGGAAAACTTTACAGTATACCAACATATCCCAACTAGCTTTAATTATCCAAATAATCCCTGGATCAGTGTCTTATATCTCCAGATGTAACAAAATCAAGTTGGTGATCATTTTCATACCTGATTTGCAGTAGTACCCCGCTGAACATGGCTCTGTTCCCGTATCATTTAGACTATAGTCAAAGTTGACAGCACCCCAACTATGGCAAGAGTAGCCTCCAGCACAGGGTCTACATTGGGACTCCATGCTCAGACCTGCACAACAAAGTTTATAGCTGTTTTCAACAGAACTAAATGCACCAAGACTGAAACTTTGTGGAAATTTTAGGTATTAAGAAATAACATTAATGTTTCTGTGAGACTAAGAAGGCTTTACCTAGATCTGGGTTGTAGGTCCCTGGTGGGCATAGCGGCCTGTAGAGATTAGTTCCTTCTGGACAGTAGCGTCCTGTAGTACATAAATCTGGCTGTATAGTCGCATCCTCAGCACAGTAATAACCACTTGTACAATTGTGACAGAAATCCATGCCTGTCTGATTCTGATAGGTTCCAGGAGTACAATTCCTTGGGGTCCCTGTAGGTCAGAATACACTTGATTTACAAGCAGCCTTTTCACAGGCATAAAATGACTTCAAAACAGTTCCATGTTTACCTGTATGACCTTATATCAACCAAATGTTTCTAAACACTACCTAAGACTGCCTAAGAACCAATGTCTACTATCCTGAAAATTGACTTCTAAACATGATGTTCATGAGAATTAGATAGCACAACAGTCACGAAAGTATCTGCAGTCAGATTAACTCTGGTTATCTAGCAGTTTTCATTAAGAAATATCTTAAATAGTATACTGTACTCAAACACTACTGCTAAAGAGAGGTGATTCTGAAATAGTGTTTTACATCTTCTCTTTCATATGTGAATCACTTTAATATTACTGTTCCAAGTTTGTATACCTACCTACTCCCTCTGGACAGTAGTTACCAGGTGTACATGCCCCTCCTGATCTCAGGCCATCATCAGGCATACTGACCGAAGCCCCTCCACTACAGAAGAAGCCTGCAGCACACAGTCCTGAGGGTGCTGTCAAACCGGTTCCATTACAGTACTCCCCAGGCGGGCAGTCTGTACAGTTTTCTGATGCTTGGAGGCCATAAGCTGTGGAATAGGTTCCTGCAGGACAGGGATACTCTGTGGGATATTGAGTTCCCTCAAGACAATAATGTCCAGGGGGACAGAGGTCAGCCATGGTCAATCCTACAGGAGTCGAGTCATTGGAGCCCTCTTGGCAATAGAAACCTGCCTGACAGTAAACATTAGGTGATGATAGACCGACCATTTCACATGCCTGGCCAGCGGTACAGGCAGTACAATGAGATTCATTATAACGTCCCAAGTCTTTCAGATAGGTACCTACTGGACATGGTGTAGGATACTCACTGCCAAGAGGACAGTAGTGACCAGTAGGACAAATGATTTCTATTACAGTAGCTGTGCCATTACAATAATATCCTTGTGGACATAGCAAACATGCTGAAGACCTCACTGTTGGCTGATACTGCCCTCGTGGGCATGGCTCTTGTTTGAAAGCCCCTGACAAGGAATAGTGTCCTGCCTGAGTATCATATTGTGTTGCTGTACCTGCCCCACCTGTACAGTAATATCCAGGAGCACATGGTTCTGAAGCGTTGGTACTACTAGATCCAGCACAATAAAAGCCTGGGTCACATGGTATACAGTCATATGCAGTCTTGGCTCCGACACTCTTACTGTACTGTCCAACTGGACAGGAAGTAGGCACGGCAGATCCAGCAGGACAGTACCCACCAGCTGGACATACCCCTCCAGTCAATCCATCTGGAGGAGCTGATGTATAAGCCTTCTCCTTACAGTAGAAACCTGCATCACATACATCCGTAGGCTCGGTCCGACCAATGCCATCACAGTAATAACCACCAGGACATGGGGTACAATCTGTGCTCCTACGAAGATTAGTAGAGTTGCTGTAAGTTCCGAGGGGACAGGGTGAAGGGCCGGTACTACCTGTTATACAGTAGTATCCAGCAGGGCAATCAGTAGGGGTAGCTAGACCTTCAACTGAGCAATAATATCCTGACACACATTCAGCACAGTCATCAAACTTCTCCCTTGCAGACCCATTTCTGTAGAATCCAATAGGACAAGGGAAAGAGTACTCAAATCCAGTGCCAGGGGGACAATAGTAGCCCCCAGGACACTCTCCAGCAACAGCACTGAGACCTTCAGGATTACAGTAATATCCAGCTGTACAGCTTTCACACTGCCCCACTTCACTGAGGCCGAAAACTCCATTGAAGGTCCCATTAGGACAGGGGACGGGCCATGGATTGACATCTCCACGGGGACAGTAGTGTCCTGTCCGACAAGCATGATCGACCAGGTCAGGTCTAACAGACACTCCTCCAGGACACTCAGTACCTCCAGGGCAAATGAAGTCAGTTTCCATGGTTGCTTTACTAGTGGCATTGTTAGAACAATAAAAACCTGGCTCACAGCTAGAGCAGGCAGATGCACCTGTGTCAGAATAATTGCCCTTTTCACAAGGAAGGGGATCCACTACAGCTTCCACAGGGCAGTAATAACCTGCTGCACACGCTAAACACGCTGTGATGTTCTCTCCTTTAGTGTCCGGGTTATAGGTAGCTCTGTCAACAAAAATCTTCTTTGTGAAAATATCCTCTTTACAATTCATCACATTTTCTTTTATTCCCATTACATGTTGAAATTAAGTGAAACAGTAAATAAAATTCAGCATATGTTAAATTTTACAGACACATAAATTTCATATATAATACATTTAAAATTTTGCAATAAAAAACTTAACCAAATCATTTGACAGGTAGAGTTAACATTCTACTGCAGGTTTAAATAGTTCCCATCATATATATATGTTGTAATGGAGTTTCTGTGTACATACATAGGACATGCTACAGGCAGTATGGAGCCTGCGACACAGTGATAACCAGCCCAGCAATCAACACATTTCTCCCAGGCATCCACCTTGGTAACGTTATTGTAGGAGCCAGCATGACAAGGAAAGGAATTACCTGCTGGTGTACCTAAACACAAAATCCCTCCATCATTTATCATGGCTGTCTAATAGTAACATTGTCAGACAATTCAATCAATATTTGTCATAATTATATTCTTGGACTATATAGTAAAACTTTTGCTGTAGGTAAACATTCCCTATTTTGTACTTTTGCCTCATGGCTAAAAATAAAAGCTTGCTAAAAGTGAAACATCATGGAATAACAGAATTGCAAATACTGATGCCTCATGAAGGAGCAAAAGTGGCTTTATTGGATTTAAAAGGAAGCAAATGAAAATCTAATTCTTAATATCATGTGTAGAAAGCGTTGCCAGCAGTGACAACTTAGTAGAAGTCACCTAAAGAGTCTTTACATCATTAAATATTCACTTAAATTGAAAGAATAAGTCACTTTCACCTATTGAGCCCCTCTGTAAGCCCCTTGGAGCCAGATCCTAAAAAGAACCTGCTATTTCAGCTTCAAGAACTTGACTGTAAAGTTTACTTTTCGATGTGTAAAGAGGAAGTTAACATATAACAATTCAGAAATAGTCTCCACTAATTCCATAACTATTTTTCCCATGTTAAGCATATTTTTTATATCAAAATCTTTTTATCAACATCATTGATTGGAAAAATTTCTCACCTTCCGGACACCAGTGTCCTTGGAAGCACTCCCCAGTGGGTTGAATGGAACCTTGAAGACAATAGAATCCCCTCGGACAGACATAACACTCTTGTTGACTCTTCAGATTGGTAAGGTTGGTATAGCTACCTGCAGCACATGGAGTCTCTGTAGGGGAACCGGTACCCAGTGGACAATAGTGACCTTGACCACAAGCTTGTGGGGGATTCTGCTGTCCACCTGTACCAGCAGCACATGAGGTAGATTCTGGACATGAATCACACTGTTCTACTGCAGTCAAGTTGGTATGGTCGGTATAAGTTCCAGCTGGACAGGCATACTCTGTTTGATTTGGTGCATAATTGCCACCAGGACAGTAATACCCTGGAGAACAGGGGTAGTTTGGTTCTGTGAGTCCGTACATGGTACAAGACTTTCCTGATGTACAAGGTGAACAACCTGTGATGTTAACTTGATCTAACTTGTCATTGAAGGTACCAGGGGGACAAGGCGTTGGTGTGGCTCCCCCTTCTAGACAGTAATGACCAGCAGGGCAAGATTTACAATCCCCAATGTGTTTGGCAGAACCTTGTTCAGTGTATTTTCCAGCTGGACATGGTATAGGATTATTGGCTCCTATTGCTTCGCAATAATGACCTCTTGGACAGGTTTGGGCTTCGATGTCATAGTCAGGGGTACCCGGATCACAATAGTATCCCTCTGGACAACCTTTACATTCTGCCAGTGAGGCTGCACCTTCGATCTTGTTGAAATACCCTGCAGGACATGGATTGTCCTTTTGTCCTGCTGTACCTAGTGGACAATAGAATCCAGGTGGACAAAGAAGAGTTGGGGCCACAGCAGTTCCCTCTGGACAGTAGAAGGTAGCCAGACAATCTTTACAGTCTGTCTCAGCAATGAGACCTGTCACATCACCATATTTTCCAGCTGGACACTTGGTCAATGTTCCTCCATCTGTACAGTAATATCCTAGTGGACAAATGTATTCTGTAGCATTGGAACTTGTGCTTCCCTCTCCACAATAATACCCAGGGTTACAATTTGAGCAGGCAGTGGTACCACCTATACTGTATGTACCAACAGGACAAATGACTGGATCAATGCTTGGATCTGAACATTGATATCCAGGGGTACACCTACTACAGGCTGCAGCACCTCCCAGACTGAAATATCCATTAGAGCAAGTGGTTCCAGAACTGGTGGCGTCAGGACATTCCTTGCCAGCATCACAAGCAGTACAGGAATCTGCTCCACCTAGAGAGTAGTAGCCAGGTTGACAACGATTGAGAATGTCTTCATAAATACTAGGACAAGCAAATCCAGAAGGACATACAGTACATGCATTCTGGGAACCAACACTGTATGTTCCAGCAGCACAAATGGTTGTTGTAGAAGCAGAAATGGATGGACATTCATACCCAGGAGGACATTCTGTACATGATGTTGAACCAGCAACTGCATATTCTCCTGGTTGACAGTCTACTATTAAGGAGTCGGACTCAGTCGAGGGACAAGCTTTCCCTGCCAAGCAAGTTGTACATACGCCATCTCCTGACAAGGCATAGGTGCCAGCAGGGCACCGATCATTCTGACTACCATCAGTGTTTGGACACTCATATCCAGCTGGACATGGAGTACAGACAGTTGAACCTGGGATAGTATAAGTACCAGCAGTACAAGTAGTAATTGAAGTGCCATCAGTGTTTGGACATGCAGATCCAGCAGGGCATACAGTACATGCCTGTTGACCTCCAATAGAGTAAGTTCCTGAAAAAGAAAATACACATAATTATTCATAACAAAGTCTTTGAGTGGAATCCTCTGATCCAATGTGATAAATCCTTTGTGATTGAGAAACTGAATTCCTTAGGAGTAAATTAATTTTATCTAAACATTTAGCTTTAGGAATCATACTGCGAACACTAACCAAATATGGCTGGACATGAAAAACTTAATTCAACAAAGACAGTTTGACTGAGGGATTTACAGACAGATCACTAGAGCATACTCTGATTTTCTTGTTGAAACTTACCACTATCACAGGGTACTGAAAGCACAGCTGAAGTAGTTGGACAGAATGCTCCAGCACCGCAAGAAACACAGCTTGTATAACCACTCCCAGAATAGCTTCCAGCTGTACATGGAGTGGGTGAGGCACTAGCTGTTGGACACTCAGATCCTGCTGGACAGGTTTGACATAGAGTGGACTTGGCCAAACTATACTCCCCAGAACTACAGGCAACTGGTACAACTCTGAAATTACAATACAGTCATTAAAAGTTAAGCAGATAAAATAACATCGGCATATTTTATACACATAATGATATACACATACTACACTGACAGAATACTCAAATTAAACAGGAAAATTATGGATGCTTTTCAATTTAAGAATGGACATTTTATATTCAGCTTCCATGCAATAAAGTATCGAAAACAATAGATAAATACTACTTACTTTAGTCTCAATATGTGTCCCTAAAATTTAATTTAAAGTTCAAGAAGTACTGAAATAAATAAATAATACCTTAAAAAGATCACGCGGTCCACTGTTGGTTCCAGACCTGAGAGTACTTACGTGGGATCTGGACAGTAGGAGCCAGCCGGACAATCTGTGCAGGATGTTTGTCCAGTGTTGCCATTTGTGTGTTGGCCTGCTGAACATTCAATCTTCAGAAATGGGAATGGACACTGGTATCCAAGTGGACAAACTGTACAGTTGACTTCAAGGGCAGCACTGTACTCGCCAGAACTACATGCTGTCGTACCAGACGATGAACAGCTGTAGCCTGCAGGACATATCTGACACGATGTGGACCCCTAAAACAAGTCAAAGGTAATACTCCATGTACATCATAGCAGCATTTCTTCCAAAATCAAAATGTCCTCAGACTGACTTCAACTTTGTTGAGGATGTGTATCATCTGGCAGAGTAAGACACTGTGTTCTAATGTACAATACTATTTCAATTAAGAATAACTGTTATACTTACTGAAGCACTATAGTAGCCAGTGGGACAGGATGTTGGCGTCCCAGTGGGGTCAGTGCAGGTCTGACCAGCTGGACACGCCGTACAGGATGTGGCTCCAGCGGCTGAGTAACTTCCACTACTACAAGGTGTGGGAGATGAGGATGTTGTGGCGCAGGAGTAACCAGCTGGGCAAATTGTACAGGCTAGTGTCTGAAACAAGCAATTCAATTGTACAGATCATGGTATGAAACAAGCAATTCAATTGTACAGATCACTGTATGAAACAAACAATTCAGTTGCACCGATCACTGAATGAAACAAGGAAATTGAAATCTATTGATAAAGTGAACACAATGGAAACCAATCGGTCCATCAGAAGTGACTACAGCATAAATATCTATGAATGACATCTGTAGACAAAATGTGACTGAAGGACAGTAACATTACATCCTGAGGCCAAGATCAAAATCCATTCATATTTAGCACAGTTATCACAGGGAAACTAAAGCAGGATGGACAGACAGACATCCCCAAATTAAAATCCCACTTTTCCTTGAAAAGCAGATGATATTAATTGATAAGTGTTTTAATGTACAGACCACTGTCTGAAAACCTGACCAATATTTAAATGTATAGACCACTGTCTGAAAACCTGACCAGTATTTAAATGTATAGAACACTGTCTGAAAACCTGTTTAGTATTTATATGTACAGAACACTGTCTGAAAACCTGTTCAGTATTTAAATGTACAGACTACTGTCTGAAAACCTTATCAGTATTTAAATGTATAGACCACTGTCTGAAAACCTCATCAGTATTTAAATGTACAGACCACTGTTTGAAAACCTGATCAGTATTTAAATGTACAGACCACTGTCTGAAAACCTGATCAGTATTTAAATGTATAGACCACTGTCTGAATACCTGACCAGTATTTAAATGTACAGACCACTGTCTGAAAACATACAGAATTTAAATGTACAGACCACTGTCTGAAAACCTGATCAGTATTTAAATGTACAGACCACTGTCTGAAAACCTGATCAGTATTTAAATGTACAGACCACTGTCTGAAAACCTGATCAGTATTTAAATGTATAGACCACTGTCTGAATACCTGACCAGTATTTAAATGTACAGACCACTGTCTGAATACCTGACCAGTATTTAAATGTACAGAACACTGTCTGAAAACCTGATCAGTATTTAGATGTAGAGACCACTGTCTGAAAACCTTATCAGTATTTAAATGTACAGAACACTGTCTGAAAACCTGACCAGTATTTAAATGTACAGACCACTGTCTGAAAACATGACCAGTATTATTTTGATGTACAGACCACTGTCTGAATACCTGATCAGTATTTAAATGTACAGACCACTGTCTGAATACCTGATCAGTATTTAAATGTACAGACCACTGTCTGAAACAATCGGTATTCATCAAGTGACCAGTATGGAGTGTACTAATACTGACAGTTGTTTGATTTCTTACTATCTTGTACACTACCCATGTCAGTGTTAGTATGCTCCACACTGTCATTTGTTCGATGAAGGTGACCGCGTAGTCATTGAAATGTCACACTCTAATCTTCTACTGGTTGAGTTATAAGAAGAAGGTGACCGTGTAGTCCTCGAAACGTCACACTCTAATCTTCTACTGGTTATGTTATAAGATGAAGGTGACCGTGTAGTCATCAGAACATCACACTCTAATCTTCTACTGGTTGTGTTATAAGATGAAGGTGACAGTGTAGTTATCAAAACATCACACTCTAATCTTCCAGTGGTTGTGTTATAAGATGAAGGTGACCGTGTAGTCATCAGAACATCACACTCTAATCTTCCAGTGGTTGTGTTATAAGATGAAGTTGACCATATAGTCATCAGAACATCACACTCTAATCTTCCAGTGGTTGTGTTATAAGATGAAGTTGACCATATAGTCATCAGAACATCACACTCTAATCTTCTACTGGTTGTGTTATAAGATGAAGTTGACCATATAGTCATCAGAACATCACACTCTAATCTTCCAGTGGTTGTGTTATAAGATGAAGGTGACAGTGTAGTTATCAAAACATCACACTCTAATCTTCCAGTGGTTGTGTTATAAGATGAAGGTGACCGTGTAGTCATCAGAACATCACACTCTAATCTCCTACTGGTTGTGTTATAAGATGAAGGTGACCATGTAGTCATCAGAACATCACACTCTAATCTTCTACTGGTTGTGTTATAAGATGAAGTTGACCATATAGTCATCAGAACATCACACTCTAATCTTCTACTGGTTGTGTTATAAGATGAAGTTGACCATATAGTCATCAGAACATCACACTCTAATCTTCCAGTGGTTGTGTTATAAGAGTTTCTATTCTATTGACATAACCAATCTGAAGAAAATGTTTTGAAATTACCCTTTTGTAAACAGATATTTTCAAGACACTTACCACTCCACCAAGGCTGTAGTATCCTGGATTACAGTCCACTATACTGGCTGCATCAAGACAATTTTTACCAGCTGGACATGCAGAACACAAGGAGGCGGCTGCATTACTGTACAGGCCTGTGGACATAAAACAAACTCATCCAACCATCTCATAACTTAATAAAACTAAGAAGTACGTACTGTTAGAAGTTTTCAGTGTACCAGACTCAATACCATGAAAATAATACCTGGCTCCCTTTAATTTGTAATGTCTTGGCAACAACAGATATGGTATCACAAGCACAGTTTTACCAACTTTACAGATATCCATGTGTTTTTCCAGTATTACAAATTACCTACTGTTCTTTTTGCAGAGATAAGATAATATATTTGCTATTTCCAGTGGCATTCACCTGAACATGAAAATTTTATTCACAAAAAAAAAAAAAAAAAGAAACAAAAAAATAAATTAATTTCATCCCCTATATAAAGTGCCTATGTCCATAAAATATTCTATTGTATCCTATTGTAAAGTGTTCTAAAGCCTGTTGCCATATCAGTATCATTACTAGCTGGGTTGTCTCTAATTATCAAAGGGTATTTGAAGTAATTAAATTTGTTTGGAACAGCTTTAATGGTATTATTACAGATTATTTTGTATATTTTATAATAATATCTTGATTTATTTGCATAAATCAAGAAATCAAGTATTTGAAACTTAAAACCAGAAGCAAGATTAGAAAAAATTATATATCCTCAGATCATAAATTTGTTAAAATTTAACATTATAGTTTTAAATGAAAATAATGATAATTTTTGCAAGTGAAAATGACAATCTATACTCTATCTGGCAGCAATTAAGATATTCTTGGTGCTCTATGATACTTTAGAAAGTTGTAATGAACAGTACAAACAATGAGTTAGTTACACATAATTTTACATGGTTTATTACCCTTGTTAATGTCTTTAGTCATTATGATGTATCTAAACATGAATGTCTTGTCTAGTGCAAAATAACCCATGTTAGCTTACATCAGGTAACACCCAGTCCAAGTTAACCAGTCATTGAATACAATATCTGGAACATTAACGCATGTATGATATTGTGCACTAGGAAATATTCACAAAGGATTTTTCAACCATATGTAAATCTATTTATTTTTGCTCAAAGTTAATATTACCATGATCGATAAAACGCAGATAATTCAGTTTTAAACTTAAACCTACCTTATATTGTCATCTTATTGAAAGAATGGTGAGAACAGGTGATCATAAAATATGACAAAGGTATATTTCTGGTTTCATCCATTGTATTGAAAACTCTACCTTGCTGACATGGTGTGCAGACAGACTCTCCAAGAGCACTGTAGGTTCCAGCAGCACAGTTAGCTGGACTCACATACACAGATCCATCAAAGCAATACTGACCAGCTGGACACTGAGTACAAGATGAGGCAGCAGCTGCACTGTAGTAGCCACTTTCACACAGCTAGATAACATAACATGTTTAACAACAAAATAACAAATGTTCACACGATTACATTGACATGTACAAGACTGATATAACATGAAATAAGAAGAAAAGCATTTATTAACTTTTATATCTTTTATAATCTTGTTTTCTCGTCCATACTAACTAACAAATATACTTCCCGAATTTATCATAAAACTCTTCACTGGTCCATACTTACTTACAAATATACCTCCCAAATTTATCATAAAACTCTTCACTGGTCCATACTTACTAACAAATATACCTCCCGAATTTATCATAAAACTCTTCACTGGTCCATACTTACTAACAAATATACCTCCCAAATTTATCATAAAACTCTTCACTGGTCCATACTTACTAACAAATATACCTCCCAAATTTATCATAAAACTCTTCACTGGTCCATACTTACTAACAAATATACCTCCCAAATTTATCATAAAACTCTTCACTGGTCCATACTTACTAACAAATATACCTCCCAAATTTATCATAAAACTCTTCACTGGTCCATACTTACTAACAAATATACCTCCCAAATTTATCATAAAACTCTTCACTGGTCCATACTTACTAACAAATATACCTCCCAAATTTATCATAAAACTCTTCATAAAACTCTTCACTGGTCCATACTTACTAACAAATATACCTTTATCATAAAACTCTTCACTGGTCCAATTATACCTCCCATTTATCATAAAACTCTTCACTGGTCCATACTTACTAACAAATATACCTCCCAAATTTATCATAAAACTCTTCACTGGTCCATACTTACTAACAAATATACCTCCCTAATTTATCATAAAATGTTAACTCTTCACTAGTCATTGTATTTTCATTAACTTTCCAATAAATTTATCATTTAGCAAAGGTAAAAATGATTTTAAACGTCTATTTTATAAAACATGAAACTCAATCTCAGTGACAGAATAGTACCACAAACTTAGATATAGAAAGTACATGGTGGTAATGAAAATGATACTAAAATACCATTTCAAATATATATGATAATCTATGCTACAATGTTATCTTCCATAGAATAATAGAAAATATTTAAACATCTTTCTAGTCATATTTTGGAAATAAGATCTCATCGTAAAATGTATGGGATGAAAGAAACTTCGAAATATTATAAAATTTTTAGGTTTTCTTTTAAAACCGCCGAGATACATGTATTCATAATTGAACGCCAACTACTTCCTGAACTAATATAAAACACATTTTATATCCTTTCTGCGGAAGAGGTAGATGTGTTTTGTTGTGTCTATTTGTGGTGTAATATTCTGTCCAAGCTATAGCCTAGAGTAAGTAGCAGCTGATCTGTGTCATAAGTATAATTCTCTAAAATGGGGCCGAAATGCAAATTTCATGGACATACAGATGGGTCAATTAAAGTATAACTCCCCTAACCCCCTGACTCGCTTCCCCGTGTAACTTTTTGTTGGCAGGGTGCCAATTGTGAAATGAATCTGTAATAGCATTATCAGGTTTTATTATTTATTTGAAGTAAAAAAAAAGGATTTCAATTTCCTACCTCACATGTTGATATCCCCAGTGGACTGTAATAACCAGCCAGACAGTTAACTGCTGCAGCTGTTTTATCCAGACAGGACTGTCCAGCAGGACAGGAATCACAAGATGTTTGAGCGGTAGATGTCTGGTATTGACCATCTGGACAAATGACTGGGTCAGAAAGAGGATTTGGGCAGTAGAAACCTGCTTCACAGTCGATACATACCGATCCATTGGAATACTGTCCAGACTGAAAACGTGATAAAATGATTAAAAGTTATCTTGAGAAGTCAGGATATAAGGAGGAATATGCCACTGAACATTTGTCTAAATTTGCTGACAATTATTAATGGCTACATCCAAACAGAAGATTAAATGTAGAGATAACTAGGGCTTAATGGACAGATGTGGTGTAAGTGAAATATACAGTTTTAAGTTGAAATGGGAGAGATTTGAGTTTTCCAATAGCAGAGAGATTATGATAAAGCCACATTTGTGTTAGTTTGAAAGGTAGAATCTGATTGGTCAGATTAAGCCATGATGGTGGGTATTGAGGATTGGATAAAGTGAAAATGTAGAAAGACACCTGCTTAACAACACAGACTCAAGGTATATAGATTTTCTAATGCTCAATTTTTCCTTATTTGAAAACTTTTCTTATTGGTGGTTACCAACCTGAGGGTAAATTTCGTAACTGGAGGTATATTACAGAGAAAAGAAAGTTACCGAGCAGATCACAGGTGTTCCTCCATTTGGACAGATGTGACCAGTAGGACAGCTTGTACAAATGGCAGCCCCTGCATCAGAGTACTGCAAGCAGAACAATACAATAAAATACATTTCATTGCATGTTATTTCCTATCACTAGACAGAAAGGTCCCTGAAATACTAGTGTTTAACACCTTATCACACCTTGTTGTATAAACAAATCAATGCTCAGTTCTATCCAAATATTTCTTTCCTTAGTGTCATGACATTTTGTGATTTTCCTTGGGGGAAAAAATCCAACACTTGCCCAGAATAATTATTCTCCAACACAACTATTTTCCTGTGTTACTCTTCACAAGGTTAACACTTCCCCAACACAACTATTTCCTTGTGTTACTCTTCACAAGGTTAACACTTCCCCAACACAACTATTTCCCTGTGTTACTCTTCACAAGGTTAACACTTCCCCAACACAACTATTTCCCTGAGTTACTCTTCACAAGGTAAACACTTCCCCAACACAACTATTTCCCTGAGTTACTCTTCACAAGGTTAACACTTCCCCAACACAACTATTTCCCTGTGTTACTCTTCACAAGGTAAACACTTCCCCAACACAACTATTTCCCTGAGTTACTCTTCACAAGGTAAACACTTCCCCAACACAACTATTTCCCTGAGTTACTCTTCACAAGGTTAACACTTCCCCAACACAACTATTTCCCTGAGTTACTCTTCACAAGGTTAACACTTCCCCAACACAACTATTTCCCTGTGTTACTCTTCACAAGGTTAACACTTCCCCAACACAACTATTTCCCTGAGTTACTCTTCACAAGGTAAACACTTCCCCAACACAACTATTTCCCTGAGTTACTCTTCACAAGGTTAACACTTCCCCAACACAACTATTTCCCTGAGTTACTCTTCACAAGGTAAACACTTCCCCAACACAACTATTTCCCTGTGTTACTCTTCACAAGGTAAACACTTCCCCAACACAACTATTTCCCTGTGTTACTCTTCACAAGGTTAACACTTCCCCAACACAACTATTTCCCTGTGTTACTCTTCACAAGGTTAACACTTCCCCAACACAACTATTTCCCTGAGTTACTCTTCACAAGGTAAACACTTCCCCAACACAACTATTTCCCTGTGTTACTCTTCACAAGGTAAACACTTCCCCAACACAACTATTTCCCTGTGTTACTCTTCACAAGGTAAACACTTCCCCAACACAACTATTTCCCTGAGTTACTCTTCACAAGGTAAACACTTCCCCAACACAACTATTTCCCTGAGTTACTCTTCACAAGGTAAACACTTCCCCAACACAACTATTTCCCTGAGTTACTCTTCACAAGGTAAACACTTCCCCAACACAACTATTTCCCTGAGTTACTCTTCACAAGGTTGACACTTCCCCAACACAACTATTTCCCCTCCTTTGACTTTGAGGATAATGCTTCCCCAACACAACTATTTCCCCTCCTTTGACTTTGAGGATAATGCTTCCCCAACACAACTATTTCCCCTCCTTTGACTTTGAGGATAATGCTTCCCCAACACAACTATTTCCCCTCCTTTGACTTTGAGGATAATGCTTCCCCAACACAACTATTTCCCCTCCTTTGACTTTGAGGATAATGCTTCCCCAACACAACTATTTCCCCTCCTTTGACTTTGAGGATAATGCTTCCCCAACACAACTATTTCCCCTCCTTTGACTTTGAGGATAATGCTTCCCCAACACAACTATTTCCCCTCCTTTGACTTTGAGGATAATGCTTCCCCATGCTAATTCTTCTAACTCCATTCTAGTCTAAGTCCATCTCTACAAACAACGTTTCCTTAGTTTAAATCTTTTCCCAAATCTTTCAAAGAATAACTCCCTCCTTGAGTAATTCTTCCCAAAATCTTCCCCAATGTAAGTCTTTTAAGAAAGAACTGTTTTCCAAAACTGAGACTTCCCAAGCGTAACCCAACCTTACTGAAGGATAACACTGTTATTTATTCTTCTTCCTTTTTCCTACTTCTACTTATTCTACCTAAAGTAAACAAGATTATCTTTCCAGACTAAGTAGGAAGTTGGAGTTTACCTCGTCGGCAGCACAAGCCACTGGAGAAGCTGTAGGATCTGGACATTTTGAACCAGCTGGACAGATGGTACACTGAATAGCACCTGTACCTGTGTAGTAGTACCCTGACGCACACTGAAATAAAAAAAGACATTTTCTAAATCTTTAAATTTAGTTTAGTATGATGAAAATAAATATGATTTACTTTCATTCCAAATTATGTGAATTTATTTTATTGGAGATTGTCCCGCAGACAAACAGCAATCTCCCTCATTCATGGGACGTCATGGAATATTTTTAATCATTGTAGAAAATCTTATAAAGAATTTCAACTCACCGATTTACAAGTTTCCAGGCCATAGCCATCTTGATATTCTCCTGCTGGACAGAGGGTGGGACTCAATGTGCGGTTAGGACACATGGACCCTTCAAAGAAAAAAATGACAGTTGAGAAACGTGAATACTAAAGAGACACCATCATGGTTGAGCAACACAGGTCATCAGTAGCAATCTGGATATGGTTTGGATACACGGATCCTTACAATCAAAATGTATCTAGCTCAACTTTATTTAGTAATTATGTTATCACTGCAATTGGCACATTAATTATTGATCTCATTGGTGACAAAACTAGCAAGTTACAAACTCTTTCAAGAGCTGTCACCTGACTTCATATTTATGGAAACACGAATTATGGCAAATCTAAACCATTTCTGCCTTACCCAGGAACTTTGTACTAAGCTAATACAGACTCACCCAGAAGTTATTTGCCAAGTATAATATACACTCATTCTTGAATGGTGGGCTAAATAGTAATGGACTTAAACTGGGCTTGGGGTTAATTAGTTATATGGACTCACCCAGTTGTTGGCTTTAAGTTAGAACTTGTTTAGGAGCTTTGGGATTGAAAGATCCTCCTCGAGTTATCAATAATAAAAGTAGGCACTGAACACCCCCAGGAGCCAAAATCATTCATAACTTTATTCGGCCTTAGTAACATTATCATAAACCATTAGGCAAGTGCTTCTAAATTTCCACTGATCTAAAAGTTAGGACACATAGAAGGGCAGCCTAGAGGATTGGGACCCCATCTGTACCATGGGAATTCCAGACACAGAGTCCAGAGAAATCATTAGGCCATGGAGTCATCTTCAAATTAGACTATTCCATCCCTTGATGACTTCCATTCCACGACGAGAGCATCCCCTCATGTTGCCAGAGAATCGACTTTGGTCAATTCTACAATGCCCAGCAACGGGAAGTAATGGAGAACAAAGAACATTACATACCTTGAGGACACTGAGTACAGGACTGCTGGCCTGTTGATGTCTGATAGTAGCCAGCCGGACAGGTGATAGGTTCAGACATTCCATTGGTAGGACACTTGTAGCCAGCTTCGCAGCTGGTACAGCTGGTGCTTAAATTTCTAGCATAAGTTCCTGCTAAACACTCAACAGGACTGGACGAAGTCGATGAACAGGCATATCCTCCAGGACAGGGAACACAGTCAGCATCACCTCCCAATGAATAGTAACCACTTCCGCAAGACACCGCTGTGCAATGAAAATTTGTGTCGTTAGCACAAACTCAAACTGACATATGAGATAATGCATAAATCCTAGATATTCTAGGTAAATCAAATTTGTATCTTAAAATACTTCCTTTTTTCAAATTGGTAAAGTATATTTAGCATGAAAAAATTGATGTAGAATTCAAAACATCAGTTTTCTATTAATTGATTTATCCATTAATTACATGTCAATATTTCTATTAATTGGTTTATCCATTAATTACATGTCAATATTTCTATTAATTGGTTTATCCATTAATTACATGTCAATATTTCTATTAATTGGTTTATCCATAAATTACATGTCAATATTTCTATTAATTGATTTATCCATAAATTACATGTCAATATTTCTATTAATTGATTTATCCATTAATTACATGTCAATATTTCTATTAATTGATTTAACCATTAATTACATGTCAATATTTCTATTAATTGATTTAACCATTAATTACATGTCAATATTTCTATTAATTGATTTATCCATTAATTACATGTCAATATTTTTTTCAACTTATTACCATCAAGTTGAAAGGTCAACATGTGATATATTGTACAGTTAACAGATCTGTGTGTGCTTAAATGGTATTGTACACCTTGTTAATAAGTATTATATCAATCGCTATAGCTTTCAAAAGTCTATTTAAAATTCTGAATTCCAAATAGTCAATATCAGATTTACCTGACAAAATCAAGCAAGATGAGGACACTGGTAATACTTTCACATGTAAAGTATCTGACAAAATGAAATTTAATAATACTTCTTTTGAAACATTCTTGACAACTGTATCTGAATTGAACATCCTTCCTTTCCTAAATACTAAAATTCAATCCAACTTTTACTAAAATACATCTCACTTGCTGGACAAACAGAACAAGATAGTATGTAACAGAATAGAAGGCTTCCTAACCTGCAGAAACAGAATGGTTGAAGGTTAATGTACATACCAGCCGTCAGGGTTGGACATTCTGAACCAGCAGGGCATGCATTACAGCTTGTCTGTCCGGCTGTATCTTGGTAGGTTCCAACAGAACATGCAGTACAGTGGTTCTGACTACCCGTGCTGTGAAAATACATGTAAAATAAGTATATGTCTATGTGACATATCACATTTTATAGGCAATGGTAGCAATTTTATCATACTGAAGTAATCTGTCTCACAGGAATAGATTTCACTAAACCTTACAATACTGACTGGCTTTTACATAAAGGCAAAGAGACTGATAGACTTTTCCCTAAAGTCTAGGAAACTGACTGACTTTTACATAGAGACAAAGAGCCTGATAGACTTTTACATAAAGACAAAGAGCCTGATAGACTTTTACATAAAGACAAAGAGCCTGATAGACTTTTACATAAAGACAAAGAGCCTGATAGACTTGTACATAAAGACAAAGAGCCTAATAGACTTTTACATAAAGACAAAGAGCCTGATAGACTTGTACATAAAGACAAAGAGCCTGATAGACTTGTACATAAAGACAAAGAGCCTGATAGACTTTTACATAAAGACAAAGAGCCTGATAGACTTGTACATAAAGACAAAGAGCCTGATAGACTTTTACATAAAGACAAAGAGCCTGATAGACTTGTACATAAAGACAAAGAGCCTGATAGACTTTTACATAAAGACAAAGAGCCTGATAGACTTGTACATAAAGACAAAGAGCCTGATAGACTTGTACATAAAGACAAAGAGCCTGATAGACTTTTACATAAAGACAAAGAGCCTGATAGACTTGTACATAAAGACAAAGAGCCTGATAGACTTGTACATAAAGACAAAGAGCCTAATAGACTTTTACATAAAGACAAAGAGCCTAATAGACTTTTACATAAAGACAAAGAGCCTGATAGACTTGTACATAAAGACAAAGAGCCTGATAGACTTTTACATAAAGAGACTGATAGACTTTTCCCTAAAGGCTATGAAACAAAGATTTCTAGCCAAGAAACTATAGCAGCTTGGTTAAGAAGTAGAAAATATTTGTCACAAATTAACGCCCTTACTTCTATGCACATAAATAGAATTGATGAAAATGTCAAATGTGACCTTTGGAGAGGCTCTCATGATTGGGTATTTTTTTTCATGAATGGAGCACAGCAAAATATGAGCATGGGTAACATTATCATAATCCACTCCATGCTAACTCCCAACAACATGGCTACAATATAGATTGAATACTGTCATCAAGCACAAAGTTCTCAGGGCTATACAAACTACCATATTATGCCCTTTCCCTACTCCTGAAGACATCCTCTGTGCCCTTAACACATTTATTTGGGTTGCCTTTAAAATCTGAGGACATCTTCAAATCTAATTTTATACTCAAAGATCAAAAAATTAATTTAATCAGATGTTTGATGATGAAACTGATGACAGAAAATTGAAATAGGTAAAAGATCTTTAAATCAAATGACAATTTTAAGTCACTAGTCAAGATAATACTGCTGAGACTGGAGGTCATTTTGGTGAATTAAACAGCCAATGTTTATGACCCTTTTGTATACAGTAGATTATAATTCTCAGTACAGTATTTATCAAATTATTCCATGATTCACAGCCCATAATACCTTAATCTTTTAAATATGGAAGACATATAATGGTTATTTGAAATGATCACTCCATTTCCCTTTGCAGATAGATTAGGGGGCGTGGCTAAAAAACGTTAGAACAAGTTTTGTTCAATTCAACAAAATTTCCACAGTTCCACAGGCAGACTCAACTGTCCCTATTGCCTTGGATAAACATTCTTCACATCCAAAGTTACCTTACCTGTATTCTCCAGGGTCACCCTTACCTGTATTCTCCAGGGTCACCCTTACCTGTATCCTCCAGGGTCACCCTTACCTGTATTCTCCAGGGTCACCCTTATATGTATCTTTCAGGGTCACCCTTACCTGTATTCTCCAGGGTCACCCTTACCTGTATTCTCCAGGGTCACCCTTACCTGTATTCTCCAGGGTCACCCTTACCTGTATCCTTCAGGGTCACCCTTACCTGTATTCTCCAGGGTCACCCTTACCTGTATTCTCCAGGGTCACCCTTATATGTATCTTTCAGGGTCACCCTTACCTGTATTCTCCAGGGTCACCCTTACCTGTATTCTCCAGGGTCACACTGGACTGGTGACTGGTTTTTGTTTGGACATTCATAGCCTGAAGGACAAGCTGTACAGCTGGCTGATTGGACACTGTCGGCATACTCTCCATCAGCACACTCGGTACATATAGAAGAGCCAGCGGGACTATAGAATCCTTGTACACAATCAGAGGCAGCACCAGCTACATCATCACATTTCTGACCTGTAGCATCAATCACATACAAACTTTGTTGTATATATATAACATACATACTTGAAACAAATCTTTAATTTGTTTACATATATATGGATCTTGCTATATGTGGAACATCACCTTTGTTCATTATCTACTCAAGTAAGGTAGAAGACATACCAGCGGGACAGTCCACACAGGACGAATGCCCAGTAGAAGGTGCATATGTTCCATTGCTACATGGCGTAGGGGTAACAGTACCCGGCAGTGGACAAGCATAACCAGCAGTACAGGATGAACAGGAAGTGGCTCCACTGGCAGAAAACTCTCCAGCCGAACACTGGGCAGGAGTGGACGTGGTGGTTGAACTGCAGGCAGATCCTGCAGGACAAGTGTCGCAAGAGGTGGCACCAGCAGCACTGTACTTTGAGGCCCCACATTGGGTTTGGGTAGTGGATGTACAGAAATGTCCCGCTGTACACTGGGTACAGGAGCTTGCACCTGAAGAGCTGTAATGTCCTGTAAACATAGAAAACATACTATCAGGACCACAAGGGTAGCCTACCAGTAACATACACTATTGTGTTACAGAACTGTTTATACTATCTATCATTCTATTTACTTCTCAAATACTTTCAACATTAATATTTACCATTTTTTCCCCAAATATTGTATAGAGACTGATATAGTAAAACATTAAAGTTTCCGGTGATAATATCTGTCTACAAATAAATCACATTGCTGTACAGCCTAACATTAAACTGGACAAATAACATAGAATTCACAATGTAATTTTTAACAGACACTGTCACAAATTTATTCAAACATTCAAATATAGGGACTGTCAGAGGGAAGTGATGAGGGAATGAGGGATCTCATGGGGTGTGGTAGAGGAGTCGACCAAGAAGGGTTTATTGGAGATTTGAGTGAGGGATATCTAACAGGAAGTTGGCTGCAATAAGTTGTTTTGTGGGAGGGTTGGTGGTGGGAAGGGTTGGTGGGTGGGGATGGTTGGTGGGAGGAGTTGTGAAACAGTAAATATGAGGTTTGTAAGAAGTGGGGAAACTTATGCAGTGAATGAGAGATATGTTGGGAGTGGGTGTGTGTGTGTGTTAACGTGAAGGATTTGTTTGGGAATATGAGTACAGGGGCTTGCTGTGTGTTTGGGGATGAATTATGGCATGAGGGTGCATACAGGGAGATATTTTACAGGGATGAGGGTGTATACAGGGAGATAATTTACAGGAATGAGGGTGTATACAGTGAAATATTTTACAGGGATGAGGGTGTATACAGTGAAATATTTTACAGGGATGAGGGTGTATACAGGGAGATATTTACAGGGATGAGGGTGTATACAGGGAGATATTTTACAGGGATGAGGGTGTATACAGGGAAATATTTTACAGGGATGAGGGTGTATACAGGGAAATATTTTACAGGGATGAGGGTGTATACAGGGAGATATTTACAGGGATGAGGGTGTATACAGTGAAATATTTTACAGGGATGAGGGTGTATACAGTGAAATATTTTACAGGGATGAGGGTGCATACAGTGAAATATTTTACAGGGATGAGGGTGTATACAGGGAGATATTTACAGGGATGAGGGTGTATACAGTGAAATATTTTACAGGGATGAGGGTGTATACAGTGAAATATTTACAGGGATGAGGGTGTATACAGGGAGATATTTTACAGGGATGAGGGTGTATACAGGGAGATATTTACAGGGATGAGGGTGTATACAGTGAAATATTTTACAGGGATGAGGGTGTATACAGTGAAATATTTTACAGGGATGAGGGTGTATACAGGGAGATATTTACAGGGATGAGGGTGTATACAAGGAGATATTTTACAGGGATGACGGTGTATACAGGGAGATATTTTACAGGGATGAGGGTGTATACAGGGAGATATTTACAGAGATGAGGGTGTATACAGGGAGATATTTTACAGGAATGAGGGTGTATACAGGGAGATATTTTACAGGGATGAGGGTGTATACAGCAAAAGTGATAGTAGTAGTGATAAACAGGAAGAATTTTTAACATCATCATGATGGCATATTGTCTTTTATATAATATGTACACATATATATATATACACAGTTGTAATGGTGATTCATGGTATATTCTAAAATGAATGATTTTATATACACCACAAAATAGAGAATTCAAAACATATAGCAACAGTGATTCATATATAAATAAAAACACCATGTAAAATAAAAGGCAATACATATGATAAGGTTGTGGTCACCAGTTCCCAATCATTCTCCAATACCAACATGCTTACACCTTTACCCTGGTATATAGGTTATCATGGTAGGAAGTGGCAGAGAGTGTGAATCACTTAAAATTTCATCTTTAATACAATTTGTATTTCATACGCTTAATTTACAATACTGGAAATGATCCATTAAAATGTAAAATCGGGATAAAATATTAGGGGACATTATGATCATATAAAGATATAGTTATCCTGATACAGAAGTGATTCACACGATCCACCACAGCCTTTCGTGTCTCACAATAATATATGTGCTGTATATAGGTTCCTGACACCAACCAGTTTAACAGACTTATAGCCAATGGATGTTCTCAATCTAGTTTTATATTCTATCTTACAACGACACTGTAACAAACTGGTATCTTCAAATGATGTGTTAGATAAAAGTGTAACTTAGAATGTCAAAAACCTAGTTTGATCAAACATTGGTTATAAGTCTTTTAACTGAACATGCAGCACCTGTAACAAATTCAATCAAGTAGAAACCTAAAAATAAAACAGGCAATTCTTCATTTTCAAACACTGTGGTTTGGATAATACAAAGTCTTTATCAAGTTCATGAATTTTAAAGTGGGAATACTTTTAAATTCAATGTGTTTCTTATATCATCAAATCAACTTAAGATAATTTCTATCTTGTTTAACTGAGGATAATCCTTATCTAGGTTGTTTAACTGGGGATAATCCTTATCTAGGTTGTTTAACTGGGGATAATCCTTATCTAGATTGTTTAACTGAGGATAATCCTTATCTAGGTTGTTTAACTGGGGATAATCCTTATCTAGGTTGTTTAACTGGGGATAATCCTTATCTAGGTTGTTTAACTGGGGATAATCCTTATCTAGATTGTTTAACTGGGGATAATCCTTATCTAGGTTGTTTAACTGGGGATAATCCTTATCTAGATTGTTTAACTGGGGATAATCCTTATCTAGGTTGTTTAACTGGGGATAATCCTTATCTAGGTTGTTTAACTGGGGATAATCCTTATCTAGATTGTTTAACTGGGGATAATCCTTATCTAGATTGTTTAACTGGGGATAATCCTTATCTAGATTGTTTAACTGGGGATAATCCTTATCTAGGTTGTTTAACTGAGGATAAAACTTATCTAGATTGTTTAACTGGGGATAATCCTTATCTAGATTGTTTAACTGGGGATAATCCTTATCTAGGTTGTTTAACTGAGGATAAAACTTATCTAGATTGTTTAACTGGGGATAATCCTTATCTAGGTTGTTTAACTGGGGATAATCCTTATCTAGGTTGTTTAACTGGGGATAATCCTTATCTAGATTGTTTAACTGGGGATAATCCTTATCTAGATTGTTTAACTAGGGATAATCCTTATCTAGATTGTTTAACTGGGGATAATCCTTATCTAGGTTGTTTAACTGAGGATAAAACTTATCTAGATTGTTTAACTGAGGATAATCCTTATCTAGGTTGTTTAACTGAGGATAAAACTTATCTAGATTGTTTAACTGAGGATAATCCTTATCTAGATTGGTCCACTAGAGATTATCTCTATATAGGTTAGTTGATTGAGGATTATCTCTTGTTATGTAGGTAAATTCAAAATAATCATTCTAACTTGATCAGCTGAGAAACATTTACTACAACATTTGACATGAAGAATCAGTGCTGATGCTTACAGATAAGTTAGAAAATATCCTCTCTTAATACAATATAACTATTAAGAGAGCATATCTTGTTATGAAAATCTCATTAATGACATAAAGACAGAATACTAATGCACAATACTGCCATATTGAAGTCAAAATAATTACATTGTGTTACAATACATTTACACAAGACCTGCAAAAAATACAACAGATGCTAAATTTCTTCTAGGAGCAAAATCTTTTCATATTTCAAATATTTTAATGTTTAATGTTTTACTCTAAGAATAATTTCTGATCATCTTATTTATTCTGATGTCAACAACAATCAGATTCTCTATTTTAAAACATAACATTTAAATACTGAAATCATATTTAACTTCACGGAACTGATACTTGATATAATTATCATGTCTAGTTTCTTGAATATGGCAATACAAGTAAATCAAACAACATGCACACAGTAAGATTGCATATAGAAATAAAACAAACTCATTAAATTTAGAGAAAAAACCAAATCATCATTCAACATGCAAAATAAACATCAACAATAAAATATGAACTTTAGAAGAGAAAAAAGTGTCATCTTCCAACATGCAAAACAATTCAACATTAAACTATGAATTAAGCACTTCAAATTAAAGAAATGTTTGAAAGCCTGTAATTAAACATGCTGTGCTATATTCTACAATATCATTAGTAACACATGGATACAAAATATCCAACAACAGTTTATATTTTTAAATTTCATTAATGTATGTTAATTACACTTTAATGATTAAATTCATTTCATTTCTTTGATCCAATAAATGACTTCACAAACATTATTAGAAAAATGCATTTCATTCAACAACATGTAAAATAAGTCATTACTATTGTTAAAACCTCGTAATGAGGTATTAAGGTATTATTACACTACCCACAACTTCCTGTGCACACTCTACCTAGGTCACATGGACGACAGTAAGAATCCCCTTCCTGACTAAAATTTCCTGCTGCACAGGCTGGTGGGCCAGCCCAAGAGACTGCAGGATTACTACAATCATCTCCTGCAGCACAGATAGTACAAGAACTCGCTCCAGCTGCACTGTAATATCCTGGAAATTCAAGTTACCTCCCTTTAGAATATTTATGTTTCATTTTGGTGAGATAAGTAATTCAAAATGAGAAAGACAGAAATTTAACAACACAGAGTATCTAAACATATTTTTGTCATATCCAGTAAAGGTTGGAAACAATACCATGTGATATGATTTAGTTGTGCTAATGTTAAATGAAGTTGATCCCAGGATTGAAAATATTACCTACTATAACGGTTATCATCTTTATTAACATTCTAAAACTCACTTGAAACAAAGAAAAGTTAATCAGAATTGGCATAAAGATTATCAGCATTGTACTCTGCACCTCTTGTTTCGATGGTACATCTGAGTATGCCATTATAATTAATTTCTTCAATGTTGATGTCTATCATCTGCCTCAACCGGGAAGGTGGCAGCCATATTTAGCTTCAGAATTCTTGAAAATCATCCAATAAGAAATAGGTTACATAACCATTATTTTAAAATTTATGTTAAATATCAAAGAAAGAAGATAACCTGTGTGATCTGTACCTTAATGCTTTTCTTTCATGAAATGAACAAACCAATAGCACTTGCCCAAATAAACAGATTTAACTAGAATTTACCAGCAGGGCATGATGTACAGACTCCTTGACCAAGGAGACTGAATGTGCCAGCATCACAAGGCTGATCTGTGGCATCAGTACAATTAGATCCAGCCGGGCAGGGAAGACAGGCAGAGGCTCCTAAATTGCTGTAGGTACCTGTTACATAAAACATCTTACAGAACAGACAGGATAGAAAATCTATTTTATATATACTGTATATGTGTTTTCCTCCCCAGTTAAATCACTTTGTTAATTACAAATTTAAAGGTAAATTGGAAAATATTGCCCAATAGTAAAACTATATAGAGTATCACACTATTTCAAAGTTTTGTCAGATTTCTGGAAGTGTAACTGTAACTAATGCTGTTTATGACATACTGAAGCTACAAACTTCCAACAATCCTGATGTATATGTCAGTAATGCTGTTAGCAGCTATATATGAAGGAAATATTACAACTTCTGTATGTAAAGTCGAATATTCAGCACATTCCAAAAGCTTTATTAATTGTCCAAATACACATTGTGAGAACAACCGGAAATATGTACACCAAATCTCCTTTTAAGCATTATGTTTAGGTCTAAAGCAAGAAAACAACTTAATCGACTCCTTGCTTACAGCCCTGTGGTGTTAAGATTTAGTCATTCTCTAGTCTACAGCCCTGTGGTGTTAATACTTAGTCATTCCCTAGTCTACAGCCCTGTGGTATTAAGACTTAGTCATTCCCTAGTCTACAGCCCTGTGGTGTTAAGATTTAGTCATTCTCTAGTCTACAGCCCTGTGGTGTTAAGATTTAGTCATTCCCTAGTCTACAGCCCTGTGGTGTTTAGACTTAGTCATTCCCTAGTCTACAGCCCTGTGGTGTTAAGACTTAGTCATTCCCTAGTCTACAGCCCTGTGGTGTTAAGATTTAGTCAGTCCCTAGTCTACAGCCCTGTGGTGTTAAGATTTAGTCATTCCCTAGTCTACAGCCCTGTGGTGTTAAGACTTAGTCATTCCCTAGTCTACAGCCCTGTGGTGTTAAGATTTAGTCATTCCCTAGTCTACAGCCCTGTGGTGTTAAGACTTAGTCATTCTCTAGTCTACAAACCTGTGGTGTTAAGATTTAGTCATTCTCTAGTCTACAGCCCTGTGGTGTTAAGATTTAGCCATTCTCTAGTCTACAAACCTGTGGTGTTAAGACTTAGTCATTCCCTAGTCTACAGCCCTGTGGTGTTAAGACTTAGTCATTCTCTAGTCTACAAACCTGTGGTGTTAAGACTTAGTCATTCTCTAGTCTACAAACCTGTGGTGTTAAGACTTAGTCATTCCCTAGTCTACAGCCCTGTGGTGGTAAGACTTAGTCATTCCCTAGTCTACAGCCCTGTGGTGTTAAGACTTAGTCATTCCCTAGTCTACAGCCCTGTGGTGTTAAGACTTAGTCATTCCCTAGTCTACAGCCCTGTGATGTTAAGACTTATTCATTCCCTAGTCTATAGCCCTGTGGTGTTAAGACTTAGTCAGTCCCTAGTCTACAGCCTTGTGGTGTAAAGACTTAGTCATTCCCTAGTCTACAGCCCTGTGGTGTTAAGACTTAGTCATTCCCTAGTCTATAGCCCTGTGGTGTTAAGACTTAGTCAGTCCCTAGTCTACAGCCTTGTGGTGTTAAGACTTAGTCATTCCCTAGTCTACAGCCCTGTGGTGTTAAGACTTAGTCATTCCCTAGTCTACAGCCCTGTGGTGTTAAGATTTAGTCATTCCCTAGTCTACAGCCCTGTTGTGTTAAGGCTTAGTCAGTCCCTAGTCTACAAACCTGTGGTGTTGAGACTTATTCATTCCCTAGTCTACAGCCCTGTGGTGTTGAGACTTAGTCATTCCCTAGTCTACAGCCCTGTGGTGTTAAGACTTAGTCAGTCCCTAGTCTACAGCCTTGTGGTGTTAAGACTTAGTCAGTCCCTAGTCTACAGCCCTGTTGTGTTACGATTTAGTCAGTCCCTAGTCTACAAACCTGTTTTGTTAAGACTCAGTCAGTTTACAGTCCTGTGGTGTTTAGACAAAGTCATCCCTAAGTCTACAAACCTGTGGCACATGATGAGCAAGTAGTCTGGCCAGCTTGACTGTATGTCCCTGCAGTACAGTCAACAATACTAGTAGGGACAGAACATTCCTTTCCCTCTGGACATTCAGTACAATTTCCCTGGCCTGCAATGCTGTAAAATCCTGTAATGTTCAAATTTAACAAGTGAAAATTAATCTCTCTTGATGGTTTTATTATCATAAATATATTTTTATTTTCAATTGAGGGAAGAAAAGAAATGGTTTTATGCTTCAATTCAAAGGGCACACATTACAATGTAAGTTGATTTCAAAACCTATGTTACACATCCACTAGCCTACAAACCTATGTTACACATCCACTAGCCTACAAACATATATTACACATCCACTATCCTACATACCTATGTTACATATCCACTATCCTACAGACCTAAGTTACACATCCACTATCCTACAAACCTATGTTACACATCCACTAGTCTACAAACCTATGTTACATATCCACTAGCCTACAAACCTATATTACACATCCACTAGCCTACAAACCTATGTTACACATCCACTAGCCTACAGACCTAAGTTACATATCCACTAGTGTACAAACCTGTTACATATCCACTAGTCTACAAACCTATATTACACATCCACTAGCCTCCAAACCTATATTACACATCCACTAGTCTACAAACCTATATTACACATCCACTAGTCTACAAACCTATATTACACATCCACTAGTCTACAAACCTATATTACACATCCACTAGTCTACAAACCTATATTACACATCCACTAACCTACAAACCTATATTACACATCCACTAGTCTACAAACCTATATTATACATCCACTAGTGTACAAACCTATACTACACATCCACTAACCTACAAACCTATATTACACATCCACTAGTCTACAAACCTATATTACACATCCACTAGTGTACAAACCTATATTACACATCCACTAACCTACAAACCTATATTACACATCCACTAGTCTACAAACCTATATCATACATCCACTAGTGTACAAACCTATACTACACATCCACTAACCTACAAACCTATATTACACATCCACTAGTCTACAAACCTATATTACACATCCACTAGTCTACAAACCTATATTACACATCCACTAGTCTACAAACCTATATTACACATCCACTAACCTATAAACCTATATTACACATCCACTAGTGTACAAACCTATATTACACATCCACTAGTCTACAAACCTATATTACACATCCACTAACCTACAAACCTATATCATACATCCACTAGTGTACAAACCTATATTACACATCCACTAGTCTACAAACCTATATTACACATCCACTAACCTACAAACCTATATTACACATCCACTAGTGTACAAACCTATATTACACATCCACTAGTCTACAAACCTATATTACACATCCACTAGTCTACAAACCTATATTACACATCCACTAACCTACAAACCTATATCATACATCCACTAGTGTACAAACCTATACTACACATCCACTAACCTACAAACCTATATTACACATCCACTAGTCTACAAACCTATATTACACATCCACTAGTCTACAAACCTATATTACACATCCACTAGTCTACAAACCTATATTACACATCCACTAACCTACAAACCTATATTACACATCCACTAGTGTACAAACCTATACTACGCATCCACTAACCTACAAACCTATATTATACATCCACTAGTGTACAAACCTATACTACACATCCACTAACCTACAAACCTATATTACACATCCACTAACCTACAAACCTAGGTTACACATCCACTAGCCTACAAACCTATGTTACATATCCACTAGCATACAAACCTATGTTACACATCCACTAGCCTACAGACCTAAGTTACACATCCACTAGCCTACAAACCTAAGTTACACATCCACTAGTCTACAAACCTATGTTACATATCCACTAGCATACAAACCTATGTTACACATCCACTAACCTACAAACCTATGTTACATATCCACTAGCATACAAACCTAGGTAACACATCCACTAGTCTACAAACCTATATTACACATCCACTAGTGTACAAACCTAAGTTACACATCCACTAGCCTACAGACCTAAATTAGCTGTCTCCTATTTTGTAAACCTATCATATAAACAGGAAGTTATCTCCTAATCCACAAACCTGCAGGACATGATGAGCAAGTAGTCTGGCCAGCTTGACTGTATGTCCCTGCAGTACAGTCAACAATACTAGTAGGGACAGAACATTCCTTTCCCACTGGACACTCAGTACAATTTCCCTGGCCTGCAATGCTGTAAAATCCTGTAATGTTCAAATTTAACACGTGAAAATTAAGCTCTCCTGATGGTTTTATTTTCACAAATACCTTTTTTGTTCACTTAAAAGATAGAAAAGAAATGGTTATATGCTTCAATCGAAAGGGAACACATTACAGTGTGAGATAATTCTAAAACCTAAGTTACACATCCACTAGCCTACAGACCTAAATTAGCCGTCTCCTATTTTGTAAACCTATCATATAAACAGGAAGTTATCTCCTAATCCACAAACCTGTGGCACATGATGAGCAAGTAGTCTGGCCAGCTTGACTGTATGTCCCTGCAGTACAGTCAACAATACTAGTAGGGACAGAACATTCCTTTCCCTCTGGACACTCAGTACAATTTCCCTGGCCTGCAATGCTGTAAAATCCTGTAATGTTCAAATTTAACAAGTGAATATTAATCTCTCTTGATGGTTTTATGATCATAAATAACTTTTTTTCACTGAAGAGAGAGACATGAAACGGTTTTATGCTTCAATTCAACGGGCACTCTTTAAAGTGTGGGTTGATTAAAAGAATTTTTCTTAATTCCAAATACTACAACACTCAGTGTTTACTTATAGTTAATTTCAATGCTTACACATCATTAGCACTGATAAAAGATAAATTCATTGTAAAGATACCTACCACTTGCACAAACAGTACAACCAGCTTGTCCTGCTAAACTGTAGCTACCCTGTGGACATTGTGAAGGACTGGATTGTGTTGGATCACTACAGTCGTAACCCTGTGGACAGCTAGTACAGGATGAGGCTCCAGCAGCACTGAAGGAACCTTTAAAACCAGTGATATCAAATTCACTACAGGGCGATAGGCACCATATACAAACACAGGGCATTGTAACAACTTCAAATGTCATTTTACTTTCCCTTATCTTAAAACCTTCACCAAGATTTATACAATCAAACTGTCAACAAACACAAACAAATAAGTAAATTTTTTATCATATCATTATTAAAGATCCTGTCAAATATAAACCTGAGGTTTGAAGAGTTAGCGAACCCCTGGCCTACAAACCTGATTTAGTCACCCCCTAGTCTATCATAATCAATTAGTCATTCCCTAGTCTATAAACTTCAGTTACAAATCACCTGGTAGATTATCCCCATGTATAAAGAATTATTAAATCCTTAATGCACAAACCTGAGTTAGTCATCACCTAGTCTACAAACCTGTGGGACATGATGAACAAGTAGTCTGGCCAGCTTGACTGTATGTCCCTGCAGTACAGTCAACAATACTAGTAGGGACAGAACATTCCTTTCCCTCTGGACATTCAGTACAATTTCCCTGGCCTGCAATGCTGTAAAATCCTGTAATGTTCAAATTTAACACGTGAAAATTAATCTCTCCTGATGGTTTTATTATCATCAATATATTTTTATTTTCAATTGAGGGAAGAAAAGAAATGGTTTTATGCTTCAATTCAAAGGGCACACATTACAATGTAAGTTGATTTCAAAACCTATGTTACACATCCACTAGCCTACAGACCTAAGTTACACATCCACTATCCTACAGACCTAAGTTACACATCCACTATCCTACAAACCTATGTTACACATCCACTAGTCTACAAACCTATGTTACACATCCACTATCCTACAGACCTAAGTTACACATCCACTAGTCTACAAACCTATGTTACATATCCACTAGCCTACAAACCTATATTACACATCCACTAGCCTACAGACCTAAGTTACACATCCACTAGCCTACAAACCTATATTACACATCCACTAGCCTACATACCTATATTACACATCTACTAGCCTACAAATATATATTACACATCCACTAGCCTACATACCTATGTTACACATCCACTAGCCTACATACCTATGTTACACATCCACTAGCCTACAAACCTATATTACACATCTACTAGCCTACAAATATATATTACACATCCACTAGCCTACAACCCTATGTTACATATAAACTAGCCTACAAACCTATATTACACATTCACTAGCCTACATACCTATATTACACATCCACTAGCCTACAACCCTATATTACACATCCACTAGCCTACAGACCTAAGTTACACATCCACTAGTGTACAAACCTATGTTACACATCCACTAGCCTACATACCTATGTTACATATCCACTAGCCTACAAACCTATGTTACATATCCACTAGCCTACAAACCTATGTTACATATCCACTAACCTACAAACCTATATTACATATCCACTAGCCTACAGACCTAAGTTACACATACACTAGCCTACAAACCTATGTTACACATACACTAGCCTACATATGTATGTTACACATCCACTAGCCTACAAACCTAAGTTAGACACCCTCTAGCCTACAGACCTAAGTTACACATCCACTAGCCTACAAACCTATATTACACATACACTAGCCTACAAACCTATGTTACACATCCACTAGCCTACAAACCTAAGTTAGACACCCTCTAGCCTACAAGTCTAATTAGCCAACACCTAGTCTACAAACCTGTCCCATGCAGTACAGTAACAATACCCTAGTACAGTCAACAATTACTACATAGGGACAGAACATTCCTTTCCCACTGGACATTCAGTACAATTTCCCTGGCCTGCAATGCTGTAAAATCCTGTAATGTTCAAATTTAACAAGTGAAAATTAATCTCTCCTGATGGTTTTATGATCATAAATAACTTTTTTGTTCACTTAAAAGATAGAAAAGAAATGGTTATATGCTTCAATCGAAAGGGAACACATTACAGTGTGAGATAATTCTAAAACCTAAGTTACACATCCACTACCCTACAGACCTAAATTAGCCGTCTCCTATTTTGTAAACCTATCATATAAACAGGAAGTTATCTCCTAATCCACAAACCTGCAGGACATGATGAGCAAGTAATCTGGCCAGCTTGACTGTATGTCCCTGCAGTACAGTCAACAATACTAGTAGGGACAGAACATTCCTTTCCCACTGGACACTCAGTACAATTTCCCTGGCCTGCAATGCTGTAAAATCCTGTAATGTTCAAATTTAACAAGTGAATATTAATCTCTCTTGATGGTTTTATTATCATAAATATATTTTTATTTTCAATTGAGGGAAGAAAAGAAATGGTTTTATGCTTCAATTCAACGGGCACTCTTTAAAGTGTGGGTTGATTAAAAGAATTTTTCTTAATTCCAAATACTACAACACTCAGTGTTTACTTATAGTTAATTTCAATGCTTACACATCATTAGCACTGATAAAAGATAAATTCATTGTAAAGATACCTACCACTTGCACAAACAGTACAACCAGCTTGTCCTGCTAAACTGTAGCTGCCCTGTGGACATTGTGAAGGACTGGATTGTGTTGGATCACTACAGTCGTAACCCTGTGGACAGCTAGTACAGGATGAGGCTCCAGCAGCACTGAAGGAACCTTTAAAACCAGTGATATCAAATTCACTACAGGGCGATAGGCACCATATACAAACACAGGGCATTGTAACAACTTCAAATGTCATTTTACTTTCCCTTATCTTAAAACCTTCACCAAGATTTATACAATCAAACTGTCAACAAACACAAACAAATAAGTAAATTTTTTATCATATCATTATTAAAGATCCTGTCAAATATAAACCTGAGGTTTGAAGAGTTAGCAATCCCTAGCACACAAACCTGATTTAGTCACCCCCTAGTCTATCATAATCAATTAGTTATTCCCTAGTCTATAAACTTCAGTTACAAATCACCTGGTAGATTATCCCCATGTATAAAGAATTATTAAATCCTTAATGCACAAACCTGAGTTAGTCATCACCTAGTCTACAAACCTGTGGCACATGATGAGCAAGTAGTCTGGCCAGCTTGACTGTATGTCCCTGCAGTACAGTTAACAATACTAGCAGGGACAGAACATTCCTTTCCCTCTGGACACTCAGTACAATTTTCCTGGCCTGCAATGCTGTAAAATCCTGTAATGTAATGAAGTTTTAGATCAACTGACTTTGACCTCAACTGTAATCTGTACTCTGTAATCTACAGTAATAAGACTTACCTCCCTTTTTCATCTGTTCATCAAGTTTTTATTCAGTTTAAGATCATCCTAGCTTAATTTTGATCTGAATAGATATAGTCTGTACATTTTCATTTTTGGTCATTTTCTCAATCTGTTGTATGGTTATCTCCCCTTTGCGTGCACCTATACAGCTTATATTTACTGCCCTTAATAATGTGTACCTAACTATTAATCAGGAAAAATTACAGGAAAGTTCAAACGATTCACTTTTGACAAACTGATCGTGTGTTTAACGTCCTTAGTATTCATGTAATATATTAACAGGTAATAAATCCTTAATCTTTTTTTTTTTCATACTTGCACAAGAGATAAAACAAATGATTCAATGAGGACCAAGAAGACTTTCTATAAAATTAGATAAATAAGATAAGATCTTTTCGTCTTTCAAAGAACTTAAATTAAAAAACTTCAGTAAAATTGTATACTGAGCTTGCCAGTGATGTTTGTATAGATAAAGAAATTTAAACCACAAAGACATATGATGCATAATTTTTTTCCCAAGACATTTCTTTTTCTTTGTAATGTTATATCACATTTTACCATGAAATTCTAAAATAACATTAACAAATTGTTATGTACTATATACTTGTGAAATAAATGTCATTGAGTACATTTTATCTATATCGCTATCGTGTGAGTAGAATTATAGTATAAAGTATGTAGAAAATGAAACAGAAACACAGAAGAACTAATATCAAGTCAGCAGTTTTAAAATCAGGAATCAAAGGTTAAGGGCATAAAGGGTTGAACTCATTAAGGTCATGCCATAGTTTGGAAAGGCAGGACCATCAAGGAAAGCATCATATTGTACTTCTTGCAAATGAACATCACGTTGAAGGATAAATATTTCAAATTTTCAAATTCAGCTTCTTTGAATATATTCAATGATCACAAATGAAAAAAAAAAAAAAATTCAAGAACAAAAACATTATCGAAGGTTTATTGCCAAATTTCACTGGATGTCACTATGAAAAGGACAAATGGATAGCATTTATTTTACTTATAACAAATAACCAAAGGGTTAGCAAAAACTCATTCTGAAATATTGAATCTTTATCACTTTTGAAAGCATATTATGATATTCAACCATAGTGTCAACAGGACAGGGAAGAATAAAGAAAAGTTCAAATGCAAAGATGTGAAAAAGTTTAGTTAGCCTTTCTGATCATCTACAACATTGTAGCATAAACAATTTAAAGCCCAATTCAGTGAGGTATATCACACAGGTGATTGTTTAGCAATGCCTTCTTATAACATGTATGTTGGCTTACTTTAAGTTTACTAGCAGTACATAACAGGTCTATAATACATATATATGTGGATATACATAGCTGCTATATTTTCTTCACAAGACTTTTTCTAAAATATATTTCATGTAAATATAGCTGAATAAATCTCAAAGCATACACTTTAAGCATTTCTTATGCTACATTACTTAAAGTGAAAAAGCAGTTTTGCAAGCCATTCAAAGCCAGTAACCTCTGGCGATATCCTCCATCTAAGGCCAAATACCTCAACTATGGCCACACCATCCATCGAAGGCAAAATCTCCCAGCTATAGCCACATCCTCCACTTAAGGCCAGATCCCCCAACTATGGCCACACCCTCCATCTAAGGCCAAATACCCCAACTAAAGCCACATCTTCCATCTTAGGCCAAATCCCCCAACTATGGCCACATCCTCCACCTAAGGCCAAATACCCCAACTAAAGCCACATCCTCCACCTTAGGTCAAATCCCACAACTATGGCCACATCTTCCACCTAAGGCCAAATCCCCAAACTATAGCCACATCCTCCACCTAAGGCCAAATCCCCCAACTATGGCCACATCCTCCACCTAAGGCCAAATCCCCCAACTATGGCCACATCCTCCACCTAAGGCCAAATCCCCCAACTATGGCCACATCCTCCACCTAAGGCCAAATCCCACAACTATGGCCACATCCTCCACCTAAGGCCAAATCCCCCAACTATGGCCACATCCTCCACCTAAGGCCAAATCCCACAACTATGGTCACATCCTCCACCTAAGGTCAAATCCCACAACTATGGTCACATCCTCCACCTAAGGCCAAATCCCCCAACTATGGCCACATCCTCCACCTAAGGCCAAATCCCACAACTATGGCCACATCCTCCACCTAAGGCCAAATCCCACAACTATGGCCACATCCTCCACCTAAGGTCAGATCCTCCAACTGTGGCCACATCCTCCACCTAAGGTCAAATCCTCCACCTAAGGTCAAATCCCCCAACTATGGCTGCATTCTCCTTTTAGGCCAAATCCCACAAATATGACCACATCCTCCATTTAAGGCCAAGTCCCCCAACTATGACCACATCCTCCATTTAAGGCCAAGTCCCCCAACTATGGCCACATCCTCCATCTTCGGCCAAACCCCCAACTATGGCCACATCCCCACCTACATCTCCTAATATCTGCCATTTCCCCTATCTACACTACAAGCTATATCTCCCACCACCCCTCACTGATTCCCACTCTACTTTTGATAATTTCCATTCTATTGCTAAGTCTCTGAATCATTCCACCCATTTTTTGTCTTGGAAATAATCATAGGACAAATAACATCTTGACCCAATTTGAACACAACATACAGTGCTATCCAATAGGGAAGTATAATCCACACAAATACATTATATTTTTCTGATATGTGTGAGACCCACATGGTATGACAGTCCATTTTTATTATGGAATATTTTGTCTTGACCAGAGGAATTCCCATACAAGCTTTAGCTGAAGAGACAACTGACAGGCGGACCAGAGTTGAAATCTTTAGTCCTCTCAGCCGGAAAAAATGCGCAAAATAGCAACAAAAGCAATTGTATCAACTTTAAAGGATTTTATCCGATACATTGTAGATAAGAACAATATATTAGATCACAGATAATTACAGTTAGCATCTACAACAGCAACTAAATCAGAGTTTACAAACCTGTACAGTCACTGGGTAATAATACATACACAACAAAATTCTTTCTGATATTCAGCAATACCACTGAGTAAACAGCATATCAGAAGTGAAGAATATTACTCTTCAATTTATATATATTACAGGAAATTTTCTACATATACCAAAGATATTTCTAAACATTAACAAGTGAAAAGAACAGTTAAGGTGTGATGATTAGAAAGATCAAGTAAAACCAGTTAACAAAACGTGAAATTATCAAAAAGGAAATTAAATAAACGAGATAAAAAAATCCGTTAGTTTGAGAACATTTACTTGTTTAAAGAAAATCTTGTCTATGACCAGATCCTACAAAGACCAAATCCGACAGAACAGAGATTTTCTACTGAAAAAAAATCTTTACCTTGTATCTTACAAATGAAAATATGAAATTTAATATTTAAGACAACAACACTTCACTGAAAAACACAAAAGAAAATAATTAAACATGCAACACCTCATTCCAAACAGTCATATATTTACATATATTTATATAAGTATCCGTGGCTGCTCTTGATATCTGAAAGTCAAGGAATGCTAGATATTAGTTGTCTTAAGTTTCCACTACAAATTCTGAAAAAAAAAACAAAAATGTGTGTTCGTTATTTCTTACCCTAGACTTACCTTTCATCGATCCAAAATGTTTCCTCAAGACTAAATGGAAGCTGTACTGAAACTAAAGGTTTGTGAGTCTACTGTTTGGTAAGTAAGATGAAGGGATGATAAGAGGATAATGATTGGCTGAAAAGTCTGATGAAGGGATGGTCATTAGATGTTACCTGAAGCACACGAAGTACAGCTAACAGAGTTGGCAGCTGAATACTGTCCAGCTAAACAGGTGGCAGCAACAGTGGTGTCCGAGCATTCTGACCCAGCTGGACAATTGTCACATGATGTCTGACCACTGGCTGTCTGGTAGGTACCGCTGGCACAAACTATGGGTGCAGTCATCTGATTGTTTGGACATTTATTTCCTGTTTTCAAAAATGATAATAGCATTCTCAATAAAATACAGCTACAATTTCCCAATAAAATAATCTAATGATTAAATAATTAGCATGTAATATTTGATAGTCAGGTGTGCAACAATGGTGTATATCAGATCTCATATACCATATATGTGGTAGGTTTTATTGTGAGGTATGAAATTGGGAAGCTATATTGTTAGGAATTATATAAATGATAGTGTGATTGGTTATATTTAATGAAAACTTTTTGCTGTGTTGGATAGTAATATGTATATCTAGCAAGAAATTGAATAATCTTAGGATACCTTTGAAGACTGTAATAAATGTGATAGACAAGGTGCAGTGTCAAGGCAACACAATTTAAACATCTCTTGCAGACTTGACAGGTTGTCTTATGAAACTAAGGAGGGGAAATAACTCACCTGTGTGAAATGTTTGACAGGGGGCATCAGAGGCACTGTTGTAATTACCAGTTGTACACACTTTACAGCTGTCTGAGAAAATCACTACTAAAGGGAGATAACTCACCTTTAGGACATGTTTGACAAGAGGTATCGAAGGCACTAATGCAACTTCCAGGTGTATACAATTACAGGTTCTTTGCAAAAATCATCACCAAGGGGAGATATCTCACCTGAGGAACATGTCTAACAGCAGGCATCAGAGTCACGATTGCAACTTCCAGGTATACACACTGACAAAGCTATCTGAAGAAATCATTATTACAAGGGAGACAACTGACCTGTTGGACATGACTGACAGGAGGCATCAGAGACACTATTGTAACTTTCAATTGTACAAAATTGACAGGCTACCTACTGAAATTAATACAAGGGAGATAACTTACCTGCGGGACATGCCTGAAAGGATGTATCAGAGTCATAACTGTTACTTCTAGTACAAAATTGACAGGCTACCCACAGAAATTACTACAAGGGAGATAACTTACCTGTGGGACATATCTGACAGGAGGCATCTGAGTCACTAATGTAACTTCCAGTTGTACAAATTTGACAGGCTACCTACGGAAATTAATACAAGGGAGATAACTTACCTGCGGGACATGACTGACAGGAAGTATCAGAGTCATAACTGTAATAACCCGGTGTACATGCTTGACAGGCTGTCTTGCCGGCATCTGGTTCCTGACCAGCAGGGCAATCCTGTAACAGTCAATAGAATGTCCTCTTAATTAGAACCTCAACTTCAATTAGAACCAATATAATTATTCAACTTTGTATTAATCATGATCCAATAATGTTTATGAATATAACTATATGTATGGTAATCCTTCTCAGATGTGACCTTGTATAACTTTCATAACAGATAAAAATATTGTCAGAGTGATAAGTGACTTTGTGTAACCTTTACAGTGAATACTAGAGATTGCTTCAGAAAATAATTTGCTTTATTTGGTTTTCAACATTTACCGTTGATGCTGCTGTTGTTGTTGGACATTTGTGACCAGTCGGACAAGTTGTACAGGTCAAGTCCCCATCCAATGAAAACTCGCCAGAACTACAAGCAGTCTGTGTATTTGGAGAACTACAGGAGTAGCCTGCAGGACATGCTGTGCACGAGGTAGATCCTGCAGGGCTGATGGCATTTGCAGCACAAGTTACACAGGCACCACTAGTAGAACTTCCTGTTCCACTGTTGGAAGTTCCTTCAGGGCAGGGTGTTGGGGCATCGGTCCCACCCGTACAGCTGCAAGTAAAGACACTGTATCTTAGTTTCACAGATATACAATACAACGAAAGTTATACTAACTGTAGATTACTGCCCATGAGATCTGTACCAAGAAATACACTGTGCACTCACATTGTATAGAAGCAGCACAGATTAATGAAAAGTTAGGAAGTAACTTACATTTTTTATACTTATTTGTAAGAACTGTACACAGGATATGAATATGTTACTTCAAATAGTTACATATTCACGTTATCCCCATGACTGGAAAAAAATCACTTTATCAGATAACTTCTAGAAACCCATCACAAATTTGAGAAAGAGACCCAAATATTTGTTTTTCTAATGCCTCTTTACAATGTAAAGAAGACCTTACAGATCTATACAGCATAAGATACAGTCTACACATATCTACAGTGTAACATAGAACTTATAGATATCTACAGTGTTACACAGAACTTATAGATATCTACAGTGTTACACAGAACTTATAGATATCTACAGTGTTACACAGAACTTATAGATATCTACAGTGTAACATAGAACTTATAGATATCTACAGTGTAACACAGAACTTACAGATATCTACAGTGTAACACAAAACTTATAGATATCTACAGTGTAACACAGAACTTATAGATATCTACAGTGTAACATAGAACTTATAGATATCTACAGTGTAACACAGTGTAACATAGAACTTATAGATATCTACAGTGTAACACAGAACTTATAGATATCTACAGTGTAACATAGAACTTATAGATATCTACAGTGTAACACAGAACTTATAGATATCTACGGTGTAACACATAACTTATAGATATCTACAGTGTAACACATAACTTATAGATATCTACAGTGTAACATAGAACTTATAGATATCTACAGTGTAACACAGAACTTATAGATATCTACAGTGTTACACAGAACTTATAGATATCTACAGTGTAACATAGAACTTATAGATATCTACAGTGTAACACAGAACTTATAGATATCTACAGTGTAACAAAGAACTTACAGATATCTACAGTGTAACACAGAACTTATAGATATCTATTGTGTAATACAGAACTTATAGATATCTACAGTGTAACATAGAACTTATAGATATCTACAGTGTAACACAGAACTTATAGATATCTACAGTGTAACACAGAACTTATAGATATCTACAGTGTAACACAGAACTTATAGATATCTACAATGTAACACAGAACTTATAGATATCTACAGTATAAGGTAAAGCTTACTCAGTAGATTGTTGAGTTTAAACAGAATAGGTAGAATTCTGTAATGTGTTAGAGACTTTATCACCTTGAAACCATTAGGACAAAAGACTTCTTATGTAGAGACCTGTTTGATCAGAAATCCATAACAAACTTTTCCTATCTCTACGTTAGGCAAGTTTACACTTAAACTTGCAGAAATGTGATTATAAACAGGGTAAGAGTGTACATTCTTGTTACAGACACAAATACATTTTATATTTATTTATTTATTTATTTATCTATTTATCTATTTATTTAATAGGTTTTACATCCACTTTTACAGCCTTTTGGCTTTTCAGTAAACAATATATGTATTTAAACTGAAGGCATATTTCTGCAATCAGACAAAAGAGCTCAGCTGCTATTTACTTCAAGACCTAAAACCATGTACTGATGTTAATGGTAGAACACACATCAAAGAAAGCTTGAAATATCATCAAAATATTTTTTGTTTGTTTGTTTACTGATATTAAAGATTTCATTAAAATTAATACCAAGAAATTTATTTTAGACAGGAAAATTCATTTAAGATAGGATCTGGATAACTCCAATTGTTTGGACCATGTAGAAAATTGTAAAATCAGAAAACAGAAACAAGGGCCATCAAAGACCAGTTCTGCTCCCCAAAGGGGACAAATTTTAAGTATGAAAAATAACAAAGGGCAATAAGAGAGATATGATTCCTGTGCACTGCTTTCCTTGTTGAGGTCTATATACATATGAAGTTTCATGGTTATACCTCATACAGTTTTAGTGTAATGCTCCGGAAAATATTTAGGTATGAAAAATAAAAAGGGCCATAACTCCTAAATCATGCAAAAGAAAGTGATGCTTCTTGTGCAATGCACTTCTTGTTGAGATAATCTACCTATGAAGTTTCATGTTGATACCTCTTATAGTTTTGTATTATGCTCTGGACAAAATTATGATGGATGGAGGGACAGAAGGATGGATGGAGAAAGCAGCCACTATATGCTGTCCAATCAGGGAACATAATAATACATAAAAAGTGATCTTTTCAATAATCTGTCATTTAATGGGAGTGAATCTGCAATATGAAATATTGTCACATGAGGGGTCAAATTTTAAAAATGTTTTTTTCTTTCCTACCAGGTAAGTATGCCTTTATGTAATGCCAACGTATTCAATATATCACATTTAATATTGATTATTACCATCTCATACTCTCAGCAGTCCATGTTCTAAAATTAAAGTGGTCAACAGATATGTATGTTAAAAACTTGGATATCTGCCATCAAAACATTTACAGAAACTTTTTCCACCTCTAATTCAATTTATCTGTCTGTTTAACAGGATAGGTATTTGCATCAAACATATACAGTTCAGTTATTATTCAATATGATACAAGTTAAAACATCCTGTTTGTATAAATCACACGTTTGAGAATTCTCATTCAATATCAGTGTTTATCTGTAAAAAATTCAGAAATAAGTGTAGCTTTTAGTAATTGAATTTCTTCATTTAAGTGTGACATCAATAGATAGATATTTCAAACGTCTTGTATACACAGATTGTGATACCTTACAAACGTCTTGTATACACAGATTGTAACACATTACAAACATCTTGTATACACAGATTGTAACACATTACAAACATCATAAATACATAGACTGTGATATATCCTGCTCTTTTATAGGGTTTCACTAACAAAGATATAAGTGCATAACTGTTGGAATATTTAACCTTTAAACTTTCTTAATTCTAGTTAAAAGATAAATGTTGAAAGAAAATGGTACAAAAATTTCAATATCAATGAATGCTTTCAGCGTTATAAGTAAAGCTTAAAGCAAAGTCCCTAGATATAAAAAGCACAGTGTCCCATTATTTTAAACAATATTGAGTTCAAAAATGGGATAAGGCCAAAATTGGGCAGGTTGCGGGATGAGTGCAATGTTATATGGTATTTATAAGACAGTTAATGGTGTTTCATCTGTTGAGTATCAAGAAAATACATCCGGAATGAATCCATACTAGGAGTTGCACATCTTCAACATATATATAAACATCCTACAAAGTTTCAAGCTTCTACGTCAAAAACTCTAGGAGGAGTTGATTCTACAAAACTGGTACCCCTTTTCCCTATATCAAAATTTTGCAAAAATCATAAATCAATTTTCCATTTTGACTGCACAGTATTCATATCATTGACATCTTATCACTAGCAATGCGTGCATGTCGGATTGCAAAAAATTCTGAACAAAGGGTAACGCCAATGCCTTTGAACATTTCCTGTTATCAACTCAAAATGGATCAATATCTTGTTTAAATCTTAAATAAACTTGGCTTTCATTTTAACACTCCAGGTAATGTTTATTAAATACATCCTAAAATGGTGCATTGTAACATTTGAAAATATTTGTTTAAGGATTTTAAGAATGAAACAAACAAATTCCAATGTCGTACATGTTGTTTGGCAGCCAATGCACAGAAAGATACAGGTAATATACTTTGGTAAATCATTTCATCAGATATGTTTTCTCTTGGTGACTAGAAGGATGAACAAACGTGTAAATATTGGACAATGTACTACTACGGACAGGAGACAGTGGGACTCCGACAACAAATTATCGATATAAGCAATTTGATGCAAATTTTTAAAAAATGATCCATTCACTGCTCTGTCATTGTGAAATATGAACTTATCATATTTCAATTGAACAGATCCTGAACATTCACGGCAAAGTTGTCCCCAAGTAATTATATTTTTCTAATATTATTTCTTGATATTGTAAGTTACAGCTATGTACAAGAGTAGGAGACATTATAATCAATACTGAGTCAGTTTTAATCTTTTAAATACCAACAAACCCTAAATTTAAAAAAACTTCTGCCAACTTGGGAAAGAAAGATTTCCAATTATTTTCATTAATATTAAAATGACTTCTTTATTATTCCTATTTTCTAAAATCACTTAGTCCACATGGAAGACCAACTTAACATACAAAGTGTGAATTGTTTTAAAATCTAATCTTGTCCATGTGGTAATTTCTATTTCAATGTTTTAAAAGTATAGACTATTTGATGGAAATACCTGTAATTACACCTGAGAGATAACGTTTTATTGATCCAGGTGAGAAATGTGTTATAAAGAGATACCTGGCAATCAATCTAAAAACACACCTGAGAGACATAGCTTAATGAGAAACTTATCAGCAATCTACCTATCAGCCAAACACTGTGAAATTTGTCCTCAAAAACTCCTCTAATACATCAGTTGGACATAATTTATTCATTAAATAAACACATTTCTATTTGCCAATGTTCAACAGCATACATATCATCAATATATCTATAAAACGCTATCAGAAACACTCTGGAGCAGAAGAGAACTAGTATATTACAATCACTAAAACACAACAGACGTACAAAAAGAATTATAATATCCTACAACCGTTTTACAAGCAAACTAAGTTTTTGGGGATTGTTTAAATTTTTCCTTCTCCTAGCCATTTCTCATAATCACTACATAAAATCCAGTATTTCAATAAAGATTTTGATAAACCTTTTTTTTAGCTATAGGGAAATATCGTACTGTAACTTATAGTAAGAGAATCACTGACAATGTGATTGCATGTATATTGATGGTCTTGACAAATTTCTTGAAAGATTTTCTAATTTTTCAATGTTTTGGCAAAAAGCTGTACAAATGTACTAGTCTGCTCCTTCATGTTTTCAAACTGAGCAAGTTTTAGGTATTACTATTATAAAGTTTCTCTGAGA